AACCCCAACCCCAACCCCAACCCCAATTTAGTAAATTAATTCAATTTAAGTTTTTAATTTATTAATTTACAATAAAAGAAAAATCAACAAATGTATTTAAAATATTTAAAATAAATTTTTTTATTATTAGAAATATTTATTTTTCTTAATTTATTTTTGCAATGAGATTTCTTTATGATATCTTTGTTTTAAGTTGCCTCTAATTAATACAAAATACAAAATCTAAAAATATTACATAATATTTCTGAATATAAATTTAATAATTTAAAAAAAAATTAATTAGATATTTATTTAAATTTTTCTTTGGAGTGGGAGATTTTCTCTTCAATCTATATTAAATAAATTAAATACAAAATCAGTAAAGGAAAAAATATAATTAATAAATTAATAAAAAAAATTTAAAACAAAAAAAATAAATCAAAAAGAAGTAAAATAGAAATATTATTAAGCAAATAAGTTTTTAAAATAACCATGCAAAAGCTGTCGATACCAAAAGTTTTTAACAAATCCATAAAAAATAATAATATTATTTCTATTTAAATTGATATCATACTTTTTAGTATGCGGTATTATCAAAACTATTGAACATCTTATTTTACCAAATGAGCACTTTAAACTAATAATTTTAAAACTGTATTTATTATTTATAAAAAATATAATAGCACTTTGAAAGTATACTAGCTATATCACAAGTTAGCAGCTGATCTTCGCGAGGGAATATAAAAGATAAGATAATTTAACAAATAAGAAAAGAAATAATTATTATTTAAGAAAAATGAAAGGAAATATTTAAAAAGTAAATAAACAAATAAGTAAATAAAAAAAGAAAGAAAGAAAAGAAATAGATATATAAATAAATAAATAAATAATAAATGAATAAATTAAATATAAATAATAAATGAATAAATAAATAAAATAATAAAATATACACAAGAAATTATATAAATAAGACCATATAATTTTACATCATAATAAACAATATTAATAATTAAAAAAATTTCAAACTTGTTCAAATTTTTAAAAATAAAATTTCTTTGAGTTTAATTTTTTTTAAGACATTATCTTTGGTGACATAAAATTAAAAATTTTGTATTTTTAAATAAAGTAATATTATTCACTTTAAAATATAATTTTTAGGTTGAACAAAATTTTAAAATAATATTTTGTTTTTTGTTGAAATAACACTACCTTAAATATTTTTTATAATTTATTAAATTTGTTTGTATTTAAAGATATTTTAAAAATTGATTATTTGAAATATATTTTTATACAATAATCTCAACAATACATTATTATTAATTAAATTTAAATTTTTTATTCAAATTCTTATTAATAAAAAGAAAAATTTTTAACGTATTTAAGAAATGAATTAATTAAATAATCAAAATTTAAAAGAAAATATGATGCAGCATCAATCTAAAAAATTAACTATTGCTGAGCCTAACACTTATAGATTAGCTCCATCTTTTAATAATAGTTAAATTAAATCACAACACACAAGATCATAAAGCAATTTTCTTTCTAGCAGAACATCTCCTTTAGGAAGGGCAGAAAATAAACAAGACCATTCGCCAATTTAAAGGAGTAGGATCAATGAAAAAAAAATACCATAGCTAAAAACTTAAAATAATTTAAGATAAATTCTTAAAAGATAATTTAATACATAAAATATAGCTTAAAATAATTAAATAAGCTACTCTAATTTGGAAAAATAAAAAATTATCACATCTTTACTCTAGGATAACTCTATGAACCATCTCAAAAATTAAATGTTAAAGATTGCTTTAAATTAAAGTTAAGTTATAAACAAATAGCCTACATCAGTAAGAAATGAATGCTTTTCTTAAGCATGCTTGTAAAAAATATAGACTCAAAATAACATAAGTGGTATTAATAAAAAAAGTAGTGAAAATTCATCATCGAATTTGAGCTTTTATTCAACTAGAAACCCCATTCCAAATACAAAAGATGCTCTTTTTAAAAGCTTACTTAGAAAAAATAGTGCTATTATACCAACTACAATTTAATAAACTACCTAAAATTTTAATTCTTTTGCAACAGGATAAAGAAGTAATTCTTCTTTGGCTAAAGAATTTGAAAACAAAGAAAATCAGCCACTAAAGATTACTTTATAAATGGTCTAAGATTTAAATTCAAAACAAGTTCATTAAAGCTAAGAGAATAACAAATTTTGCTTAAATTCTATTAAATAATAAAGATAGACTGATAAAATAAATATTTCTAACAAAGATTTAAATTAAAAACAAATTTTATAAAGCTAAGAGAATAGCAACTTTTCGTTAAATTCTATTAAATAGTAAAAGTCGATTGAAAGAATAAATATTTCTAACAAATAAGAAGCTTAAAAACCTCTTTAAAAAAATTAACAGTAAAAAAGTATACAGCAAATTAATAAATTAGAAAAATCAAAATCACAACCAAAAAACAAATTCCCATAATATTTTTAAATAAATTTGTCAGAATATATTAAATAAAATAATAAATAAATAGAAACAAAGTCAACAATCAATATTAATTAAATGTTACAAGAAAAGTCATAATTAGAAAACTAAAAAATTCAGGTATCTCATAACATCCATAAGTAAGAGGAGTCTAACAATTAATCTAAATTATCTAATCCATCTTGGTAATAAATAAATGCTTAGTTTAATTAATCTTCAAATACTCACAGCATTGAATTTATTGATACTATAGGAGAACATGATCATTTATAAAGAATCTCTACTGTTAAAGATACAGAAAATAGCATGTTACACGATTTTAGATTAGAAAAAAATTATATTTTTTTAAGCTGAGAATATTTATATATTATTAATTAAAATAAATATTTAAACTAAAAGTTTTTATTTTTTGTAATATATTAAATAATTTTTTTTTTAAAAATTGTACAGATTATATTTTTATTTTTAAAAACAGATAAATCAAATATTATTTAGAATTTATAAAGAATAATTTTATCAAAAAATACTTTTTTTATATGAAATAATTATCATCATAAAGTTAAAACTCGTTTTTTATTTTAATAAAGAAATCCATTATGAAAACACTTCGAATTTAAAAATTAATACTTTTTATAAACATATAATAAAGATGAATATTTAAGCTTAATTAATATTCTTGACTAATCATTTATATTTAAATAATATTACTACTTATTTTTTTAAATTAAAAAACCTACATTCTTCAAAAATAAATATACCAAAATATTTATTATTTGAATTATCTTACTCAATTTCTTTTAATGAATTAAAAAATTATTAGATTGACAAATTTAGTAATTTTTTTGATGAAACTGTTTTTATTTAAAAAAAAATAACACACACACAAGTGATAAAATTATCTATTTTTAATATTGTAAAATATAAATTGAAAGTTAAAAAATAATTATTTTGCTAATAAATTTATTTTTTAAAAGATTAATGATAATTAAAATTATCCGTTTTTATTTTTGTAGTTGTTGTATGATTATATATTAAACCTTTACTTGAATTTTATATTGCACTATATCAAGTAATTAATTGAATACTTTATATATGTTTCCTTAATACTTGATTTTATGTACAAGCAAGCTATTTATAATTTATTTATTTTTAATCAAAGAATAATTAAAACACAATAAGAATAAATGAAAAAACAATTAATCATCTTCATAGCATTATGTGTTATAGCTAATTGCTAAATATTTAATTATGATGAAGAGGTAGCAAAAGATCTAGCTGGTTTTGCCATCATAGCTTATTGTAATAATAATGGGGTCTTTAATAATAATTGTGGTCCTCCATGCTAAAGGTCACCTAAAGGCTACCTTGATTACTATTTTCTAAAAAGTTAAAAGATGGATATCTAAGGCATTATAGGCTATGCCCCAGACCATAACGCAATCATTTTAACTTTCAGAGGAACGATGATACAATATTTTGGAAATATTATTAGAGATGTACAATTAGATAAAGTTTCATTTCCTATTTGTTAAGTTTCTAACTGTTAAGTTCATTAAGGCTTTTTTGACTCATTTAATGACTTAAAAGACTAGTTGAAATATTAATTAAAAATATATCAAAACAAATACCCACAAGCAAAAGTAATTCAATTTTTAATTTATAAAAAATAATATAACAAATAAAAATAATATAAAATTACATCATCTTCAAATTTTTAATATTTATTTTTAAAAGATTTATATAACAGGACATTCTCTTGGTGCAGCTATTGCAACAATTGCTGTACCCTATGTCTATTAGTGGATTGGAAACAAATAAATAGATGCCGTATATACATTCGAATCTCCTAGGGTAGGAAACAAAGCTTTTTCTGATTGGTTTACTCAATAAAATTTTGCATTTTTATATGGAAGAATAACACATGATCAAGATCCAGTTGTATAATACCCAACAAGTTGGTGGCCTTTGTATTACTATCATACTTATTAGGAAATTTATTATTCAGATTTTAGCAAACCTTACAATTTATGCTATAATCCTGAGGATACGAAATGTGGAGCTTAATAAAACTATTTTGCTCTAGATATTAATGATCACATGAATTTATTTGGTTGGAGCCTTTCCTAAGCTGGATCCCTTTGTTAAGTTTGAAGGCTATTTAATTATATTCTAACATAATAATTAATTATTTTATAAATAAGTGTTAAATTTACTAAAATTCTCAATAATAATTAACAAAGAAAATTAATATTCAAATTAAAAATTATTAGAAAAAATATAATTTAATTTTCATTTTTTTCTTAATATTTAATAAATTTTACTAACATTTTTACCAGTTTTATTACTGATGTAATTTGATATTTGTAAAAATTAAGATTTTAGCACAACAATGAAAATTATTTTTTTATTTTTTAACAAATAAGAAGTACCATTAACTTAAAATTATCAACAAGTAGGCATAAAATTTTGTTATTTTTAAGTTGTGTTGAATGATAGAAATTTTAATTGAAAATATCATAAGTTTTTATTTTTTAGAACAGAAACATTATTTAAACTATTAAAAAGTTAATATACCTTAAGCAATTACTTTAATGAGGAAACTAAATTAAAAAGTAGAAAACTTTTAAGATCATTAAAATAAAAATGAAATAAATTAAGAGTTCAGAAGCAAAAATATTTCTAAAGATGATTAAAATATTTTCAAAGATAGTTTATAAGAGTATTAATCAATAATAGAATTCAATAATATCATGAGAGAAGTATTATTTATTTAATTAATATTTATAAATATTGATAATTAATGATTTTTTAAAAGAAATAGTTTGTTTTAGATGGGACAAAAAAAGATTTTGAATTACCTAAGTACGATATGTTAAAGGATAGGTATTTATCGCACTATTTTATTAGTGATTAAAGGAGTAATTAGCTTGTTTAATCAGGTTTACTTAGTAAGTAAGTCATTAAGGTCAATTCTTCTACTTACATCTTTTTTTTACATAAAAATTAAGAAAGCCACCATACAGTTGAGTAATAAGCAAGGCAGTAATTACATAATGAAAATAGGATTGCTTAAAGTAAATTTAATTGTTTAAGTAGTTCTTAACAGCTAAGTAAAGAATGCAAAGTTGTTATATTTATTGTATAGTCTAATAGTTTAGAAATATCTCTTTTTAATAATAGGTTTATATAGACAAATATTTAAAAAACCCTTTAAGCAATAAAGGATAAAATGTAAAAAACTTAAAAATAGAAACAAACTAAGATTAGAATGCATTACCGATAATATTACCGAATAGTTCTGTTTAATCTGCGAATAATTACAGCTATGCATAAAAAAGAAATTAGATAATAAGTTTAAGATTTAAGCAAAGTTAAAGAAATGAAACTAAAAGTATATTAAATAGCAGCAAACCTAATAGTAAAACTCTAAGTAAGTAATCTAGCTCTAAAAATTTTTTTTAAATATCTCCGATACCTAAATAAAAAGGTAGTGGAGCTTAAGAAGAAAAAAGACCTTTTAGCAAAACATATATCGATGATTCTCAATTGAAAGAAGTTACAGATTCAAAGGAAATTAAATAAGATAGCATTTAAGAAAATTATTAAAAATCAATAATCATTAGCAACAACAATAATAATAACAATGAGCTGGTTGATTTACCAGAAAATTCAAACAAATTATAATAATAAAAGTAGGAAAATCATAAAAATAAATAACTTTTTGAAAAAAGTTCATCTTAAAATGATAAATTTAAGTAAAAATATATGCATCATAGAAAATTTATTCTTAAACCAATTTAGTAAAGAGCTGGTGTTTAGCAGGTAGAAAACTAAAAAATTCAAGATTAAAATTAAGAAAAAAATAATGAAAAATAAATATTTTATAATTAAAATGAATTGAAGCTGACTGAATAGCAGCATGTTAAAGTAGTTGAGATTTATAATAAAGATTACTTAAAAAAGTAAAAGAAAATTTCTTAATAGAGCATATAGAGGCTTTATACTTCAAATTAACCAAAGAAGGAAAGGATGAAAGAAAATAATGTGATTTAAACGCTTTCAAAAACTGAATTTTTAGAATTCCTCAAATAAAATAATGAAAAAATAAGGTAACGAAACAAAGAAGCCGCATCAAAAATAGGGTCTAGAAAATTCCTAAAATCAGAAGAAGACTTAGATAAAAAAAGTTTGAGATTAAATTCAAAAGGAAATATTTCATAAATATCTTCGTGTCAACAAATTAAGATAGAACCTCAGCCAACATAAACAAATATTTCATGAAAATCTAAGCTAATTATAAAAATATTGAGAATTTTATTAAAATAAATATTTCTAGCAAGTCTATAGATTATTAATGCCTTTATTTTTATTTTCATTTACTTAGAAGCCTTTACAAATTAATTTTTTGATTAATTAAAATATAATTTTGTTTATATACATACATACGTACCTACTAGAATCATTTATTTGTGAGAATAAAAGTAATAAAAGACTCTATTTATTTTATTTAAATCAAATAGATTGTTTGTCTTTTACACATACCTACATTATTGAGAAATTAATAATTTTGTATTAAGATTTTTATAATTTAAATATTCAAATCATCTTTTTATTTATTTTTTTTGAGCTACTCAATTATCTTTGTTTTTTAAATAAATAAATTTTTGTTTTAAAATAAAAAACATCAAAGGAAATAAAGGAAAATAAAAATTATTTTTTTTTTTGAAAAATAAATTTATTTATAAACAAATATGTTGTAAATGCACATTTATTTGTTCTTCTGTTTTTTTTGCTTCTCATTAAAAAATAAAAAATTCTAATGGTTTTCCTTTTTAAAAAAGAAGAAATAAATTAAAATTAAGAATTAAAAATATAGATGGAACGTTTTATTGGTAAAATGAGATTAAAATAAGCTTTTCTATTTTTAAAGAAAATAAAAAAAAATAATTAGCTTTTCAAATAATTAAAAAGAGGCTGCGTTTTTATGGAGAGTATATGTGAATAAAAAATTTTTTTATGAGTAAAAAATAAAAACAAATAAAATTAGATTTCAAAGCTAGCTTTATTTCATATCATTTGAATAAATTATAAGTAGCAGTAGCACTTTGAAAGTTAAAAATCAAAGAAAAAAATAGTAAATAGAAATGATTGACACATAATTAAATAAGAGTAGTTAGAAACAAAAAGACCAGCAACAGCTTGTTATTTGTTTATTAATATATTTATTTGATTGTTTAATAATTTGCTAACATATCAAAAACAATCGCATAAGCAGAACAAATTTTGATAAACTTGCAAAAAAAAAAAATAATCTAAAAAAAGCGAGCAAATTAATTATTATCAAATTATAAAATAAAATCTAAATCAATCATTTATTTGTTAATACCCACACATTTTGAATACAAATATTGATTATTAAACATAATTTGATAAAAACCAAAGCAAATTCAAAGCATTTTAAATTCTTTTTCATAAAAAAGTTAAAAATCAAAGCAAAAAAAAATACATTCAAAGCGCTATTTTAATATTAACAAGTTTCTTTGTATCAAAAACATTAAAAAAACAATCAATCCAAAAAAACAAACTAACAATCAAACAAAAACTACGGAGACTAAATTGGAACCTCCTATAGCTTGTTTTTTTAAAGCGCTCATCTTAATAAACAGAATAAAAAATACTTAAAAAGAATTGTAAATAAAATCTCATTTAATCATGAGACCATATTAAGAAAAAAAGTTCAGTACTGAAAGTATACCAAGCGATTAATTGAATTACTCGTTATTAAGTAATCTTAATGCTAATGGCGCTAACATAACTTAGAATACATCACCAATTTCATCTGATACAACAAAGGATATGACTGTTCCTATCAACCCAGTGGCTATTTCATCTTCCCAGTTTTTGGCAGATGTCAGCATCTTACAAGATTAGATTATCACGGAGGCTCTTGCTGCAGCTATTACTTAGACTATTATGCCAAATATAAGCATAAATCTTTAAGGTATATTTACATTAACTAATATTTCTATATATTTTAATATATTTTTATACAAACGCATTGTCAATCAATAAATAAATACCACATTAACAAAATGGAAAAAACATTTCATTGAAAATATTAATTTTTGGGTTTTAAGTTTTTAATGCCACGGGTAAAATATCATTTCGCTCACTTTGTAATATTATTACTATTTCTATGCCTTTTCTACAGTAAAAAGAGCATAAAAATAATAATTTAAACCAAAGTAGGAATATGGGAATCCTACCATTCAAAAAAGGATAAAAATTTATTTCTTTATTCATTTAATGAATAAACCCTATTAGGTGTCTTGATGGGGTATATCAATTTAACCTTATTTAAAGGGTATCCCGCATTTGACCAGAACACCAATTACGAAGAAGAGTACCATAGAGCATTTGTGATGAATGAAATTATGATTAAGAAACTTGCTTAGTATTGCGAAGAAATTAATATTATCAGTGAACGCGCTAAGAGACTTCAAGAAATATTTGAGCAGAAATTAATGAAAGTAATAATCATCAAAAATATTTTAATAATACCTTTCTTTATGTTAGATGTTATTTCTCTCTTCTATGTGTGCATAAAATTAAAAAAAAGACACATTAGAAGTTCTATCTACATACTATTTAAATATATTCATTTATTGATTTAAGTTCATCCTTTCTTCATTTAAATTATTTGCCATTTTAAAAAAAGGTGAACCACAGCTTTTCTGCTCATGATCTTAGCAGACCTCTTGAGCCACTATCTCAACAAAATTTATCTGCATTCAATAAACCTTATAGTTAGGAAGCGCTCTCTTTTTCAAATAATAACTTTAATCCTAAGAAATTCCAAGTGAAGAATCATTTAGGTAATGATGAAAATCATACTCTACAGAAAAAATTCCTAACTGAGTCGCTTACAAATAATAATATTAATAAAATAGGAATTTAGAGAAAAGTAAATGAAGACTGCGAAGACCTTGTCTCGTTTTCTGAATTAAATGCTAACTCCGAAAACTATACCTAAAATGAAAAGAATAGGCCAAAGAAACTCCGTAGATGCGCAGCTGATATTGAGAAAAGTTATGAGGTAAATTTTATTAATGTTAAATTGAAAAATGATAAAAAAGATTGAACTTTTACAAAACATTTACTAACTTTCATATTTATAAGAATTAAGCTTAATTCTTAACTCTAAAAATTTAACTGTATCTCAAAGTATTGTCTTCATAAACTGCTAAATAGAATTTAAAAATAGAACTTTGTCAAGTCTTTGTTTTTACCTTTTTGCATTTACTTGCTATTGATAAAAGCAGTCTATTTTAATTAAGATCAATAATCTTAAAAACAAAATTAAATTTTTGACTCGACAAAGTAATTTTCGTATTCTCTACCAATAAGTAGTTCTTTTATAATTCCTTTCTTAATATCCACAAAACACAAAACGAAATTTATATTATTAGATTTGATTTATTTATTGCCTCCTACTTTCTTTACATTGGATATTTTTATTGAAAGCTGTTAAAATTTTGTGAATCTAAATTATTTTTTCATTCATTTATTTTCCAAATTTGATATCCCAAGCTATTATATTTAGTCTTTTTTCTTCTACTTTGAAATTTTTTTTTGAATTAAATTAAATTAAATTTGATTTGATTGAATGATTGATAGTATTTTAGTAATAAAGAATTTGAATTTATTATTAATTAATTAATTTATTAGTGCCCTTATGAGGAATGTAAGAAAGCATATGGATCAGAAGTTTCACTCAATCTTCACATTAAAATAAAGCACAATGGTGGAAACAAAACTGAAAGAGAAAAATTAGCTGTAAGTTATTTTATTAGATAATAATAATAATAATAATATAATTTATTTAAAATAGAAATAGATGTTTTTAGCTAAAATAAATGGCAAAGAAGTACCCTAAGCCTCATTAAATTTACCTCCTGGATTTTTAGAGGTATTAATTAATTTTTGAATATTTATTTAATAATTTACATTTTATATAAATCAAGCAATATAAAGATGGGCTTAAAAAAGTTAAAAGATGCCGCGAAGGACCTTACTCTTCCAATAACTTAAGAGTAAGCTAGTAAAATATATTGATACATTAGAATTCTAAATCAGATACTCAAATAAAAATTGAATGAACTTTATAACAAAATCAAATTAATATCAAATCACATGTAAATAAATAAACTCTAATATGATCAAACTAAAAAATCACTAATAACCAAAATTTATAATTTATAAAATGATAATATTATCAATCACAAATCTAACTTAAAATAACTACCTAAACATATTCTAATTAAATATAACTCAAACCATTCCAAAATATTTATTAAATTAAATTAAGAATTAGTAAATTAGTTTACCACAAATAAAATTATCAAGGACTAGCTAACTAAATAACTATCTGTACATCTCTTTATCTGTCTATTTGTATGCCTACCTGCCTGCATACTTGCTTGCTTGCTTGTCTGAGAATTTCTTTCTTTTATAGAAAATTAAAAACTTAAAATATATTTAAAAATAATATTATAATGAAATATTAATTAAAGCTTTTATGATTTATCATACACATAAATATTTATATACTTAATTATTTGTACATATTCTAATTTTTAGATATTTATGGGAAAACTGTTTTTAAAATTTTATTTTCTGCATTAATAGTTTAAAGACTTTATCAAGAATTTTATATGGTGTTCTTATTTTAATTTTTTAAAAGACCGATTGTTAGTGTAAAATGTCACTTTATTTTTCTACTATTAGAAGTATTAATTAGTAAACCATAGAAAATTAATTAAAAACTTAATCAAAATAAAATAACTTTTGAATCATTATTTATTTACTTAAGGTTATAAAATAAGAACAAATATACATTAATCATGAAAAAAATGAACTATAAAAGCATAAGCTAGCTGCCGTAAACCAATTCAAAAGAATTCTTAGAAGATAGAAGCAGCTCATAAAAATAAATAATAAAATAAGGCGACTAAATTTAAAGTTTAATAGAGTAGAATTCAAATTGTTTCCAATCATAAATTAAAGAAAAGGATTAAGTATGGTAATAAGCTTAAAAAGATAATTTATATCAAAATACTTAAGGAGAAGAAGATGATTATTTATTTCTATAAACAAATAGATAAAATAATGAATAAAATGCTTAAGATACGTAAATTAAAACATATCAAATCCAAAAATCAAGACATTCTTCAAAAATATCAAATAAAAATCATTCTATGAGCATTAAAAGTAAACATAAAGAAGATCATGATATCTAAAATGAGTAAAATTAATTAGGATAAAACTTGTATTCAGCAGAAACTCCTGACAATAAAAATAAATTATAATAATAGCTAAGTGATACTACTAATTAAATTGATAGTTAGAGCACAAAATTTTTAAAGAGAAATCGCACTTTACTACAATCCACATAACATAAAGATGATGAAATTGATAATAATATTATTTCTCCTATTAGTAAGGAATAGCAATAATAGAATAAATAAAAAAATTCCTATCTTTTAAAATAATAATCTAATTAATAAGGTAATAATAAGATTATATTACGAAATGGTAAGACATTAGCAAATTCACCTTCTATAAAGAATAATAAAAATATTTAAAGATTATTTGCATCAAATATTTATTCAAATCAAACTAATCTTGGTGAAATTTCAGATATTTTAGACTAGTAGTAAGCTAGTGGTAGAAAATGGAGTTTCATAAATCGTTATTTAAAACTTATAAAAGCAAAAAATAAGTTTTTAGATTTAATAAATCATAAATAAATAACAGATGTGGAGAGAGGTTTTGTAATGGATTAATCAGATGGGTTTTACTCTGCATAAAAAAAACAACCATAATAGAAATCAATATTAAATAGAATACTTACATTCACCTTTCACCCTGCATAAGTATTGACTATCTCTATTAAAATTGGTATGCTGTTAGTTACTTTATATAATTTATTATTTGTACCTTTAATCATAGGCTTTTAGATAAGTATGGAGTCATCTATAGTGTTAATTTAATAAATAAGTGGAATATTCTATCTTTTTGAAATTTTTTTAAACTTTAGAATTCCAATTTATGCTAAAGGAGAAATTCAAACTGATCTTTGGGTAATTGCAAAGGATTATCTAAATTTTAATTTTTTTTTAGATCTAATTAGTGTGATTGGGTGTGCTTTAGGAACTATAAATACTTACTTTACCTTATTTACTTTGGTAAGAATAACTAATTTATTTACTTACACTAATTATGTTAACAATCACTTTTACTTTGCTGAAAAGTTTTATAAAACGTGGACTCTAACTAGACTAATCATTTTTATTATTTTTATGGCTCATATTTTTGCATGCATTTTTCATTATATAGGTCTGTAGCATTTAAATGACAATAACTTTAAAAGCTGGCTATAAAATTATAATATAGAAAATGAGATATGGCAAGTCAGATATAATTACTCTTTATATTATTCTTTTATAACTATGATTACAATTGGATATGGAGATATAGCCCCTTAAAACTCTCATGAAAGAATTGCCTGTATAGCATTTGCTCTTACTTCAAGCATAATATTTTCTTTTTCTATTAACACTATAGGAAATATTTTCTAAGACTACTTTATCAAATTCTAATTTTAGTTATAAATGAGATATAATGCTATTAAATTTTTAAGTTCCAGACAAATTGATAAAAATTTGTAACTTCGAATTCTAAAATACATAGAATATATTCATGAAATAGAGAGAGATTCTCCTGAAAAAGGGTTATAAATTATGAACTAAGTATCAGAAGAGCTAAAAACATAGGTATTCTAAGATTACTATGGTAAAATTTTGCAGTAGAATAAGTATTTTTCATTGAATTACAGCAAATCTAGCATTCTTAAGTTATCTCTTCATGTAAAGGAAAAAATGTTTGCTCCTGGAGAAATTTTATTTGAGCAAGGAGACTAAGATGGAAGACTTTATTACATAATCAAGGGAGACTGCGAATTTTATTTGAAAGGTAAAGAAGGCTCAAAAAATATCGTCTAGCTTACTTTATTTTAGCAAACTAATTAGTAATTTTTTGGATACAAAGGATTTATTTCAGGTATTCCAAGAGAACTTAGCTGTAGGTCTAAAAATGTTAGCCATGTTTTTTATATTCAAAGAGAAGATTTGATTAACATACTCAAATAAGATCCATAAGATTATGAAAAATTTTGTAAAATTAAAGATGAGTTCTTATTTTATACAAACTCTTTGGGAGAATTGTGTTTTGCTTGTAAAAATTTTGGTCATACACTGACTCAGTGTAATAGAATTCATTATGCTAAAAATAGATCCCTTTTAATATAAAAGTACAATTATTGTGGATAACAATAAAGAAAACCACACTAAAGAAATAAAAATAAATATAAGTCTGTACAATAAATAAATAATGTGAATTTATCAGTTTTAAATTACAAAAAAGGTTTAATAATTGATTTTATTAAAGAAGATATTAATAGCTTAATTGTTGAATAGTACGTATAATTTTTATAATAAGAATCTATTGATAAAGTTTAGGAGCTTTTCCCTTATTTAGAATTCCAATAGGAAGGAGTTGTTCTCAAAAATTAAAGTGATTAAATGGATAGCGAAAATGAGTTGTATACAGAATCTGATCAGAGCAATACTGATACAGGAGAAGAAAATTATAAAAAATAGCCTATAAACTCAATTTAAGAAATGATTGAAGATAATTTAAGTTAATAAAATACTTATAATAATTCTGATAATTTTAACAAAAATTAATATAAAAAAAATTTTAAGAATGAACAAAATAACTAGAGCAAATAAAATTCCTTATAGATTTTAAATGAAGTTTCATATAGGGAAATTTAAGAAGAAAAACTTAATCTTATAAAAAATAGAAAAGAAGAAGATAATAAATCGCTTAGTGTTCAAGATAATTAATTGGATAAATCGAATTCATATAATTAAGAAAAAATGTAAATAAATAAAAGCATTGACAGTATAAATTAAGAAATTATTTAAAATTAAAAATAAGAATTACAATAATCATAATAATAGTTCTTTGAACAAAATTTTGTAGACATAAATGAAATAGTTGAAGATGACTTTAATTCATTGTAGAATTAACTATTAATTGTATCTCCTGATATTAAGTAAACAAAAGCTTAAACTGTTAATCATTTAAATAATGATGATAAATAATCTATTGGTTCTTCAAATAGTTCTATAAAAGATGAGTAGAGAATATAAAATTACTATAAAAAGCTTAAGCAGTAGTAATCAGAAAAAATTATATCTTAAGAATTCGATGACAGCAAAATAAATAAATAAATGAATTAGCTATATAAAATAAAAATATAAAATAAATCAATAACTTAAAATCAAAGGCTTGAAGAAGGAGTAGATTAAACTAACAAATATTTACATAAAAAATCTGATTAAAAACATAAAATTAAATCAAGTCTAAAAAATTTTGCTCCAAATCATAGACAAACTAAAAAGGATTTTTCAGATTTAGCAACTTAAATTAATTAAGGTTTGACATTTATTTCTAAATTTAATTCAACACAAGGAGTTGATTTGAACTCAAAAGAAAAAAGATTTTCTTAACTTCCTAAATAAAAATCTTTTATTTTCTTCACTAAAGATAATTTTATGGAATAAAAAAGAAGCTTTGATTTAGAAACATAGAATTAATAGTAAACCATGTATGGTTTATAGAAAATATCAAAATAATCAAATTCTTAAAATGCTCATTCTAAATTTTATTAATAGAGAGAACTAGAATAGTATACTTAACCAAGTATGAAGAATTGTAAATCATTTGTAGATTGTTCAGAATTTATTCTAGACTAAGATAAAAACTAAAAAGATAAACTGTCAAAATTATAAGACAGATAATCTTCTAAATACTAGTTGTACTAAAAATTTACCAATTAGCTAGCAGATCTTTACATTCTTGATTTTGAGACTTTAAAAGAATACAAAAACTATTTCCCTCACAACAATGCTTCTACTGTTTGCAAATATCTAAATAAACACAATACAAATAATTTAATTTCTTAAAAGAAATTAAACATTTATCCCACACTTTCAAAGTTTTATGCTTGAATTCAAATAAAATTTTCAAAAAAAACTTTCTAATTAAAATAAATGGAATCATCTTTTTTCTATAAAATTGAACTAAGCTAAATATTTATTTATTTTTGGTAAATGCTGATTACTTTTTAAAATAATTTTGCTTTAAATTATTATTATTTTAATATTTAAATGGATTTAACAAATTAATTTTATATTGATAATAGTATTGTTTTATATAAAATTATTTATTTAATACACTAAAATTAATTATAAAATGTTACTCATATTTAAAAATTTTCCAATTATTATTTACTTTTAGTTAAACTAAAACTAGCTTTATAAAAAATAACAATTTAAAAAAATATATATAAAATAATTTAATTATTACTTTAATAAAAAAATATTTACTATCATTATATTTGAATATTTTTTATTTATTTAATCATATCTATTTGACAGAACGAAATATGCTTATTAAATCTTTTTTGGTTAGATATAAAAAATTAATGACATTTTATTTAGATCTTTTGTATTATTAATAATGAAATTAAAAAATCTCTTTTTCTTAAAGAGGGATATTTATAAATAATCTTATTCATTCTTTTTATCAAAAATTTTTGAAAATTTTATATATTCTATAACTTATGATTAATAATTGTTGATATTTAGAAAATTTTATCAATTAATCAATTGTTTTCTTTATATTTTATCAGTCTTATACAAGTAAAAGGATAATTAACCTTCATAAGATCAAAAGAATTATTCACAAACAAATCTTAATTTAAATTTTCTTCTTCATCAAATTTACTATAGTTTTTAGAAATGAAAGGAGGTTTTTATGGCATAAGTTAGAGTAATTCAACAAAATCTTTTAATGATCAATTTTTATCAAGACATGGTTCATCAAATTCCTTAAATTATTAACAAAGTAGTGAATTTGATATTTAAAAAATTCCATAGTAGACTCTTGATACAATAGAAAAAATGTAATAATTGCGTAGTAAATTTCCATATCTAAAAAGCCAGTATAATGTATTAAAAAATTAATTTAAATATAAATTATTTATGCTATACAATTTTTAACATATTTAAGAGCGCACGAAATAATTCATCGGGATATTTGTTAGGGAATACGAGTATTTAAGCTAATGAAAAATAAATAACTTAAGGAATATAATCTTAAAGAAATTCATCATTAAATATACAAACAAATTAAAATGAAAATAACAAAAATGGTGATGAAATAAAATAGCCACACAAAAGAAATAAGCCACTTTCGATTGATTTTAATGCAATATATAAAGTTAATTAAGATAAAATACTCCCTGAACTGCAAGAAACAAAAACTATTATGATTGATTATTCAAATTTTAGAGGTTCTACATCTACTAAAGTATGAAATACAAATAAATTTAATATTTTTCTTTTGATAAATTTTTATATTTAAAATGATTAGAACTTAAGAGATAAAAAAGCTATTGATTTCTAAAAAAATCAATCTCTTTTAAACCTGCCTGAGATATAATCTCTACCCAAAAATTTAGTTAAAAATTACTAAATCTCTTCGTTATTAAGGAAAGTTGGAGAGCAGTAATAAGAATTTTATATAAATTCTCCTTAATATATGTCTCGATAATCGAGTAGATATCAATCTTACACTAGTTCTTTCTTTCCTTCTAAGAAAAAGAAGGAGAAAATTGACATATCATTCTTAAGAGTGGACTTCTTTCAGTCTGATGATGCATATTTAATTAAACTTCCTAAAATTTAATTAATTTAAGTAATATTTAATATATGAAATCAGCTATCAAGATTTTAGAAAATTTTTAAACTATTATTCAGATATCCAGTTTGGAAAGCTTTGATGAATATCAAGTTTTTGATGAAGATCCAATCAAAATATTATAAAAGGAGAATGTTAGAGCTCATTCTAAATGGTCAGATCTCAATGGAAATTTTGAATGGCTAGAATGTCAAGTTAAATCGTATAATCCAGAAACAAAAAAATTTGTCATTAGATGGATAAGGAATCATTAAGAAAAGGAAGTAAGCAATTAAATTCCGAGCTAACTAAATTTAAATGAAAATGACATTATATATAGGTTTCTAGATTAAATTTAATTTTCGAAAATGAAAGTATTGAATAAGGGGAGATGAGGTATAAAAAAGCTAAGGAAAAGAGAGATTAGTTAATACATATACTTTAGATGAGGTAATCAACTGAAAACTAAGATGGGCCAATGTTACAATATTAAAAAGATGTTATGAAAAGAATATTTGATAAGTAATAATAAAAAATTTTACTTTTGCTTTAACTAAAATTTTTATAAATTATTTTAAGAATATTCACATTTGAAAGAATGAGGGGATACATTCAAAAATATGAAAGTGAAATAATTAACGAAATACTTTATGAATATAAATTCAATCTGATAAAATTTATATATGATATTAGCAAAATTCAAAGTATAGAAGAATACTATCAGATGTAAATTTTACCTAAGGTTTTTATAATTAATTTTGTTTTAATTTTAAAAATAATTCATAGTAATTTTCCTCAAAGAGAAATCGCCATTAAATACATACGCTAGATTTTAATAGATAAGCAAATAGAATGTTTGAATTTGAGTTCGGAAGAATACAAAAGTATTATGAATAAATTAGATAAAAATTCAATAGCTATCAAATATGTTACAAAAACACAAATTTAAAAAAGAGTTAAAATATTTGAAGATTAAAACTAAACTTAAGAAGAAAACTAAGAGAATGATAAAAAAGAATTATAAAGTGGTAGTGCTACACCATAAACCCCAAAAAAATAAAATGTTGGTTTCATAACTTCTACTGAATAATATAAATCCTCCATACTTTAAGGAGGAAAGCAAAATTTAAAAGAAATCACTAGGTATATTGTTGTAAAAGAAATTAAGTTTAACCATGAAGCCTCTAATATATCTTATATTGATTATTTACAATAATTATTAAAAAATGATATGGTTTTATCTATTGATAAAAAGTACGATGTTGTGAGAATAGTGCTTCCTATGGTATTTATTTATAATTTATTTTTACTTACTTTTAAAAAAATTTAGCAATAAATAAATAAATAAAAGGTTGTTAGGTTTATTAAGCATATTAGTGATCATAGAATTTTTAAATTTATTTAAAACACAAAAAACTGTTATAAAGATGATGCTTTAATTGAATTTAAAAGTATTTTTATTATTTAAATTACTTAAATTTATATATTAATTAATTAAAAGATATGTAAGCTGATGTCTCAAAATAAATAAAAAAAATAATTAGAGTTTTAGATAAAATATAAGTATGTTTTTTTGTTAATATCTTATTGGTCTTGTAAGTTTTTAAAATTTATAAAGTAAGCTGTTGAAGAAATGAATTTAGATAATAGAAAATAATACTATATATAATATATTGACCACAGATAAGCTGATGAACAAAAAGAAAAGGTCCTTGAAAGAGTAGTAAGCATGTAATTAATTAATTAATTTATTTAAAATATAGAATAAAAATTATTTTTTTCTTGAAAATGTTAGAGTTAATTCCTTAGTTTATAGCAATTTAAATTTAACAGTAGAGTAATCATTCATGACTTTACTCTAAAATATGGAGACATATTATAGTATCCTTCCTTTTGAAACTATTAATGAACATGTTTTAAAAGCATTTTATCCTTAATTTTATGAAAAACGAATTTAATAAAGAATAAAGCTTCGAATTTTGGTAAAATTAGTAATTATTTAAATTTTTATAACAAAGAATTTTAAATAGGAAAATCAAAGAAATTCAGAAGTATAGGATTAAGATAAAAGAAATTTGCCAATTAAATCATTATAAGTATTTTAATTTAATTAAATTTATAATAAATTAAATTAAATATAAATTCCTCAAAAATTAGTCGATTGCAAACCAAGATTAGTTTAATTAGTAAAATGAAAGCGATAAATTTAGCAGAAAAGTAAAATAGTTTAAAATAAATCTTCATAAATTAATTATAAAAAATAAATTAGAGTTTTAAAAAGTCTTATAGACTTATAGAGGCAGATGAAAATAATTAAAATAAATCTCTAAAAAATATACAGTCTTATCGATTTACAAGTAGGACAACTCACCAATTATTTTTGGATGAAGATAATGATCTTTTATGCAATGGTAGTAAAGAAAACTACTTGATGAGAGATTCTAAAATTATATTTTATTTATATCAATCATTGATGGACATTCTATTAACAGGTAAGTTTAAAATATATTGTAAAGAAAGAGTTATTCAAATATTATTTATAAAAATGTAGATTATAATCTTCACATAAAATATCTTGATTTAAATAAGCTAAAATTAAAACCAATCTTTACTTTTAGAGTTAAAATTTTATCTGAAAAGATATCTGCTGAAAAAAAAATTATTCACAATATAAAAAAGAACATTTAAATAAATAAAGCAGACAATAAGCAATAATTTGAGAACATATTGGATATATAGAGAGGTAAGCTTTATGAATATAAAATATTGCAAATGAGGGATATTTTTGATGAATGTGCTAAAAGAAATTTTAGTGAATATGATTTATCTGATTTATAAAATATAGATGTAAATCAAATATTTTTTGTTGATAATATATTTCTTAAATAAACAAATTTTTATTAGAAAAAAGGAATAATCTATAAAAGACTTGGTTGGTTTAACTTAAGTGAATTTTTGTTTTAAACTGAACCATCACTAGAAACTTTTGAAAGCGAATTTAAATAGATCTTTTAATTGGGAATAAGTTAAATATAACAGCTGAAACTAATTTAAAAAGAGGAAACTATTTACGAAAATGAAAAAGAAAAAATCCCTAACTACTTTAATTAAAAAGATCTTTAATCTTACTACATAAAATACGTTAATAACATTGAAGAATTTTTGATTTGGTCAGTTTATGGAATACATTCTTTTATGGCTATTCTTTTAAAATTTGAATTCTATTTTTTATTTTCATAAAAATTTGAACCTTATTTACAAAATGAGCTCAATCAAAATGTAAAAATTATTTTTACAATTTTTTATAATAAATAAACAATTTTTATAGTCACTCACAAACTTTTTTGAGGAAATCGAAAGGATGTAAAGAGATAGGGATTTTGCTAAAATTAACATACCTAATTATGTCAATTTAGGAGTTATTTTACTAGATGTGTAAAAGTTCAAAGTAGATTTAATTGCAGAAATTGAATAAAAAATAAAGATTGCTAAGGTACTTCTTTAGTAAAAATGTGAAGATACGATAAATTTAATAGATAAATTAAATGAGGAAATGCACAAAACATTAGATGTTGATCCAGTATCTATATCAGAGTTTATAACTATGAACATTTATTTGCAAGGAGAAAATATTTAAAGGCATTTCTTAAAGTTTGAAGAGAGTATGGACATTATAAATGTTATAGTTGAAAAGTTAGAGAAGGAAGAGATTGAAATAAGTTCATATATAGGATAAAAGCTAATGCTTCCTTCAATGCTTAAAGCATTGTATGATTTAAAGGTAAGGTTTATTTTTTTCAATAGTAAGCTAAATATTAAAGAACAATTTAAAAGAGTAAAAAAGAACAAAAGTAAAAAGAAATGAAAATAAAGTTTTAGAAAATGCATTCAGATAAGAAAAATGCTATATCCTAAGAAATAGATTAAATAGAAATAGAAATATTTGAATTCAAGAAATTAAATGATATTTCTAATTCATTTAATAATGCATTGCATGTAGATACCATAAAATCTAGACTTGAATTGTTGGCTCAAAAGGTAGATGATGTAGAGTATGAATAGAACCACTTTTAAATTGTTGATGAAGAACCTCTGCCAATTTAGGATATAATCTAAGATTTCGATTATTATTATAAGCTCTGGAAGTTCTCTAGTGATTGGAAATATGTAAGAGAATTTTTTTAATAAAACATAAGATTTTAAAAAATAAAATAATAAATTAGAAAAAAGAAAACTGGCTCAGTAAACCTTTAGTTTTTCATACATAAAATTCTTTAAATTAAAATGATATGAAAGAGATAGCTTAAACACTTGAGTAAGGAATGATAGTACTAAAAGAAGTAGGAGATTATTTTGAAAAATACAATAATGATCTGTTATAAGTATGTGACGATTTAGAAAATTAAATTTCTGAATTTGAAAATGTATTAGATCTTCTGAATCAAGTTAGAGATGAAGCATTTAAAATTGAGCATTGGATTGTAAGAGATAAAATTAATTATCATTTAAATATTTTATGATTATTTATAAAAATAGAAAATCTTTGAGGTTATGTACCCCGATAATGAAGCTAAAAAATAATAAATTAGACAACAAGGTTTGAATAATTAACTAACTTTAGATATTCTTTTAAAGGATGACATTCTTGGCAGTTTAGCTTATGTAGAAAAGATTTCAGGAGTAAAATCTTATTTAATAATTAATGATATTCAAAAAAATTTTAATTTGAATTTTAGTAAGCAAGAAAAGAACATTAAGTTCATTAGAGCATATTGAATATGGAAAATGAACTCAAAGATATTAAATTTATCATTGTAGACTATCATGGTATTTTAATGATTAAAGATATTGAGAAAATAGTATCACTTTTAAGGTCATAGTTTTTTTAGATTGAAGATATGATTAAGAATAAAAACTATCACAAAGAAGACTTTGCAATTAAGTTAAGTGATCTTGAATATGTAATTAAAAACAGTAGAAAAACTATTAAAGACATATCTACAATTTAAAATATGCTAATATAGTACTATCCTATATTTAAGTTTAAAAAAAATTTAAACTACCTAAAAGAGTTTAACCTTTTGTTCAATAGATCAAAGGATTCATTAATACCTATAGTAGAAGAACTCTCAAGGAGAGGAATGAGCTATTTTATCAACATTTTCATTAAAAATGAAGATGATAAAATTTATTAAGAATAATTTAAATGTAGATTTTTTAATTGAAATTAAAAACTTATTTTGCTAAATTTTTATATTTTTTCTAAATTCATCAATAGAAAAATTCAAAGCAATCATATAAATGCTAGAGAAAATTGGTAATAATATTTAGCTTGTCATAAAGCATGTTCGTTCTAGTAACAGTCGCTACTTTTTTATGAGCAATCATTAAATTTTGCACTTGTGTTCTTTGGTACTCTCTCCACTTGTATTTTAAAAGAATTTTTACAGTAATTTTTTATTTCAAATAACTTTTTAATAATAGGAATTTATGAGATTTCTTACTCAAGTTTTTCCTGGAATAATTGATTTTAAAATAGCAATTTCAAAAGAAAATGAAAAAGGATTAGGAGAAGAGTATAAAATAACATCTATTATAAATGAATATAAGGAAGAAATTAAATTAGATAAATACAAAATACTTCATTCATTGCAAGAATGGGATGACCCTCCAACTTTTACAGTGATTAGGGAAGTAGAACTTTTTTAAATGAAATATATAAAACAGCAAATTTCATAATTCTTTATTCCTATGATATCTAATTCTTATAACTATACTGTTCTTTGGAATTTAATATCTTCGAAGCAAACTATTTTTTAAGTAAATTTTTAAAATAAACTAATTAATGTTATCAAAATATAATTTGTAATAATTAAATTTCATTAGGTTCTTTTTGTTATAAATGATATCATATTCTATCATGATCTATCTATGATTATTTATTTGCAGACAGAGCCAAGCAAAGATACAATCTAAAATTTAATTGTCTTAAGAGATACAATTTAAAATCAGCTCAAAATTTTAGTCTAAAGTGTAATTATATCTATGAAGCAAGGTATTATCAAAGAATAATTCACCTAAGCATAGTAGTTTATCCTTTAAATAAGATATCATCTAGACATTATTAACTATTTTCTAGAAAATTAAGTTTTTACTATCGATCAGTTCGAATATCTTATTTTACCAAAAGTAAATTATTCTTTTCGAAAATCTAAAATTAAAATATCTTTAACAGATAACATTAGATATGCCAAAAGGATTAGTAAAAACAAATATAGGTGATATAATGAAGAAGACTAAAGAAAATGTTATATATTAGATTAGCACCTATGAAAATATAAGCGAAATGCCTCCTATCTCTAAATCAAGTGACTATTTATAGGAATTTTAGGGAAAAGAATATAATATTTCTATGATATCTTTAAATTATAAAATGAATTACTAATATGAAATTATTCCCATCCTTTAGGGATATGTGTTTACACCATGCACAAATAGGATATTTGTTAAAATAGCATCTGCCTTTTGTAGTTAGCTTGGATCACTTTTAGTAGGATCTGAAGCTTCAGGTAAGCTTGAATGTGTTAAAGCTTTGTGCTTTTATTTAGCAAAGCCTCTCTTTATTTGGGAATTTGATAGCAGTCAAAAGTAAGACAGTGTTAATTAAATTTTAACTGGTGTTTCATCAGGAGGGTACTGGCTATACATTAAAAACTTATAAAATTGCTCTTCTGGAATTTTAAGCACATTAGCTCAAATAGTTTTTCTCATCAGAAAATCAGTAAATTAAAAATTTTATTAAAATAGATGTTTAATTTTTTTATTTTAATAGTTAGTGACTGGTTAAAAGAGCTTTTAATTGATAAATTAGAGCTATGTTATATAAGATAATTGTTGCATACTAGGAGGATTTAACATAAGATAAGACACCCTATTAAATTAAATAAAATTTGAGGAATTGCCAAAGGGTATTTTAGAAAATTTTAGATGTATAAATGTAATTTAACCAAGCCATGAAATTATTATCAAATAATACTTTTTATTATTGGGATTTGATGATATAGAAAGAAATGTTTATAAGATGCAACTATTTTTAGAATACATCTCGACATATTATAACAGCTAAATACTATCAGTTAAGGGTAATATAGATAAGGAAGATATTAGCAAATTGAGAGTATACAATAATTTTTCAATAAATTAAATTGTAAATCTGAAGAGTCTAATGCTGATACTGAGATACAGTTAAGATCTGTTCACTCAAAAGAGAGGAGATGTTTTCTCAGACCCTACGAGCATCCTACAATCTGCTATTGAGAATTACTTTAAGTAATTATTTCATACTTAAAATAATTTTTAAAAATATTTAAATTCAAGGTGCTCACTCACAGAAGATTAATTTAAAGTCGTTATGTAATCATTCAAAAGAATATTTGATAATAGCAAAGAAGATTTTTCCTATAAAGCTTTGTTTTCAAAAGCATATGAGTCTACTTAAGAAAAAATAAATTAATGGCTGAATGAAAGAAATGTTAAAATTAATGATAGAATAAACGAATATATTTAAATAATGTTACCTTTAAGTATTCATAATCAAAGATTCTTATTGTATGGGCAACCGGGAAAACAAAAAAGCTTCTTAATAAAGCTTTTGGCATTTATCAGTTCAAGATATTAAAGTAAATAAATCATAAAAATATTATTTTTTTTTAAAAATTGTACTAATAATTTTGCATTTTTTAGGAAAAAACTTTTTTTTGAACTGGATCAAAGTAGATGGTGTTAAGGAAAACAAGTTGATTGGTGGTTATGATGATAATGGTATTTTTTATTTTCATCAATTTTGATTTTTGAAACTATTTTATTTAGGATAATGGAGTGATGGTATCTTAATTTAAATGATGAATGCAATAAGAAATTATGAATCTGCTGAAAATTAAGATTTTAGAGATATCATGAATTTTGAGAGACATTTTTGTTCATAATTGGCAGACCAATTTGGCAAGAATCCTATGTCATAAGTTAAATAAAAAAAGGCATAAGTAGAAATAAAAAGAAATTTTAAAAAGAGAGGGACTTATACAAGCTAAAACTCTTTGACAAAAAAAACGACATCCTATACAGATATAAAATCAGATGAAAAAAAACCTACTCTTACAGATATATAAGATGTAAAGTCAAACACGGGTAGCAGTTTATCTAATATACAGAAATCTTAAGTAGGGTCTATAGTAGTGGATGAAAGTAAAAAAACTCATACTAGTTTAATTAATGAAAGTGAGGTTATAAAAGAAGAAGTTGAGAACGAGGTTGAGGATAAAGAGGTGACAGAAGTTACACTTAATGATTGGTTTATTTTAGATATATCGTCTTCTATGAATGAAAAGCCTTTTGTGCACACTGTTGATAAACTATTAAAAGGTATACATACTAACACTTTTAGTCTTTCAAATCAAGGATTATTTAGAATACCTAAATAGCTTTACTTCGTAGTTGAAATGGAAAGTCTAAAAGAATTAAACCCTGAAAGTATTACTAGCAATTTCCTTATATGTGCTGAAGAAGAAGTCTTTAATATTCAAGAAGAGTTTGAAAGCTGGATTTCTTTAAAAAAATCTTAAAATAAGTTTTATTACAAACTTTAAGGATTGCTTTAGTGGCTCTTTACATTTTTCTTTTAAGAGTCAATGAATTATTTTTCTAATTAATTAGCATATAAAAAAGTAATATTTAAAATAATAATTAGACTATATTATTTAAATATTCATTTTTATATTAAATAGGATATGATTTTTAAGCTTTCTGACAAAGGTTTTCTAAAAAATTTCTTAAATTATTTAGATATATTCCTTAACGAGTTTAGAAAGTATGAAATATCATGTGGAGAACTAGATTGGAACGAAGCTTAAGAATCATAGTAAATGTAAACAATTTAAAGCTATACCTCTCCATAACAGCAAACAAATTAAGTTAATAATACCTCTTAAAGTAATAATGTAATTTCACCTACAATAACTGATAAAAACTTAAATTTTGCTAAAACTGGATTTTCTTAAGCTGTTGTAGCTTAAAACGTACCGAAGCTTAATTTAAGAAGACTAAAAAAAAGGTAAGATTCAGTAATATAGACATAATCAATATAATCTGAAGATGAAGATGAATCCATAAAGGTAGACAAATAAATAAATAAATATATTTTATATCTTAATTGCTAATTTTAATATAATTTAAATAGAGACTAAAATAAAATAATAATGAGTAAAGAGTTTGTGTAACTGTTGAAGCTATATTTATCTTTAATTTAATATGGGGTATTGGAATTTCTTTGAGAGATGAAGTCAAACCAAAATTTGAAAGTTTTCTATAAGACCAAAGCTAGTTATATCTAAAATATAGAATGGAAATTACACAAATAAAATCAAACTCTAGCACTTATCCTTTTGCTCAGAATGTGTGGAGCTATCTTTAATACTAGAAAAAGCATAATAGCAAATTTTCTATATTTGATATGTACTACGACATAACCAAAAACAAATGGTAATCTTGGAAATCATTTTAAATGGATGAATCATCTTTGATTAGCTGCGATTTCTATTCTAATTATCTTGAAGCATCAGAAATTATTAGATTAAACCCAGCTGCTATTGATGTTATACAAAATAAGTTAGATACAGATTTACCTAACTACTATATTCCTGATTAAACTATTTATATTGAGACAAAATCTTCAAAAATAGCCAATTTCTTCACAACATTTGCCTTAGCTTATGAAAAACCATTTGTTTTAAGTGGATAAACACAAAATGGGGTTAGTTCATATACCAAATGGAAGGTAAATATTTTTTTCACTATTAGGTTATATGATATTCAAACAAATAAAACTACTAGATGAAAGCAATGATAGAAAAACAATCTATTTAAGGGATTTACATATGTTTGTCAAAAAAGACTTAAGTGCAACACTTTCAGAAAAAAGTAGAAACTAATCTTATTGAAAAGACTCACAACACTCTAATGCCAACTAATAATAACAAAGCTGTTGTATTTATTGATGACCTGAACCTTTGTACAAGGTAATTTTAAATTTTATTTTATATTCATTAAATAACTTTTTTGATAAAGCGGACCTTCAACTTTAGGAGCTCTCAGATATTTCTAGGAACACGGAGGATGGTTTTCAAACTCATAAAATAGGTATTTTAAATTAGACAGAGTAACATTTTGTTGTATGCACTCCCATTCTTCAAATATAAAATCAAATATTTTTCAATCTATTCCTGCAACTTATTTGTCAAAGCAAATGGTAGTTGTCATCCCTAAATATAGTGAATAAGAATTAATTACAATATTTTCTACTCACAGTGGAATTATAACCTCTTCTAACCTAAACCCTTAGTTAGTGAATATCTTAAAAGTAAACATTCTAATTAAAAAAAATAATTTATTTTATTCATTTTTTATAAAGACTTTTTATGGGGTTATAGCTGTAAGTTTGCTAAATAACTATTTGGAAATAAAAAGTATAGAAAACTAATTTGGAGCTAACTTAAGCCTTAAAAAGGGATTAGAGATAGTAAAGAATCTAAACTTTTTTGAGTTTTTAACAGAGAATAAAAAAAATATTAATCCCTAATTGCTTTACAGATCTTTAGTTTTCCTTATTAACCAATACTTTTCTAGTGAGTTTATACATAATTTATCAACATTTAAAGACAGATTGAAAGCTGCTGAATATTTCAAAAGATAAAAGTTGCAATCACAGCTTGAGCTTTCATACTCCTCAGATGAGTCTAATAAAATTTACAATGCATAATTAGACATTTAAAATATAAAAACATTTGTAAATTTTGCTGATAACAAAACAAAAAAAGAAGAAACTTAAGAAGACTATGGTGGTAATTAAAAATTAAATTAAAATTCTTTCACTATTTTCAAATACTTTTGTAAAATTTATTAATACAGATGAAGAATAGCATTTTGAGATTTAAAAAATTAAGGAAGGTTTGATTTCAAACTATAATGAGATCTAAAAGCTACGAATAGAATTTGAAGAGAGAAAGCCTGTGACATTCGAATAACACATCATGAATTTCTTTGAAGATGTAGAAAAATAAATCGAAATAGCTAACAAGCAAAAAATAAATTAATAAAAACTTGAAACCTCATCATTAAAAGTTGATTGTCAACCTATTAATTAACTAATGAAAATATCATTAAAAATTAATGATATTTAGGAAAATTAATATCATATTATTACAAATGGTAGTTTAAATAATGAGGCAACTTAAGCTTATGGCTAAGATGAAGAAAAAACAAATTTAAATAATACAAATTATTTGAATATACCTTTAAAGAATATGTAAAATAACTTGAAATCAGAATAAAAATTATAAGGAAGTGAATTTAAAATTTAAGAGCAGAATAATACAAACTTAAATACATAAGTTTTAAAGAAAGCGATAAGTAGCACATCTATATATTCTCTAGCTTAACAGAATAAGTTAGAATCAGTAGGAAATTGGACACCTAATCAAACAAGCAGATAAGTAAATTAAACCTAACTTGAAGAATTTTAAAAATAGCTTGATGAATTAAACAGTCTATCTGAAAGAGAATAATAAAATGCTTAAGAAGATATATTAACAGCTCATGTACTACAGAAAGTAAGTGAAATGACATTTATGTTTGATGATCTTAATACAATACCTGATTAATTTATAGTTGAACTAACGAAATGTATTTAAGAAGATATTTAAATAGATCAAGAATCATCATTTAATATGCTCAACCACCGTAATGATATTCTTTTTTTTAATAATGAGCTGATGCAAACTAATTAGAATTATAATAGCTCTAATAAAAGAGATTAAGGTATTCCTTCATCAGTACCTTAAAAATTGAAACAAAATAGAATGAGTATATATTCAAATATATTTAGTTCGAAGATAGAAAATTAGAAATAAGGAAACACGAATAAAATTTATTTTAATTTTGATGTTACAGGAAAAGATGATTAGAATTCATCTCAGCAAATTTAAATTCCTTTCTCTGAATAATTATTGGAAGACGATGATGTAAAGCAGTTTTGCTTTGTAACGAAGAAAAAAGAAATAGATATTTTTAATCACATATTAGAATTATTTAAGCTTTATAGCGAAAAAAAAGAAAATAGGTTCCTGATGGATGATTTTTTACTGCGTGAGAGCAATTTGGAATGTTTATTTTATCATACTGTCAAAATGCTTCATCTATTTTAGATTTCTTCTTATCACATATTTTTGAATAGCTTACTTAGAAAATAGAGTGCATAAAGCATAATTCATTTTATTGGCTACATACTGAGCTATCAGTTTTTCTCATTAGACCTTTATCAAGTATAATAAAACATCACTGTAGAGAACAAAAATCAAAATAAGAGTAAAAAAGAAAAGGAGATGAAATAATAAAGCCAAAAAGATGAGTAATCCTCAGACTTAAATACTTAAGATTTAAAAGAAATATTTTTAAATAAATTATATGAAGTCATGTAAAATTTATTTTAAGCTCCTCAGAAAGACTAAGATCAAAATTCATCAACTTAGTAAATACCATCACAACCGTAAACTCAAAGAGGAGTTATTGTAAATTAAGAAAGACCTTCTTTATAACTTTAGAATTAATTCACTTAATAATACAGTCAATCTAATATATTAGAACTGCAATAAGGAAAAAATAGTCTTATTGCACCTACTTTTGAAATAGGCTTTTAGAACTAAAATTCAAATATTTAAGGCTAAAATTAGCATTATAATTAATAGAATGATGAGCCTATTATATTTTTTATCAATATCAGTTAAGATACCTTAGCTCATGAAGAAACCATGAAAAGTGTTTAAGAAATTCTAGATATTATTCATTCAATCACTAATGAGTGTGAAATATTAAGTATACTTACTAAATCTAAAGTTGACAAGTTAATTTCTGAAATTTGGAAATTAGATACTCAACATGCTAATCTGACTTATCACCACCTTTATATTCTCATAAGCAAAAAAATGGCCAAAAGAATTAAGTTTGTTTTAAACCAAGAACCAAAGGTAAATAGACAGCACATGTATTATATACATAATTAATCGCTATTTAAAAACTTTACTAAATATACTCTGTACAATATAACTTAAGAAAATAATGAGAATAGTATTTCATAAAAATGCTTTACTTCACTTACTCAAGAGTTGGTTAAATCTAATATCTCTAAATTTAAAAACTCTATTATATCCTATACTTATCCATTTGAATCCCAAGTATCTTAAGTATATGAAGAACAATTTTTCTAGAATATACACAGAACATATGAAGAAACATGTTCCCTTTTTTTCCTACTTTATAATATACTAAGTTCTCTTTTAAGGTAAATTTACTAAGTGTAATGTATAATATTATTAATTCATTTTTTTCTAAAATTAAAGATAAAAAATTAAGAAAGCATAAGAATCTGGTAGTTTTAGTACTTTAATGCTAGTTATGCTCGATAAGTAGATGTAGTTCGAAGAAGAAATTAAAAATTTAGAAGATTAGTATGTTTAAATTGTAGAAAAAAGAGAAATAGCTGAGTCTACAATAGCTAAGGCAACTGATTAACATAAATAACTTCAAAAATAAATTGAAGGTAAAATCTTCTTTCTCTTTCATAAAGCAATAATTTCTAAATAATTCAACTTAAGAAAATAGCTTTCAAATTTTAACTAAAAAATTTTAATTAATAGAGTTTATAAGTGAAGAAAAAAGAATCCAAGAATAAATAGACAAAGTTATCAAAAATGATCAATAAGTGTTAAAAACTCTTAATCTACTTGCAGGTCCTATCAAAGAATTAAACGAAATGAAATTAGATAGATATAAAGAATAAGTAATTTTTTCTTTGCTTTTAATTTGTATATCAAATTTTTTTTTTAACAAAATTAATTTTAAATAAAAGATTGACTCATAAAAATTTATAGCTCATAAACCCTTAAATTCATACATGGTTGTGTTCTTTATAATGTTTAATAAAATTTTACCTGATGAACACAAAATTGAGTTGAGCTAAATCGAAAATGACATTGAATCGACAAAAAAACATGCACAACTTTTTAATGCAAATGAAATTCATAATTAACACTTTTACAAACAATCATTTGCAAATGTTATTGACGACTACAAGGTTATTAAAAATATAGTAACTAGTTTTAATGAAAAATTGGTAATTTATTTGTTTTGCTTATTACAAGATTAAGTTTATTCATATTATAATATTTAACAAATAATAGTTTTCTTTAGAATAGTTTAGTGTAATGAGATAGCTTGGAAAATCGTAAGGCAGCTTGGAAAATGCATCGAATGTTTATCTTTCTATAAATTTAAATTTGTTTTAGAGAGAAATCCTCAAATTTATCGAACTTAACATAGAACTTTGTAGAAGTTGGATTGAAAGAAGCGAGATTAAATTATCAATCCCTGAACTTAAAGAATAATTATAATAAATAAGAACAAAAAAAGTGGATTTGGAGTAAAAAATTAAAGAGCCTATAAAATTGCTTAATGAAATGCCTTCCAAGCTTTAAGATTTAAAACTCAAAGAAGAAGATCTCAAGGACCACCTTGCAAAGTATTTAATTAATTTCTTAAGATCATTCAATTTATTATTATAAAAATGAATTTAAACATAGATAAACTGATGGTATTGAAAGGTTCAAAGTACAGTATGAAGAATTAAAGCATTTATTCTAATAAAAGATATATTACGAAATGAATAAATTGACTGATTAAGATATCTTTGAATAATTTTTACTTAATTTAAGTCTTTATGGAGTCTATTGCATGAAGTATCCTTACTTTATTTAGGATAAAATAAAATCAACGTTTTAAAATAACCACTCAACAATCGACTTTTAATTCAATCATAAAAAACTATTTACCTATTTATATGATAAAACTTACTATTTGCATTCACTAAAATTAGACATTCCTTTGAATTAGGATATAATAGACACACTTGTTTTATTAGAATTTTTACAAGAAAATGACTCATTTTATTATCCTTTTGTGATCGATCCTAGCTAAGTTTTTATGAAGTATTTAAAGAAAAAGTATGATTAAAGAATAATTATCGAGTCATACACATGTGATCCTGAAACATTATAAAATATTGAAGAAGCGATGAAAACAGGTCAAATTTTAGTAATTTAAGATTTTGACTAAGAGTTATTGAACACCATGATACCTATCATAGAATGGAAAAATAAAAGGATGAATAAACTAATACTTTACTATATGATGCACTATAACTAATACCAGTTTGATGAAGATCTTCAAAGTATTTTCATAAATGAGTAAAGAGATCCAATAGTTTTTAATGGTAAGCTAATAAATGTCCATAAATTGTTCAGGGTTTATTTTGTAAAAGACAACTAACAAATAGCATTTTCTCATACACTTTTCAGTAAGCTATTTACGGTTATGATAGATTTAGAAGATGAAGAAAGATGGAAAGTAGTATTTACAGATCTCTTGATCACAATATTCCACAAATAAGAGAAAGATGAAATATTACAAAAAAATATTAATTAATTTAAAGAAAGAGAACTCATAATTGATTAGTATTCTATTTTGAGAAAATTAACATTTTTTTTATATTTTATTTGTAAATTTTAAAAGATCTATATCAAGAATAATTGACAAGCTCATGGAGACACATACTTCAGAAGATAAGAATTTAATTTAAACCTTAAAAATTGAAATCGATTAGATACAAACTCAAATCAAAGAAATGATCGAAATTGATAAAATCGAGTAGTCATTAAGAACAGAACATTAATAAGACCCAAATTAGTTTTAAGAAGATGCCATCTTAGAAGAAAATATCCCAATTATTAAAGTATTTAAATTATTTATATTTATTCATGTCAATATATTTTATTTTAAATTAGGAATTAGACAGATCAAATGCAAGCTAAGATAAAAAAAAGGGGATAAGAATAGGGTTGTAAATAGACTAGCATTCATCGAGCAGTATGAGTTCTATAGAATCTGAGCATGAAAAGAATTTACAAATTTAAATACCAGAGAATGTATTCAGAAATCCAAGTACAATAGCTAAAGAACAAGATAAAACTCCTTACACTCCCGGAGGAACTCCTTCTCATTCTTCAGTTGAACAATACAACAATAAGAGACTTTCATTTATTTTTAATACTAAAAAAATTATCAACGAAAAAAAATTAGATGAGAGTAGTGAGATACTACCTACAAAACGTATTATAGATGTAAGAATTAAAAAATTTTACAACTACATCGATGAATTAGCTTAGCTAGCAAATATTTATATTGATATACTTGATTTCCTTTATGGAATAAGATTAAATTCAATGAACCTAAAAATATCTGATATTTATAGCTTTTCAGATGCCTACTTTATGATGGTTATAACATAGGCCTCTTTACACATTAAGGGATAAGGTTTTTCTACTCATGACAAAGGCTATAATATTGTAAACATTTTTATTTTATTTCATTATTTTTTCAGATAATATCTTAAATTAATTAATGATAGGATTAAAAATTTAAATTTAAATTTTGTGAAGAAGTCTACAATAGAGTTGTTGGAGCCATGTAAAGGGAGCATTAACTTTTATATGGTGTTTATTTAGCTGTTATGTTTTTGAGGGGTGAAAACTAATTTAATGAATTCGAATGGAAGATGATTTCGAATTGGGTGATTCAAAGAAAAAGTATTAAGGATGCATCATTACATGATTTTAACAGCTCTGAAATTGAAACTAAATTCTTTGGAATAGAGTCATACTTGAACACATTTTTCTAATATAATAAAGAGTTACTAGCACCTCTTTAAATTAGCAATGCCAAAGGTTATTTAATAATGTTATATCTTAAAATAAATTAATAAATTTATTTTTTTATAAAAAGACTAATTTTCTATATTTTATCACAAAGACTTTCTTAATTCAGTAAAATAGCTTGGAAATAGAAAGGAGGCAAATAAGTAAAATAAAAATTAAGACTTAGAAACAATAAATTAAAAAGCAGCTGCTAATGAAGATAATTACGGAGGAGAAAAATAAGATATGGAATAAGTTAATAATAAAACTGTGCTTGATCACACTAAAATTACTATCCAAAAAAGTAAAATGAATACTCCTTCAAAGTTTAGTGCAAATGAAAATTTTACACCAAGAAATAAATAGACATTATTTGGATAACAAGTAAAAAATGTTTTGTAAAATGGTAAAGGCTCAGATCATTAGTCCTTCTAAAGTTTTGCTCTTCTATCGAAGAATTAAATCAGCTCAAAGTCTGAGTTGGATAGCTAATCATAAATAGATAAGCATATTGAAGGACTTTAAACTAAATAATTTACTCATATTCCTAGCAAATTCTAAAATTAAAGTAGTAATGTTCACTAAGATTCCTTTTAAAGCTATGGCAATATAAATAAAACAAATCAACAATAATAAGGATATCATGATGATATGATGAAAATTTTGTAAGAATATCCTTTGAAAAAATAAGAATAAGTAGGCTATTAAGCTTTTTAGTCTTTTATAAAAATATTTTAACATATTTAAGAAAAAACAAAGCTAAAATATGCTCTTGATAGTTTAACTGATATGCATAATGACTGGATTAGCTTTATCAACACTAGTTTGAGGATACCAGATTACGATGAAAATAAGCTTTAGTTTTTCCCAAAAATACCTTATAATATTCATAAAAGAATGGCTCCTATTCAATTACTGTTAGTAATGAAGCATTTTAGACCAGACGAATTGAAAAGATTCTTTGGATTTTTTATTAGAAAAGCATTCAAAAATGTTATAATAGAAATTCCAAAATCTCTATTGAATCCTCATCTTATATAGGAATGGTCAAAAAGACCAACTGTTTTCTTTTATAATAACCTCGAGAGATCCATATTTGAAGTATTAGAGCTCAAGGCATAAAGGTATTTATATAGCTTTTTATTTTAAAACATAGTTTTTTAAAAAATATAGATTGAAAATTGATGGAGGTGTACAGAGAATTCCTCTAGGCATAATACCAATTGAACAAATACTATATTAGCTTGAGGTTTCTTCAGGAGCAGGGTAGTGGCTTTTGTTTGAAAATATTGTTGGTTTGAGTGAAAAAGAACTTAGTATGCTTTTAAAAAAAATAGATAAAGAATTAGAAGCTAAAACTACATAGAAAACATTTAAAATTTTCATTAGCTATCAGGTAAATTTTTTTTTTTTGATAAAATAAAGTAAAACTGTAAAATTTTAAAAGATGAAATTGGATGACTCAAACATTGGATTAAATAATTAAATATTAGAGGATTTTCTAGCAAAATGCTGGAAAATATCATTAAACGAAGCAAAATCTTTAACAGAGTAAATGGAACATTTACACATTATGGAATTAGAAGAGTATAGAGCCTCTAAGGAAGTTGTAGAAAAGGTAGAGCTAGTTGAGGTAAAGCTAGATCATTAAACTATGATAGAAAGCACTTAGCTTCCTTTTAAATCCAAAATAAAATGTCGCTTTCACGAGGCAATAAAATATAAAATGAAAATAATTTAATAAGCTGACTTCTTAAACCTACACTCGTTCCTTGATAAAACTTTCCTTGGGACAAATTATCCAATCTACAAAAATTTAATAACTAAGTAAAATTTGAATAAACTTTTAAACTATCTATATTTTTTAGAATTTAAAAATGATTTAATGTGTTAATAAATTTTTTATATGATAGGTACACCAACAAATATAAATTTGCTCTAAGATTTATACTCCTTTTACTTAAAACAAGATACAAAGTAGAAAGGTATTAAGAGCTATGCTATTTACCTTATTAAGTAGTTCAAATAACAGACTTCGATATATATAATTTAGTAGATGATATTTTTTTCTATTTAGAGGCTTTCCCTAATGATGTCTAGCTATTTTTAGAGAAGTTTATTTGTTTTTTCTTTGAATAAAAAAGTTAATATAATTCGCTTAGCTGCTTTAGCAAAAATACAATAGTAAATAAAATGAATCTTTATGCTTTCTCTTCTTTGGATTCTACTATTAAAGTGAACTATGACTAGTATATTTACGAAATGTATAACTTTAATGAAGGCTACTTCCATACTGTTGAGGAAGCTTAGTATAAAAAAATAGAATCTATGCCAAAAGAAGATCCTATTGAAATATTTGGTCTCAGTTTTAACGATGAAGTCATACTCAATTACTCTCATTCTCATCGGTTCTTGAAAAGAGTAAACAAAATAGAAAAGAATTGGAATCACGATAAATATTCTTAATTATTGAGATCTTTAGATTAATTTATAAACGGACCAAGTTCAAACATAGAAAATTCATTTGATAATAATAATTAAGCTAAGGACTTTTTCTTCATGCACCTTTCATACTTATAGTAATAGAGAGAAAAAGACTATGAATTAATCACATTCTTAGAATCTTTACAAGAAGTGTTTTAGATTGACTTCGACATTAATAAGCTTTTTTAGACTATCTTCGTTTAGTCATAAGACGAATATAATTAAAATTAATTATTGGAAAAGGGAATATTAAATATAAAATTAAATAATGAAGATATAATAAAACTTTCTCTAAAAATGCCTGCTTTGGCTCACTAAAATAGCATTGCTTCAAGTACTCACTCCATCATGGCTGAAGGCAATATGACACCAGTATCAATAAGAAATACTTTAAATATTGGCAATTAAAATTCAACTGTTAGAAGAAAAAGCAATTTTAATATAGAAGCTAATCTTGCTTAAAACGACCAATAAAGCTAAGAGTAAAGTGAAATATAAATTACCGAAACCCCACAGCATGAAACTAACTTATTAAATAAATCCTAAAGATTAGATAATTTAAAACAATAAATTAATGCAACAAACAATTAGGTAAATTAAAAAATTGAGATAAATTTTTGAAAATATATTTTTTAAATTAATTTAATAAATTTAGACACCTTTAAAAGATTATTTTTCCAAAAATAACTCCCTTCAGAAATATTTTGGCAGAGTTACTTAGATTGCAGCAAGAATCCATAATAATAAGCTGAAAGGGAATTTCAAAAGATTAGATTCTGCTGCTTCTATTGATTCTTAGATATCATCAAAAAAATCTGCTAATCTCTCTAATTCTGTAGCTTAAAATCAAAATAGCAGATACATAATGAAATTTAAAGATATTTATACAACATGCCTAATTAATGAATTAATGACTCTAGAAAATATAGTAAACTTTAATTTAATTTATTTAACTTTAATTATTTAATAAAATAAAAGTTTTTGACAATCAGATAGGATATCAGTAATCTAATATATTTAGTAAGAAATGGGTAAATTTTTTAACTTATTATTTAATTAATATTTTTTACAACCATTTTCATTAAATATTTAAAGTGAATTCACACAAATAAGTGGAGAGAAGTATTAGATTATCAAAAATATTTTAAATAACAAATGTCCTGAGAAGTGGTGGAAGCTAGGATTCCTCATTTCAGAATCAAATCTTACTGAGTTTATTAAGCATATTTTAATTTACTACGATTATATAAAATCTCAATTTTAGGACGAAATGGAAAATCCTCAATTTTAAATTTAAATTAACAAACTGATAAATCCTTTTGGATTATTGACAAGTATGATGCACCAATTCTGTCTTAAAAATAATGTAAATATATACAGATAAGCATACCTTTTGAAATTATAATAAATTTTAATTTAATGAAGGTACTATTAGATGATGTAAAAATTAAAATGAAGCAATGCTAGTTAAATAGAGACCCTTATAAAGAATAATTGGATTTCTTTATTATTTCTGGGTTTTTTATAAGGAGAGGCAAATTTGGTAGTGATTTAATGCTAGTAGATGAAGAAACAAGATAATTTGAGTAGCAACTGCCATTAGTTTACATAAAAGTAGAATTAAAAGTTAGAAATAAAGCATAAGCATATAAAACGAATTCTTAACCTTAAATTGTATGATTATTTTTATTTAAATATTTATTAAAATAAAATTTAAAAAAAAATAGCAAAGAAAAAGAAATCTAGCTATCGAGTTTACCTAGCAAAACAATCAAATAGATTTAGAAAGCGACTATTATTTTTAACAAGAAAATCCTATTTAATCTTTTCACTATGATAAAGACAAACTTAGTGAAAATAATAGCTTTATTAATTAAAGTCTATTTAAAGGAACTTAGAAAAAACCTGAAACTCCAAGAAGCATGCAAGCTTATTCTAAAGCAAACTAAATTAAAGAAAGTATAGATATTCACAATAAACTTACTTCTAATTAAGGAAACCTTAATAATGCATTTGCTTTAAGAGTTGCTATGAGAGATGAAATTACAACAAAGAAAGAGATTAAAGAAATTAACTTAAAGGAAAACGAAACTAATTATCCTAAGGGAACTTATGTTGTAAGAATACCAGTAGTTAACCCATCTGCTAACTCAATATTTACCTAATTTCCCTTAGAAGTTTATTTATATGTGCACTCTAATAAACCGTAAGAATACTGGGAGCAAAAAAGAACATAAATTTATATGCAAAAAATTAATTTGTGAACTCATTTTTAAAAATGAAAAAATAATATATTTTTAATAAATATTAAAAATTTGGAATCAAGAATTAAGTTGATTGGTATCTAAATAAAAATTTAATAAATTTATTTTTGCGTTATATGTATAAACATCTTTATTAAAACCTTAGTATATTTCTTAAAATATAATGCAACAAAAAATAATCTATTATTTCTTTTATATACTTTTTTAATTAAATAAGTTGTCAAATTTGTAAATTATCTGTATATCCTATTCCATACTTGCATATAACTTCACTTTCTACTAGTTTAGAGTGATTAACTCTCGTAGGAACCTAAAATGGAGGTTTGTATAATTTTACTTAAAAATCCTAGATATTCAAATTGCCATCTATAAAAAGAGGTGAATAGTGCCAGAGAAGTAGATTTTATCTGGAATCTAAAATTTACACAATAACGTGATATTTATCCAGTATCTTTTTGTTTTTCTCAAAAAATTTAGGCATATCTAAGTCTACCATTACCTCTTCTAAAAACTAAATTTCACGTTCATCATTTGGTATTTTAAATTTATTGCCTTAATTAATATTGAAATTATTTAGTAATTTAAAAAAAATGAATAAATTTACATTAGAATGAAATTTTTGCTTTATTATCATCAGCATAAATTAATGAGTCCTTTAGCAGAGACATTTTGAATGTTGTAGGATATTTATCTTGCACATTTACAATACCATCCATAAATAATGAAATAGGTTTTAATGGTTTAGGATTATCAATTATAGATTTATTTAATATTTAATCAACAATTCCTGTTTTATTATTTTATGATTCATTAACTAAGCTTGAATTTGGATTAATCATTGTGCTTTGCACATTGTTGTCTTTAATAGAACTTTCATTTGGATTTTCACCTTTTACAACTTCTTATTGCTATTATTACTACTATTATACCTAGCTTATTTATACATTTTCTTGTGTTTTATCGTTTTCTTTCTAGCTTTAATTTACTATACTTGATTAAGGTCTTTACTGTGGTTCCTTTTTTTCAAGCTCTGGATCTATCTAAGTTTTTTCTTCTTCCACTTATTTTTAAATTTGTGCTAAATTGCCTTCCATTAGTTGCTAAATTTTCAAAATAAAAAAAAAGTAAATTAATAAAACTAGTTAAATTCTGTGCAGAAATTACATATTCTATAGCCATATCTGAATATTTAATTAGATTGTAATTTAAAGGAGGTTGTAAAACAGGCATTTTGCACAGCCTTACTCTAAATTTACCTGTATTCAATAATATGTTTCTTTTTTACAGTTTAAGTAGAGGAGCATGCATCCAGCCTAAAATGGATCCGTTTTCATTAAAAAGTGTAATAAGTATTATTGCATTCTAAAAATTATGATAACTAAATTAAGCTAAAAGATTATTATTTCTTGTCTAGAAAGTATGAGTAAAATCCACTTCATAGTTATTTTTGTCTTATTGATTGACTCTTGATTAAACTGCTACAACACATGGTTAATTAGAAGCATCTTAGATAATCTACAATTTTTAAATTATTTTAATACTTACTAATGAATGATATTTAAACTAAAAGCATTAATTACAGTGTTATCCATTATGAGTGCTCCTTTTATATTAATCAGTGTTTCTAAATTTTAATTTAAATTTAAAAGTTTCGTAATTTTAAATGAAATTCCATCTGAGGTCAAATTTTCAACCTTTCCATCTTTTACTCTTTTAATTATGAAAATTTTCTTTTAAAAATTCATTTTAATTGTTAAATTTACTAAAAGTAGCTAGAAGGAAGTAATTCTTTAATTTAATCGTCTAATGTTTTCTTTAAAAACTCATTCCCTGTTTAAGCCTAAGTACTTAATATTTACTTATTTGGTGTATTTAAGTATTCAGAAACTTCATTGGGATTTACTAGTGAATTTATGTAATGTTTATTTAATTTTTTTGTAATTGTTTCTATCATCTTATCTTTATCTAATTTATTGTAATTATACGAATATCCCCATATTTTATCTTAATTTTCGCTTGTGCTTAGATTTTGTTATGTTTTAGGTCTTGAATATTAATCCAAAATATCTTCATATTCTTCAACTTATCCTTCATGCTTAGAGTGAGGAACTCTCTTTATCGATAATATTTCCTTTGCTCTCTCTCCTGCAATCTGCTACTTTTTTAAAGCAGATTCGATTGTAGATTTATCTTAATTCTTTAAATGTAGCTTTGGAACAAAATAATGTTCTGAAAAAGGATCTATTGTATAGCTTGAAGGGAAATGCTCTGGTAAAAATAATCTAAAGTAAAAGTATCCATTTGTTAAAGAAGGTAGTCCTACTTTGTTAATTAAAAATCTATCATACATTTAATCATAAAGAGGGATCTTAAAAGCTCCGCCATTAAAAACACCCATAGGATCAAATATTTCATGTAAACTCCATCCAAAAAATCGCCATTTGTATGGCATTTCCTTAACATAATTATTTGTAAGAATATTTAAAAATATTTAATATTTTTGAAAAGAAACTAAATTACTCCTTTATTGGCATACCAGATTTCAATATATAAAAGCTCATCTTTATCTGGCTTGATTCCTTTAACAAAATCTTAATTGCCAAAAAAGCATGTATTATTATATCTTTTTTTAAACAAAATTTGAAAAATAATATTAATTTTAATAATTATTTACTAAGAAATAGGCTATGGTTCCGGAATGTATTCTTTGGTTTATTTATAAGCTAGATACTAAAGATGCCTTTTTGAAAATCCATACTTTATGTATATTTTTCCTATTTCTTCAGGAATCCAGTTAATAAACTCAAAAGTTAAATAAAACCCATCTTGAGGATTGTAAGGGTCTGTAATGACTAGCTTATTCTAAAAATATTTAAAAGAGGGATCTTCCTCCTTTGACTAAATTTTCTTCTTAAAATATAACTCTCTAGCTTCTTATTTAAGTATTTGTTCAACATCAGCCATAAAAGGAAGTTCTCCATAATGAACTAGATCTAAATTCATCTTTGGATTCTATTTAATTTAATAGTAAATTAAAAAAGAGAAACAGAAATTTATTACTGAATTTAATGTATTTTTTTAATTATTTGGTTGGATATAAGTGAACTGTAAATATAGCATTTATGTATGGATTTAAAAGTTGTATTTTATTTGATGATTTATGTAAAATAAAATAAATTTATTACCTTTTTTTAAATAAATGTTGAAATTATTTCTTAAATATAGTCAAGTTTTTTCTTTAAGTTTTTATATTCTTATGAAAAAGGATCAAGCAATCTCATTTGCAAAAGTAGATCTGCTTCCTCTGCTTTAAAATATTCAAACATGTGATCATCTGTTTTTATTCCTCTAGGAGCATTTGTTGTAAGGTTATTCATATACGGTGTGCGTTATTCTAAAATTGTTCCATTTTCTGCTTTTTACAAATATAGTTTCTATGAATAATTATGAAATTTTGTAAAAAGGTTGAATTATTATCATTTTTTTGTAATATAACTAAATTATTATTCTAATTATTTTTCATATTAATTGACATTTGTTTAATAAAAGTTACCTCTATGGAGGAATAATGAGAGTAGTTATAAACTGGAGGAATAGTGCAATAATATTAAGCTACTGTTCCTTAGTCTACTTAATATTATGGCAGTGGTGGTAAACTAGGATAATCAATAAAATTGTACATTTTTTGGTAAGTATTAAATATATAAAATTTTTTAATAAAATTAATTGGTAAGTAAAGGTATTTATCAAATAATAAATATACTTTAGAATTGCAATATGTGGGCAAAATAATGTTTGTAAAATTTGAAGTAAATATCGATTCATATAAAAACAGAATAAAATAGAAAAATTGAATTGAAAGCCAAAAATTCTATTTTAAGCTGACCTAATATTTAGGTTAAAAAAACTATTTATAATTTATCTAAATTTAGAAATTCAAGTTTAACTTTACATACAAAAAAAATATTTTAAAATTAAAAATTAGTAAATTTAATTAAATAGCAAAAAATAAAAAATATTTTTAGTCTAATATTACTATAAAGCAAAAATATTTTAATTAATAGTTTTTTTTAATTTAATTAGCATTTTTTTATTTAATACTTATAAAATTACAGATCAATTTATTTTTTTATTCTAAATTGTAATTTAATTGTTAATATTAAAGTTACTATTAAACATATTGTTGTTATAATTTGATAAATAAATAAATAAAGATAAATGCTTAATTTAACACCATATTTATTTTTATTTTTTATTCAAAAAAATTTAAACTCAAAATTTGATTAAATTATTTTAGTTATAATCTAGTAAAAAATTTGCTTCACTATAAATCAGCTTTTTTAAGAATAATAATTACCAAAAAGATCTAAAAATAATTTGTTTATGATATAGTATCTTTATTAATTTATCTTATTAAATTTTTAATTTCTCTAAATACTCATAGCTTGTGAAATTATATTTCATTTTTTAGGTTTTGGTAATTAAGGATGATATTCAACCTTTATATATTTAATTATGAATCAATTTTTATTTTTAAGTCTGTCTTAAGCTAATTATTTCCACAACCTAACAAATTTAGATAATTTTATTTGAAGGGTTAAGTTTTGATTAGTAGAATATTTTTAATTAAACTTATTATTATCCAATAAGGTTTTTTCGTTTTTAAAATCTTCAAAATTTTAATTTTAACTTTTTTATATTTAAATTTATTTGTTTGGTTAAGCATAAGCTTCATCTGTTTATACGTCATAGGTATTTTATGAAACTAATAATCTGGATAAGCTTACAGTATCTCTTACTTAAAAATCTTGCATTTTTTGTAATTACCCTCTTGATGTATCTAGTTTACTCTCACAATCATCAAACTTATTTATGGAAGAATAAACATTATAGCTTCTATTAGATAGTTTTATATTATCCTCATCATTAAATAGTGTCTAATTTTCGGCAAAACTGTTAAGTTAAATATCTGAAATTAGTTTTTCACTTTAAAGGTAATTTTGCTTTAATGTTGATTCTACAAAGTTCTTTTAATACTTTTAAAACTTCGTTTAACTTTTATCCAAGTTAATCTCACTTATAGGTATCTATGTATTTGTAAATTCATTTGTTTATTACGAAATAAAAGGCTGTCTGCTTGTCGATTTATTAGATACAAGAAAAGATAAATCTTATAAACTGTCTCTTTAAGTTGAAGCAGGTGTTATTTAGTTCATTCGTCTCAATCCAAGCATTTTATTTTGTCTTTGATCTTAAAATTATTTAGGTTGAATTTAATACTATTTAATGTCTAGCTATTTTGCTTTTACTAATTATTATTAATTTTTTTATTCTTCCTCTTCATCTATAGGAGTGTAATCTCCTCTATCTTCAACAGTAGACCCAAACAAATTTTGACTATTTTCATCTTGTTGAAGCTCTAGTAAAAATTATTGAGACATATTTTTATTACAATTTAAATAGCAGCTAGCTTTATAATTTATATGAGCTTTTATCTTATTTTCTTTACATATTCTAATTCAATATATAAAAAATTAATTTTTTTATCTATTTAAATAATTAAAATTAGTTACTTTTAAAAATTGTCAGCTGCCAATTAATTACAATCAAAGCACTCTGTTCTGAACAAACATTATTCCTAAAAATAATCCTACCAACCATCTTTTTGTTTGTCAGTTGTTACATTTTTAAAATTCATTTTTCGAATATACTGTAAAAATAAATCTTCAACATTTTATTCTGGTTAACAAGTTAAACCCCAATTGTTGCCACAAAATTAGCAATATTATTTTATTTTTTTATCAAAAATACCTCCTAATTAAATAAAATTATTGATTTAAATTATAATTATTTATAACAATTTCTACATACCTACTAGAGCACATGCTTTTGAATAGTTTCTGCTTCTGTATAACCAATATTTTATCAAAATCTTAGTAGAATTAGGAATATCAGATGGTCTATTTGGTTTCATTTAAGCTTCAAGCGAAAATAAATTTTACCTCTATTAATCTTCTAAGTAATAATCTTATTCTAAATTATACATGTAATCATCAAATTCCTGATCGCTTTAGTTTTAAATGTTGCTATTTTTAGAGTTGTTTAGTAAAGCTTCTTTATTTTCTGCCATAAACAAATTTTATTTGATTCTTTTCATTTTCTTCATAAGTAAATAGTGTTTAAAGTCACTTCTTTTTTTCAACTTTAAATTTATATTTTCCATTTGCTCAAGAATCAAGTCTCTATATCTGTTTATAAAACCTTCATTAAAAAAAAATATAAATAATTAAAAATTACTTTTGCTTAGTCTCTTTGTTTAGAACTTTAGAAATGTTTCTCCTCAACCAATATTTATTTGATTAAATAAAATTCTTTCTAAAATTAGGATTTTCAAATTATGATTTCTTAAGATTGATGTAGTTCTAAACTTTCATTTATTCTTTTTCTTTTAGAAATTTAATATAATAAATAAAGGATTTTATTTTTACCTTTTTATAAGTATTTTTTCTTAATTTGAATTTTAGTTTTTTAAAACATAAATTTTTTTTTAAACTTTTTTTAAAATTATTTTTATTGTAAGAAAATATGAAAACATATTTTATCTAAATTACCTTTTTAAATACTTAATAAAATAATAGTTAATATTTATTTATGTAAAGTAAATTTTATTTACATTTTGACCTTCTCTTTTTTATTTTATTGCTTAATATTTTATTCTAAATCTCCTTAAGAAGATTCAACATTTTGTTTTTCTTCAATATTAGTTTCAACATTTTATTTCACCTTCCATATTCCAAAGAATTTTCCTCCAACTATACAGATTTTATGAACAAAGTAGCAAAGAATAATCCATAGAAAAATAATAGGAAATGTCATTTAATCTTTGAATAAATTATGTTAAGCACTTGTTATATTATAAATGCCAAAAACACAGTTCATCATACCTATTAAAAAAAGGCTATGAACAAAATAGAACTATGAAGAAAAGCACCACCTATCAAGATCTACTAATTCTTCATCAATTTTTCTATTTTCTTTTTTTGACTATTCTTTAATTTGCATTTGTTCGCCACTTTCCTCACCTTCACTTTTGCTTTCAATGTTAGGTTCATTTGCTTTCCATGCTTACCTTCAATTCAATTAAAATTTAATCATTTTAATAATAAAATTATCTTTTTAAAACAAGTAAAGTACTTTCTAAATAAAAATCTCTTTTTAGATTTTTTTGCATAATCTAAGAAATCCATATCATGATATCCAACCCATAAATGGTAATAAACTATATCAATAGCTAATCTAAATGGTAAAATAATCACAGTGAACAAAAAGTAATAGATGTAAGATTCTCTTTCTATGTTGTAAGCATTGGCAATTTAATTTTATTCATAAAAGATCCAGCATTAAGATGTTATTATTGGCTATTAAATTATTTAATAAATTTTTATGTTTAAAAAAAAATAAATTTATACTAAGACTAGAGGACCAATCATACCATTAACAAAATCTGCGTATCTATCTATAACCTCATCAGAGTCAGTATCTATTTCATGATTTTTTTAAGATTAAAGATTCTACTTTTTATTAGCTTGATCATTTATTTTTTCTTTAGCAAGTATTTAAGATTAATTTTTTCTATTTAACTATTATCCTTATAATTTAGAATCTAAAAGGTTCTTGAAGTAAGATTCATTGATATCATTTTCATCACTTTCATCAAAAGAAGAATTTAATTCTTCTTTACTTGTTTTAGTCTATCTATGAATATCACTTTACATTTTTAATTAGTGCTTTTTTCTTTTTTAATTTTTTTCTATATCTGATCCTTTTTTTATTTCATATTAACATATCAATTTTTCTTTTGTAAATAAAATATTTACCTTAATTTTAAAATAGAGATTCAAAGCTCTCTTCAAAATTATCAGAAAAATACACACTAGAGTTATTTAAAGTTTATTCACCGTCATCTATTATAATTAAAATTTATTTTTTAAATTAATAAATGATTTCTCATAAAATTATCAAAACTATTTCACAGTTAATAACTTTTAAAATTTATTACATTTTTAGTTCAAATTTTACAATAGAATTATTACCTTATTAAATTAATGATAGATTTAAGAGAGTATCTTACTATTCTTCTTTTTATCTAGCTTCCCATGACCTTTGAAATAATAAAAATATTAAATTTTTTTCGAAAAGAAAAGCAAAAATTTACTCTTAAGCTACATCAATAAAATCTTCTACTTCTTTCATGATTACATTTATATAAGTTCTTTCTATCATTTATATCCCTTATTCAATAAAAAATGATAGCAAAAAGTCAATAAAATCATTTGCTCCAAGAGTTGCTACATCCAGTGTGCAATCTAAACCATAGGCAATAGGAGCACTAAGTATTTTTTTAGAAAAGAATTTTGATCCAAGAATTTCAGATAACATTCCCAAAATCTTAAGAGTGCAAAGGTAATACCACACATTTTCACCAAAATTTGTAGATATTGACCATTAGATGATAATTTCCATAATAATTATCATAAAAAAATAAAAAAGCATAAAATATGATTTCTCCCAAAATCTTTTAAACCATGAATTTCCATCAGAAGCGTATTACTCTAACTTATATTCTTCTTTTGTTTTATTTTAAGAAATAAGTAAATCTGAGCAAGCATACATTATATAAAGCCCGATAATTATTATTGATAATCCATATCTTCCATTTCTTAAATTATCCATTTCATCATCTGAGAAAGAAATTTCATCATCCTTTCAGTATTAAATATTACAAATTTATTTTATATAAAATATGGTTTCTATCATAAAAACAAGAAGTTAATCAAGTTAAATTAAAATTTTAAATTATAAAAATTTTTTTGTTTAACAAATAAAAATAAAAGTTTACTTTGTAGTTATCAAAAATAGTTAATTGGCATGAATCAGTTTTTGGATCACATCCATAAATATTGAATTGATAATCCCAAAATCTACCACCCATAATAGCAAGATTCAATATTAAAATAATCCCTAAAGGAATCAAAGTCAAAAATGTGCCATAGATTGCACTTGGATAAATAGTTTATATGCACTCTATGATTTTGGTTTAAAATTTACTTTTTGACCTTTTTTAAAATAAAATTGTTTAAATATTAATTAATTATTTCGTCATTATGATGAATTAATTTATTTGCTTTCCATAAAATATGTTTTTTATTTCATATAAATTAATTTATTATTTCTTCATATAAACTAAGTTAATTAAATTTTTTTATTAGATTTTAAATAAGTAAAATATACCTTCTTAAAATAATATGATAGCCAGTAAAAATGCAGATAGACATTAAACTAAAAAATCCAATTATAAAATACATAATTAAGTAAACTCTAATATCAAGGGCGAATGCAATAGTTAGTTCTGATTAAGTCATGCTATGAAAAGAAACTAAAAGATCATAATTAAATGGTTCTTTTCCATTAGCTTAATCATCTGTAGGAGTTACAAAGCTTTCGAAATTTATTTAGCCATTAATTATTTATTTTTCCAGGCTGTTTATCTAGAAGGTGTTTTTTATCATTAAATTTAACATTTAGAAATAATTAATTTATTTTACTTGGTAATAGTTGATTTACAGAGATATCTTTTTTGGCAATTTGTTTTCAGGTACTTCTGAATCAATTTAAATTTCTACTAAATCATCAATTGGGATTTCATCTGAGTTGGCTTCTTCTGAATTAAATTGATATGGACTTGCTTTCATAGAAAACAAAGCTTACTCTTTTTGCTAACGATACCATAAATCTTAAGTAAACGGGAAAAATGTGTATTCATCTAATACACAATCAAACCCGACATTTTCACACTCATCACTATAAGGTTTATCTCCAAAAACAAATGGATCTATCACTTTAACATTTTGAGGTGATACTAAGTTGCAATTTTCATGATTTTCAGTAATTTAATAAAAAAATCCCATACTTCCAAACTATCTGCAATTACTAAAATAAGGAATATAAGGCATAAAAACTCCCTTTAGCTTTGAAAAATATGTATCTGTAGAAAGTGCTGCATTAGTTTATGTTAAATCATTTTACTCAAGAGGTAGTTAATTATAATAATTCTCTTGGTAACTTACTAGATAATCCCCAATTTATAATTATTTATCTAAATTTATAGCATTCACAGGAACAGTTATTTGTTTTTAATTTATGTAAAAAATGAATGATTAATTTTCACCATAAATTGCCCTCTTTGGACTCTCTAATGATACACTTACAGAATTTAAAAAATTTAATCTATTTTTTAAAAGAAAGAAATATTTTAATTATGTTTGAATATACTATTGAATTTTCTTATTGTTTAAAATAAATAAGATTGTTTGTAGAACTAAAAAATTTTGTAATTAATTGTCTTCTCTTAAAATAAACTATGTATATCTATTTACCTCAAGCTATAATATTTAGAATTTAATATTTTAATTAAAATCATTAATTTCTAATCTTTCATTGAATATAAGCTGAATTTATGAATTACATCGATGGGCTATTTCAAGCTATTCACTAATTTCTAAGGCAAATCTATACATTAATAAGAATCATTATCTAATATTATGCTTTCTGACATTATTATGCAGAGCTAGTTTATTTGAAAAAATAATTTATATAAATTATTTAATTAAGTCAAGCACTTTACTATCCAGTCAGCTTCATAAGTAAAAATATCCCCGGTATTGTCTTTGTATGTGTGCTTCATTTATCTCATATCAAACGTTACATTAGCAATAGTTTAAGAAGGCTATTTAGTTTGAAATAAAAGAAATTCTATTTTTAGGTTAAGATTTATAAAGTTAAGAATATTTACAAAATCGAAAATTTTGCTTTTGAGCTTAAATTCTCCTCCACTATCCATAATCTATTTGTAATATTTTTGATTCAACTCAATTGAATTAATACTTTTGATTTAAATTTTATATTAAAATACTTTACCTCCTCTTGGCTATACATTGAGAAGAGCAAAGGATTTATATTCATCTCATCAATTTGTAATGATCTACGCTAATTATTTGGTACATTTAAATCTAAGTTTCTTTTTTAAAAGAAATCCTTTTATTATGTAATTTCAAAGCTTTACTGTTCACTTTCCATTGTTTGTAAAGTATTTTTTATGATTATGCTTGTTAACAATGTTAAAAATAAATAATTTTTCATTTAAACCATTAACTAACTATATCTATTTGCTTGATTATTGATATTAATATTTTTAATATTATTAGTAAATTTTAACAAAACCAATATTATTTATATATTTAATAATTTGATTTTATTTTATTGATAAAAAAATTAGTAGGTTCAGATGTAAATAAAATTCTGTAATAGTTATTAATTACTGGTAATAAAATTAATATCTTAGCTGATATTTCTATGATTTGTTTCTTTAAAAATGATTTGGAATTTTAATTGATACAAATTTTTATATTTTTTCATTTTTAATAACTATTTATACTATCATTATTTTTTTTTTTTTTTGCTATATAAGCTAATAAAAAATATAAACTAAAAAAAATCTACCAGATCAATAGCGAATTAATTGAATTAAAACATAATTTTAAAAAAAATAATTTTATTTATTTCATGAGAATATTAAATATTTTACAACTAATTTATTAATCTTATTTTTTTATTCCATTAAACTTTATTTATTTTTATCTAAATCTAATAACATGCTATTACTATATATTTGTTATTTTCTAAAATTTTATGAAGCACTATTTTATAATATTAAATTAATGAGGAACTTAATTAAAAAATTACATAAGTTACTTACTGATTTTATTTTATATTAATTAAAAATATTGTAACACACATAATTATTAATAGTGCCTTTTAAAATGAGTATATTTAACTAGTTTAAGAATTTAGATCTCTTTGGAAGCACCGTTTAGTTAAATTACAGAAAATAATTAGAATATGTTACAAACTTTGGCGCACTTGGGACGATAATAATGATTTCATTTATAGCTAGTTTTTTATGGAACAGTAAATTCAAATTATTTTATTGTAGAACTAATGAAATTCTACATTAACTTTTATAGTTTGTTTAAAATGTATTTAACTTAACATTCAACTGTATTTTAAAGAGGCGATATAGTTTATCAATAAAGAAACTTTAATTGTACAAGAATATTTAAATTATCAGACAGACCCAACTCTCTTGACTTTAAATTAGCATAATTATATGTTTGGAGTCAGAATAAAATAGTCTAATTTCTTAAGCAGACCTTTCTTTAACATAACTTTAGAGCAAAGGTAAAAACATAGCAAACACAAATTTGTAATATATAATTTTAGAAATTATTATTAGGATGATAGTGGAATCAAATAAGAAGTGAAAATTTTACAGCTTGTGCCATGCACAGAATAGCACTGGAAAAAATTTGATGGCTCTTATAACTTTACAAATTATCTTAATTAAAATAAATATGATTTTCTTTGTCCCAGGTAATATTTAATTGAATAATCTATAATAAATAATTAAAAGCCATCTAATATAGATTAGAAGATGAAATGTATTTATCAGGAATGTATAACAGCTAAACATTTTCTTTTTTAAAAATATATGTTTCTGATTGTGTGAATGCAACTACACCTAGAGGTAAAAAACATATTTTATTTTGAAATACATATTTTACAAAAGTATATTATTTTTATTTAATTTAATATTTAACTAACTAGCTATAGGATAATGGGATCCTGTATGTGCCTCATAGGAAGAAATTGAAAGCGAATTATTAAAAATAGGAGCTCATGGTTTTTCATTTATTATGACAAGTAGTCTAATAAATATTTAAAATTATACATAGTGGAATCAGTACTATCTAAATGATGATCATTATTTTACTTTTGTGCCAAAAAAAATGGCTAAAAATACAAATACATTTTTGAGGCTTTACAACCTTACAAGTGATGTCAGTTTATGGCCTTTAGATTAAATTGTAGAAGATAGCATTTTTTCCTATTAAACAGGAGATATGTAATAAACTATAGAATTAGGTAGAAACGATGATAAATATGTCGTTTTGTATATTAGAAGGAGTCCTTTCAATTAACAAATTTAGAGAAGGTATTAAAAAATATCTGAGTTTATGAGTGCATTAGGAGGATTTATTCAGCTTATTTTCATTATATTTAGGTATTTTATATTTCTTCTAAACAATTTTAGCAAATAAATAAATAATAAATTATAGTTTCATCTTTAAAAAATATAACGAAGTAAATCTCTAAATAGATTTAATAAACTAATTGTATGATTTTTAGATAGATGAGGTATCATCTGCATAAAGTAAAAAATGTCTAAATTCTTTGCAGCAAGATTTCGAAGAAAATCAACTAATTTCTAAAAAAAAAGATGATTTCCCAAATACTCAAAAAATTGTAAGAAATAGTATTATTAATAAAAAGTTAGATTTTCTTTAAGTAGATGATTCAATCAAACTAGATTCTGCTGCTCAAATTAGCTCTGAAAAATCCAAAAGTTAAAATGCTTTTTCTAAGTTAAATAATACTAATAATGAAGACAAGCATATTGGTATGACATCTCCTACACAAATTCTAAGGATTTAATTAAATAAAAGCACTCAGAAAAAAATGAACATCAAGAATAATTTTGAATAGAAAACTTTATTTCAAGGGAACAGAAATGATATTATAAGCCAACCAAAATAAAATCATAAAAAAAAAGATCAATAAAATAATATTTTTTTTGATTTTAAGATATAAAATAACTTCAGCATAGATAATTATAAATAAAAGACTTCAAAAGAAGAAGAAAAAATTCAATAATATTTTACTAAAATATAAAATGAAATTGAGATATAATAAAAATTAAAGCAAAAAAAGACTTCTTTTTTATAAAAAATAGTAAATAAATTTAAAAGAAAAAATAAAGAATAAAAAAATAATTTTTTACAATAAAATTAAATATAAAACTATAAATAAAGCTCCTAAAAATAAGATATCCCTTATACTGAAAAAATTAAATACGTTGTCTACAAATTCAGAGAGCTTATTAAAGAGAAAGAACATCTATTTTTAAGTTCATCAATTTTTATGTGCTTTGAAAGTTACAAGAAAAAGTGGTAAATGCTCAAAAAGGGTTTTGAATACATCAAAAATGATTTAGATATTTGCATAATTATTGAAAAAATTTAAGAAATGTAAAAAATGAAAAACTTATTTTTGACTTAAGAATAAGAGATTATTTTTAATTTTATTCCAAAGCCAATTATTACTCCATCTAGCAATTTATAACAATTAAATAGGCGCAGTCTTGTCAATGATGAATTAATTACTCATCATTTCAATTAATTTTAATAAAATAATACTTAATAAAATTAAGATTTACCAACGTTGGTAACAAGAATGTCATACAATACTTTAGGAGCTTATCAAGTAATAAAATCATTTAATAATTTCTTTAATCATTATTAAAATAAAAATTAATACTGCCTTTTAATTATCATAAACTATTTTTCTGATAATAATTTATTTAATTGTTTTATTTAAAAAATAACAAGATTTTATTTGAAAGCTATTTAAAAGTTATATAAGAAAAAGATGAATAAAGCTAGTAAATTAATTAAAAACAGTTTAATTAATATATTTTTTAATTTTTTTATTATATATGTTATTAATTATACAGGGTAAGCAGTAAACTTATATCTTATTTAGGTGATGAGTTGTGTGAATTGTTTGATGCATATGATTTTTTACTTTAAAATCCTTAGTCTACATAGTTACATAAAAAAATAAACACTTTAGAACTATCAAAATTTTAAAATTTTTAAAAAGGAGAAATACTTTAAGAGGCTGAAGGATTAAAAAAATCAAATGATTTTATTTTTAGTAAAAATGCTGATTTTCAATAATCTATCAAACTTGGCCTAGAGTAGCTAAATAAATTCATTCAAAGTGAAAATATAAATTAATTATAAATTTAAGAATGTGAAATTGAAAATATAGAATCTGATACAAAATAAGAAGTTTTAACAAGCAAAGAAATGTCAGTATTATCATAAGTATCTTAACAAGATTATGTCAGTTTTAACAATAATATTAACTAATTAAGTAATAATATTGTATAAAATTATTACCAAAAAACCATCTAAGGGTTTATCAATAATAAAAACAAAAAATGAGATATTTATTAAATAAATACTATAATTAACTTTTAGTATGTTTCTATTTATTCTCCTATTTTTTAATAAATTCGTAGTGTTATAAGATTTAAAATAATAATTAATTATTAAAGACATTAACGTTTTTGATGTTTTAAAATATATTTATTTATTTATTTATTTATTAATTTAGGTATTAGAACATTCTCTAAATTTACTTACATTTTTTATTTAGTTAATTTAAAAAATTTAGTTTACTTAAAGTTTGAAATCCTTTTTTAGTAATGCCTTCAAATTTTTGAATTAATTATCAAAATATTTGGCTAAAACTTAAGAGATTAATTAGAATTATGTTTCATATCTTGAAGATAATTTCAAATTAAAAATAGAAATTTTTTTTATAATAAAATATATAAATTAACTCAATTATAAACTACTTTATCAATAAAACATTTTGCACAATGCCTCCAAAACAATAAAAAACCAAAAAAAATAAAAAAGCTGTTGATTTGCCAGAAAATGATAAAGATAAAGAAGAAATACTCGAGAATATTAAGATTACAGAATAAAATGATGAATTAAAATCTGAAATAGATAGCTTGGATTAATTTAAATTTTAAAAAGAAGAAGTGAACAATCCCATTAAAAAAACAAGAAAGCAAAAATTATAAATAGAATATGAATAAAGTGTTAATAAAGTTGAAAGAGCTTCCAGAAAAAAATTATTAGATAAAAACATTGATGAAGATGATAAAAATTAAAAATAGCAAACAAATAATTAATTAGACAATTAAAATGGCAATGAAGAGAAAAGTGAATAAGTAAAAAATTAATCTGAAGAAAATAATAATTAGAATGAATAAAAGAAAAAGGGAAAGTATAATTGTAGAGAAAATTATGAAGAAATTTACAGTTTAATAAAAGGATATAGAGATACTCATACAGCTCCAGTAGATACTTTAGGATGTGATCTCTAAGGGGATGAATCTTTACCAACAAATGATAGAAATTTTTAAAAATTAATGGCAATTATATTGAGTGTATAGACAAAAGATGAAACAACTGACCTAGTAATGAAGAAAGTAGTAAAAGAGAAAATAACTATTGATAAAGCCGTTGAAATTCCATCGAGCGAATTAAAAGAAATAATTAAATAAGTTAACTTTAATGGAAAAAAAGTAGAATATATTAAGAACGCAGCAGAAGTTATAAAAAATACATATAACTATGTTATACCTGATTAGTATGAAGATTTAATTAAAATCAAGGGAATAGGTCCAAAAGTTGCAAATTTATTTTTGTAATGTGCATATAATAAAACTGTAGGAATAGCTGTAGACACGCATGTTCATAGAATATCTAATAGGCTTGAATGGGTTTCAACAAAAACTCCTGAATAAACTCGAATTGAATTAGAAAAATTGCTTGATAAAAAGTATTGGGAAGATGTAAACAATCTGTTAGTTGGATATGGTTAATCAGTTTGTAAGCCTTAAAATCCCTAGTGCTAAATATGTCCTGTAAAAGATAAGTGTCCTGAGGGTAGAAGAAGATTAAAAGGAAAGAAAAAAATATGAAAAAAAATTTAGAGTTTATAAAGTTAGTAATATTTGCAAAGTTAAATTTCCTTAAATAAAATAAAATTTAAAATAATTAATAATTATTTTATTTCCAAATTTTTAAACAAAAATTTATAAAAAATTTTATTTCATAAAAAATAAATATGAGCAAAAACAACTTTTTTAAATTGTTGAATGAATATTAATTTATTTAATTTGAGTAACTAACAATAAATAAGATATTATTTACAAGAATTTGAATAAAAATAAGTTAAAACAATAAAATTATTTATCAAATGTAAGCAAAAATATTTTTTTATTTTTAACAAATCTTACTTTAAAAGAATTATATTTAATCATAATTTATTATAAGCTGACTTTGACTTTTATCTAACTGGATAATTATCATTATTATCTATGATTTAAAGATTTTAATTTTGGTAATTATGTGTATATTTGTCATGATGTAGAACTTCTAACATATTCTTTTATGTAGTTTCATTTTTGTTAGCTTTAGAAAAATACACCAAATCATTTTGTCCAAACAATAAACTTTATTTTGATATTTACTCATTTATGTTGTTGGTCGAGAACTAAGTATTATTTCTAAACCTTATTAAAGATGGAGCATCTATTAAATTTGGCTTTGATATTTAATCATTAATATTGTTTATTGAAAATTAACTAGCATTTCTAAACCTTATTAAAGATGGAGCATCAATTAAATTTTACTTTGATATTTAATCATGTATGCTATTTTACGAAAATTAGCTATTGTTTCTAAATCTTATTAAAGATGGAGAGTCAATGAAATTCTAGAATTAACTTATGTTTGATGTCATACTACCGTTTAGCATCGGTTTATTCAAGTTTTCATCTTTAACCTATTCTTAATTAAATTAATCTAAGGTTTATTCTTCATTTATTATAGGAATCGTTTAGTTGATAATAGGATTTTTAAATAGTTATTAACGATTCTATTATCCTTTGTTTTGGTCATTTTTACAAATATTATTTTTTAATTATTAATTTTCTTGCTCGATACTTTTATTTTATATTTATTTTTAAGATTTATACTTTTAGTCAATTTCAGATAAGGAAGATTTATAATTATATGAAGATTAATCTTAATTGCTAATTACTTTTTGGCTATTGATAGTTTCAATAATTGACAGTTATGAATTTAACTTTTTTTGAAGATTAAAATCTTCTATTAATGAATTGCTTATAAATTATTTTTACTGTAAGTTTTACTCTAAAGAAGTGCTATTATCTATTTGAGTTTATGACATTACTTAAACGCAGGACTTTTATTCTGTTTTTTAAATGTCTTCTTAATTGTTATTTTATTCTAAGCTGTCTTAGTTTATTGATTTGAAACTAGTCTTGAAATCTTAGTTTTAGTAATGTGAGTGAACACTGCTATTAAGAGATATTTACTTAGCTAAGAAGTTGAAATTTTTTACAATTTAAAATTGTGGTGTTTAATTTTCATAGGAGTTTGTTTGATTAGATTATAAAAGTGGAGGAGATTCAATTTTATTCTCTTCTTCAATTTATTTTTGTTTTTAATTTTCTAGCATTAACTAAAAGTCTATATTTATTTTTTTAGGTGGAATTTTTATTTCAATTTAATTTTTTTTAATTTTGGAATATTTGGTAATGTTTTGTTGATTATTATTCTCTTCTTAATTGTTTTACTCAGTTTATTCTTATGTTTAAGCCTTATATTAACATTTTTCAATTATTATCAAAGGAGCTTCAACAGATTATTAGCATTTTTCTTTTGCTTATTCTGTCGTTTCAATATTTTTTTAAGATTTTTCTATAGCTTATTTAGGAGTTTCATCTATCTATAAATTTGTTTATGTAGTTTATTATTCTTGATCGATAGTTTTTTTAGGAATTTTAATTTGATTTTAACTTAAATTTTTAGTACTTTGTTAAGAAATTTCTTTTAAATTAAAACATTCTCCGTTTTAAGATATTTATGAATTATTTAAATTTATAAATTTTCTTTGTTTCTTTGCATGTTAAGGAGAATAAAATATATCCGGAGAAAATAAAGTAGGATAGCTTTCATTTTATTGATTTTCTTATTTAATTATTTCAGTTTATTCTTGATGACCAGATTCTCTTGATAAAATATTTAAGCGCTATTAATTTGTATTGTTAATCATAATTGAGTTGTTTTTCTATATTTATTAAGGCTATTGCAAATATACTTGCTATTTTATTTATTAGGAATGTATCTGATTACTTGTATTATTGTTGTTAGTTAAAGATGATTGTTGTTAGAAAAATTTACTAAGTTGAGGATTGTTTATATTGCATTTGCTAACATCAGAAATTACTTTTCTATGAAAGTGATATTTAATATTCTATTATTAAGGGTGGATTATATATTACTGAAAATATGCAAGAGAGTTATTCAAATTTTGATTTAATTAAGATTTACTTTACATTTAGTTCTAATTACAATTTTGATTATTCAATTTCTAACTTTTATCACTATGCAAATCTTATAGCTATTCAGAAGAAGGAAATTAGCTGACTTTAGGTGAATCAAAATTGAATTACTCTTTTGTTTCATATTTTTTATGACTTTGAATCATATGCAGATAAGATTATGCATTAATCTTGTTCATTTGATTTTAAGCATTGTTATTTGGACTAAAACTTTTATTTTGGTTTTAAAATTATTTTTTAATATTTAAAAGAGCATTCATTTATTTTTTATCTCTAAATTAATATTATTTGCTTATTTGTTAATTTAGCTTGCTATTTTATAATTTTATAAAATTCTAACTTAAATTTTTTGTGCTCCGACTCTTGCAAGAGCTTGGCCTCATCTATTCAGTTTCAGAGATATAATTCGCTTTTTAGTAATAGTCTATTGGGTAATAGTTTTGTGTGATATTTTAAGCTCCTTAATTAATTTAGCTTACAGGTGATTAGTGATAAGATGATGAATAAGGACGCAATTTGTTGAACTTTTACTAAAATAATTTATTTTATTCTGATTAATTCTTATTAATTGCGTATTGAGTTTAAAATGTAGAAAATGGATGGTTGCTACTGGGAGTATTTTAATCACTCTAAGGAGAATTAATAGTTTTTTCATTTTCTTCAATAAATTTATTATTTGAATTAAATATTGAACATATTTTGTTTTATGTTAAATTATTATCCTGTTATTATCGATTTTAATTTATTTCTTTTTAAGATTCATTTTATCCATATTCTAAGTTTGTTTTATCTTCTTACTTAGATATTTTTTGTTGCATTTTTAGCATTTTAAGACCTAAATATTCTTAACTTAGATCAATTTAATTGCCTATATTTGAGGAGTTAATTTGTTTTATTTCATTAACATTTTAATTTTTATTTCTTTAAAATTTGTTTGAAAAATGATTCTAATTAAATTTAGGGACTTTTAAAATTTCTTAATGCTCATCTATGCTATCAGTATTTTATTAAAGTTAATTACTTTCTTTATTTATAGGTTCCAGATAATCGATGCTAGATTTTGGAGATTAGTTCATTCCGAAACTTATTTAGTTTATGTTCGGATTTTTTTCAGAAAAGCTTTAGACTTTTTGCATTAAATTTACTGAAAATTCTAGCTTATCATTTTTAGATTATTAATTTGGTTTTTATTATGAGTCAAGTAAAGCAAGGTTTTAATTAAAAAAGTTTTAGCTAGATTATGATTTTTGTAATTGCTAAAATTCATTTTGATTAAATTATACATTCTAAGTATAATCTAACTCTCTTTATAATTATGAAGATTCCAAATTAAATATTTTTTAACTCATTTTATCTTAAACCTTTTATACATATTGAATTTTTTCAGAAAGATCATTTATTCCTTTGCTTCTATCATAATTTGAATTGTAATTTGTTTAAAAGCCTTTAGCATTACATATGTTGGCGTTTAATATTTTTTTAAAGTTTTTATCTTTAATATGATTTTTTAAACTCATTTTTAAGGAGTCAAAGTCTTATTTCCCAAATTTATAACAAATTTATTTCAAATTTTTTTGGAACTATTTTGACATCTCACCTTAAATAACCATTTCTTCATCTTTTTAATTCAAAGAATTAGTCCATTTAGTAACAGTTGGCTTAGATTTTCTTTTCATAGTAGAAATTTAATTTTCATCTGACTTAGATCTTTAGCCATTTTATTTTTAAGTTTGCACTTAAATAATTTTTTATTTATTTTTTTTCTGTTGAAATACAACATTTTTTTATAATTGAATTTTATCTCTCATAAAATTGTTCATATTATAATCAAATGTTTAAGACATCTTTTTCTTTATGCTATTTATTGTTGATTACTTTTATAAATTTTCATCAGATTAATTTTCTATTTAATAGCAGAGATCATTAGACGAGATTCTTTTTTTTGTTGGTAAATAATACAATCCAATTTTATTGCTATGAGGTTTCATTGTATCTTAATACTTTTGGTTTAAAGTCATATCTTAAATTTGATTCTATTATTCTTAAGCATTAGTAATCTATTGATTCTAATGTAACATCTGAATGGATTTCTAAGCGTAATCTAATAATTCACTCATGCTCCCAATGCAGTTAACTTTAAAATTCTTTTAGCTTCTTTGATAATTATTTTTATTTTTGACTTCATCGTACTACTCTCTCTCTTCCTAAATTTCATCAATATTCTTTGGAATATAAGACAACGAAGTTATACTCTTATCATATTATTGATTTGTATAGTTGTTTATATTAGAGCCTTTCTATGAAGCGATGTTGTTCATGCTATCCAAAGAAGGGTAAATTTAATACCTACTCTCTCTTTTTTCTTTATCAAAATAATGATGATGGTAGCTATTTTCTTTAGGAATTGTTGCCTTAAGAACCTTTGAATTCTAATAAATTTTATCAGCAATTAATTTTCTTTTAATTGGCAAATTCAAAACAAAGAATTATTCAATAGCAAAATGCTTCATAAATATATTTTCAAAAACCTCTCTATTAAACTACAAAAGCTCACCCCCTAATATTGAACAGCATTAAACTTAAAATGTCCTCTATGAATTATGTTCAATAATATCTTCTTCACCAAAAAAATCTCCCTTCTCTAATTAAAATAGCTATCAAAAAGTCTTTTATTTTTTTAATTTAAAAAAAAAAATTACATTAATTTATATCTTCTACGTCTTTTAGTAATTAATATTTAGATCAAATTCTGTTTATTTATTGGAATTCTATTTACTATTCTATAAACTAGCACTAAAAACTTGGTTTTAATTTTCACTTCTGAGTTTTTCTTATTCTATTTACCTTTTAACCTAAAAAACGATTACAAATTAAAAAAATTTGCTAATATTATATTACAAGGAAGGATCCAGTTAAAATAAAGTAAACGTAATCAGGCTAATTTTTCTCACTGAATACTAGTTAACCTTATGAATATTTAAGCTACTGTGAATATGCATCATAGAAAGATTTAATAAATAAGTGCTTATTGCTTATACCATCAAATACTTTCAAATTAAATATAAAATTCATCACATCAGTAAAATTATATTAATAAAATTCTAAGATGTGAGCATCAAATATATTTTTTTTGATAGATAACAGTATGCATTTCTTTTAAGCAATCACTGTAGAATTTCTATTTGTATTAGAAAATAAATCCATGTCTCCTACTGAATTACCTTCACATATTTCTTTAGATTTGATCAAACTAGTTAAAGAATGTAACTATTTTGGTTGGACAAATACTTCTAGTGTTCCTTCTAGTATTATATACATCTTTTCTGGCTTATCCTCTATTAAAAGAATGAATAAAAATTAAGATATTTAAATATGATGTTTTATTAAATTGTAATTTTTTTAAATCCTTAAAAATTAAAAGATTATTAAATTTTATTCTATTTTTTACTTATATTGTACAGTGTTTAAGATTCTTAAAATACTTCTATATTAGATGAGCAAAGAATCGCTATAATTAAATTATCTTCATCTTCATTTTTTAGAGCATCATTCTATAATCTGTAGTTATGGATTTTACTGAAAAGTTCTGAATTTTTAATCACCCATTTAGATATTCTTTTGATATGATTAATATTTCTCATATAACTTGGGAAGGATAAGCATTCCACTACAGTCTTTATATTTAAAATTTCATTATATTAAATTAATTACTCTACATTATATTGTAAATTTAGCGATAACTCAAAATGCAAATCAAAAAATAAGATATATGTGCAATCAAACTTAGAATATTTACTTCGAAACTAGCTTCATAATCTGTTCCTTTATTTAAAGATGCTTGCTTTCTTTTTAAAATTGGAACTGAAGATGAAGAATTGATTTAAAAAAAATCATTCATTTACAGTAAATATGAAATAGAGCAGAGCTTCTAATCTTAAATAATATATGCTTTTTATTTATATCGTATGTAAAAACTAAAACACTTACTTATTTTAATTAATTGATTATTTAACTAATTAATCACTGGTAGTTTCTAAGAGTGAAGAATTTTCAATATTTTTTAATGATTAAGAATTTCTTTGTTTTGACTAGCTTATCCAATTTTTAAAAAATCAATAAATTCTACTATTTATCAAAATCACAATTTATTTTTATTTTCTTTGTGTTGTTAGAATCTTAAATAATGTAAATTTCATTCACTTCAATTTAAAGGCTAAGTATATTTATTTTTCTTTTTTAACAGTATTAACTGACTAATTTTTTTTTAAAGAATAAATCTAAGTAAAAATAATTAAATTTTAATAAATCTCTCTTTTATTACAACTCTAAAATTACTTTCTTTAATTTGATGCCCTGAAATATGTTTCAATCTTTTTTTGCAGATAAATATAACTCATAATATAACCAAAGAGATAAAATAAAGTAGCTCACAAATAATTTTACATAAATAAAGGTTCATTTAAAATAGATTAAAGTATGATTGAATTAAAAATTTTCATTTAATTAAAAAAATATTATTTTTAAATTAATTATAATATAAAAATTCAAAACATAAAATTTAAAATAAATTTTTTAATAAATAATTTTCATTCAAAATGCTTATTTTTTGATATAAAACTATTTTCTAGTTTTCTTTTATTTATTGAGAGATTTGAATTAAAATCTAATATGTATCAAGAAATCCAAATTGTTTTGATGTTTGTGAATTCATATGTACCAAAATGAGAACACTCTCTTCCATATCCACTTAATTTGCATCCTCCGCTTGGTAATCTAGAATCTGTTTTATTCATTTCGTTTATGAAAACAGATCCAGTTTCTATTTGCTTGGCTAATTCTTCAGCTCTATCAATATCTTTACTAATAATTGTGCCACCTAATCCATACAAGCTATTATTTGCAATCTACACAACTTCATTTTCCTTTTTGAATCTTAATAAAGCAAATACAGGTCCAAACGTTTCTTATTAAGCAAGAATATTTTCCTAATTTACTTCAACGATAGCTGGTTTTATAAAATTACCCTTTTCTAAACCATGGATAATAGCTCTATCACCTCCATATAATAATTTACCTCCTTACTAAACACTTTATTCAATTTATTTCTATAAATTAATAAGTAAATCACTTCTAGCAAGAGGACCTAATTCTATTTAAGGGTTGAAAGGATCACCAATTTTAATATTTTGAACTCTCTTAGTCAACTTTTCAACAAATTTATCATATATAATGTCAGATATTATAAATCTTTTAGCAGAAATACAAACCTGACCTGCATTTGCAATACGACTCTTAACAGCTAATTCTACTGCTAAATCTAAATCAGCATCAAAGCAAACAATGAAAGGATCACTACCACCCAATTCCATTATTGATTTCTTCAAATATTTTCCAGCAACCTTTAAATATTAATTAAAAACAATTATTAAAGTTCAATCCATAATAATTTAAACATAATTCATTTGAAAAGTAAGTAATTACTTAAGCAATTTTAGAACCAGCTTAAGTGCTTCCTGTAAAAGAAACTCCATGAATAAATTTAGATTCACAGATATTCTCAAGCTATTCAGGACTTGAAAAAATATTTTAAAATTCATTACTATCAAAACCTGCTTCTCTAAATAACTCTTCTACTGCTAATCCTACTAATGGAGTAGAGTCAGAAGTTCTTGCTAAAACACCATTACCTGAAGACATAATGGGAATTACTCCTTTAAACACTAACCAAAAAGGGAAATTAAAAGGGGATATTTGATAAATAGTTCCTATATTTTAATTATCATTTTAGTTTATTAGTTTAAAAAATTATTTTAATAGATACCTAAAGGTTCGTGGATAACATATGATTTTCTAGCCTCTGTTTTTACTCTTTCAATTTTAAGTATTTTTTCTAAATTTTCAGCGTAATAACGGCAGTGAGCAGCAGATTTTTTTACTTCTCCTAAAGATTAAGTGATCGGTTTACCAATTTCTGTTGTAATTAATTCAGCATATTTTTCTGCATTTGTGGTTATTAATTAGCTCAAATTCATCAATTTTTCAGACCTCTACTTAAAATTTAACTTTTTATGAGTATCAAAACCCTTCTTAGCCAACTATATTTAGTTCTTCACTTAAGAGTCAGTAACAAAATCAAAACTTTTTAACACTTCATTGGTAATTGGAGAGCGTGAAACAAATTTTCTCATTTCCTATCTATGATTGATTTAATTGTATTTAATTTTATAAAAGATATTCTTAAATGAATAAAAAGATTTAGATATTATTAACAAGAACATAATTAAAATTATGCATACATAAATACATATTAACATGCATTATTTTTCTTTAATTAACTAAATAGCTAAAAATGGTTAATTCAATAACATTAAAATAAATAAACTATTATTAATATATTTTACAATATTTAATTTAAATAGTTGATTAATAAAAAAGCTTAGATAAAAACTTAAACGATTATATTTAATAAAAATGTGTTATATTAAATTTAATAATAAAAGCACATATTTGTTTAAACTAAGTAGTAAAATAATCATTAAAGAATGGAAATTAAATAAATAAAAATATTTATATAAATATGATGTTTTTATCAATTATTTAAAAAATTATTTTTAAATATATTTATTAAACAATCTTTAACTCTATAAGAGTAAATCAATACTAGATTTTTCTTGAACAAAGAAGTATAAGGAAATTTCTCTACTTTTTGTTGACTATTCTCATAAGGTTATTTCTAATACTCAATTTAATATTTCTTAAATGTATTGTTTGATAATTAATTTTATTAGTTGAAATTTGCAAACAAAAAATTTATAGGATTTAGTGAAATCTACAAGATTTAAACTTACATTAAGCAGCGTTAGCAAACCGTTTACAGAAATTTATATAATTATTAATATGATAGGGAGAGTGTTAAGAATTTTAAAAGTTAATACAGTTAACTCAAAATCATTCATAGAAGTTTGTAAATATAATTTCGGGTGCTAAAAGAATAAAAATAAATTAGAATCTCATACAGAAGATAAGAGTATTCCAAAACCTCATGTAGATGGAACAGCAGCTGAGTTTTTTGGAAGAAAACCAACTATTGAAGAGATTTAAAAACTGTTATCTCCTGAAGGACTTTTAAGTGAAATTTAATATTAAGATTATGAAGGTGTAACACCTTTAGGTAAATTTGAGCAATTACAGCCACAAAAAAAGTAAAAAGAAAATATGACTGAAGAAGAAAAAAGAAAAGAATACTTAGAAAATAATTTGAATGAATGGGGAATGCCCGAAGAAGTAGGTTTTAAAGTTAAAGGTCCAGAACCTACAAGATTTGGGGATTGGGAAAGAAAAGGTAGAGTTACTGATTTTTGAATAAGGCTATAAAATTATCATATAATATTATTATTTATAATTTAAAATTATTTTCTTTTGTAAACCAAACTCACTTCATTAAAATTGTACAATCTGATCATCAAATCCTAAATTTTATATTTTTGTTTTTTTTCTTAAATTTTTTTTCATGAATATCTAACTCATTTAAGGGATTTAAAAGTATTGTTTGACTTAAACCAAATTTTATACAAATAAATATTGGTGATGATTGTTTATAAATTACATAATAAATGAAATATTATTTTTTTAGCTGAATTGATTTTATTTTAGCATTTATTATACTTAAAGAAAATTTTTATTATAATCTTGTAGTGCCAAACTTAATCTAATTTAATTTTTTCTTTCTTTTCTTAAAATTAAAAAGTTGTTAAATCATTTAATTTAATTTATTAATATTTTTTTATATTAAAAATAGAGTTTATAATTGATTAAAAAATTGTTTTAATTTAATTATATATTTTGTGATAAAATTTAGAATTGATTTTCTTGATATTCATAATTTTTAACATTTAATTTAGAGATATTATCTGGTTTATTAGAATTCATGTAGGAGTTTCAATCTTTTTCTTATTAAATTAATATTATAAATTCCAAAAATTAACTTTGAATTTTATTTGTTTTTTAACCAGCTTTTTAAACTAAATTCAATCATTTTGAAATGACAAGCCAATTCGAAACTAGCACAATGAAACAAAATAGAGAAGTTGATTTATCAAAGCAAACAAAAATTAAATATTTGAAGTCATATTAATTATCTAAAAGACTTATGTGGGAGATAAAGATCCGTGGACAAAGTAAAGATAGGGAAAAGGTGTTTATACATTCCAAAATAGCTTTTTTCAATATGAAGGAGAATGGGTTGATGGAAAAAAACATGGACAGGGTATTCTAAGAATGAAAGATGGAACATTTTATGAAGTATATTTTTTGTATAATAATCACGCTAAATATATCGTACGGGAATAAATTATAATAATTAAAGGGATAATTTATCGAAGGTGAGATTGAGGGATATGGTAAAATGATATATGCAAATGGAAATACCTATGTTGGAAACTTTCATCTTGGAGAAAGAGAAGGATAAGGTGAATTTAGAGCAAAAATTGGAGAGATTTATTCAGGAGAATGGTGCTAAAATTATAAACATGGTATTTAATAAGCAAATTTATATGTAAAAATCTTTAAAATTTATCAAATAAATAGGCAAAGGTAACGAAATAATAGAATATTCAATAAAACCTAACTAACATAAACTCTAAGCTTCAAAATAAGTGATAATATTAATCACTAAAAATAAAATAATTATTTAGGAATTCTGAATTTACCTAATGGTGATGTTATTGATGGTGAATTTTATAAAGATGTGCCACATGGTTATTGCGAAATGTCTCTATTCGGAGATAACATTGTTTATAAAGGATATTTGGAACATGGCAAAAGACATGGGCAAGGTTTGTATTACTTTATATATATGTGCATTGCAAATTATTTAATACTAATAACAAAATCAAAAGGTTATCTTCTTGACAAGATTAAGAGATATTCTTATGAAGGAGAATTTTAAGATGATAAAATGCATGGAAAAGGAAAATACACATTTTTAAATTTAACAAAAGACAATATATTTGAAGGCAATTTTATAAATGATGAACCAGAAGGTATTTATTTATAATTTAAATAAATAAATAACATTTAAGTCAATATTAATTATAATTAAAGATGCTGAAGGATTTAATAACATTAAAAACCCAAGAGATTTAGAGAAAGAAGCTGCAGAACTACTTAGAAAATAATAAGAAGAATAAGAAATGTTATTGCTAATGGAATAATAAAAGAAAAAAGGTAAAAAGGGTAAAAAATGATTTAAAATATTTTATTTCATAATTTTTAATTGATAAATTAAATATTGTAAAATGTATGTGTATTTTTTTATATGGAGTAAAGCGAATTAATGTAATTCTAAAAAACCTTAAAAATCATAAAGGTTCAAAAAATGAAATAATTAAATAAATAAATAAACATTCAAAGAAACTAATAATTAATTTACTAATTTTAGGAAGGAGATATATAGTATTTGATTTTAGGAATTATTAATTAAATAAAAAGAATTAATATAAATAATTAATTAAGAATTTGCATATATATTTTTATAATTAAAAAATTTAAATTTATTTATATTTTCAAAAATTGTATCTTTCTTTCTTTGTGTGTAATTAATTTAATTATTTATTATTTTGTTTTTTATATAAATAATCAAAAAATTCATAATACTTTTTCGCATTTTAGTTTATAATTTACAACAATTAAATTAAAAACAAGTTAATATTAATAAAATAAATACATACATATTTAATAAAAATGTCCACCAGAGAAGAATTAGCTAGAAGCGTAATAATTAATTAATAGCAGATAATATGATAACTTTCCTTACTATAATATTTAACTATATTAGCGTTTTCATTTTTCTAAATTTATTTATTCTGAATTATTTAGATATTGGAAACTGAAAGAGATATTATTGCTGCAGTCCAAAAATCTAAGGCTTATGAAAACTCAATTAGTTTTCTCAAGAGAAATATTATGAAAGGTCAAATTACTTTAAGAGAACTTGAATCAGTTGCTCCTGAGTAAAAGGCATACAGACCCTTAGGTATTTCACAACATTTTAACAACTACGTTGCATATTAATTGTATATTATTAATAAATAGGAAGAGCGTAATAAATTAATTTATCGATTAAAGATTAGATCAAGTATTTGAAGGATGAAAGCATTTGAAGAAGCATTAAAATATATTTTCAAAAATTATTTTAAATAAATAAAAATATTTTTAAGCTGACTTTATTTTTTTCTATAAAAAGTTTTATCTTGAAGTCAAAAGAAGATATTAAAACTGAATTAGAAGGAATTATGAAAAGTAACGAAAATGATATTTAAGAATATGAAGTAAAATATTATTTTGAAATTTTTCTAATAAATTGATATGATTGATATTTCAAAGCTGATTAATTATTTTTTTTTAAAATAGAAATCCCGTTAACATTTTAATAAAAAAAGAGAAGATTTAGAAAAAGTTTTTAAGGAAAATCTCGATAAGCACAAATAATTAGTTGGTTCTCATTGAATAAAGTAGAATTTGTAAAAAGAAAAGCATATTGTTTTAAAATACTATGTTATTAATTAAAAAAAGTATCCATTTTAGTGTTTGTTTGTTTATGTCTTTACTAAAATAGGATTTTATTTTATTTTTATTGTCTTACAAAATATTTATTTCATTCTATAATTGAATCAAGTAGAATTTATTATTAAAAAATAAAATAAAATTATATTAGAATAATATTTTAACAGAAAATCGTTTTGAGAAAGAAAGTGCTCAAGTTAGTTTTTGTTTATATTTATTTCTAAATTAAGATTATATTTTAAAAATTTTTCCTAACTTTTTTTTCATTTATTTAATCTAAAAGCCTTTTGAAACTAACAAATAAACAAAATTTTTGAATAAAAACAAATATATTTTTTAATTATAACATTTTATTATATGAAATTAAAATATATTACTACTTTTTTGTTTACTTTTAAACAATTAATTTAAATTAAAATGTAACTAAGATATGAATAAATTAATTATTTATAAAATGTAATTCAATCACCATAAAATGTATCAAATGTAATTAAATAATTGAATACTTTTAAAGAAAAGTTTAACTAAATTTATTTAATTTTTCCTAAAATTAGATCATTAATTTTATACAAACATTTTATTTTATAATTATAAATAGCTATTTATTTTATTTAAATAGCTTATAATTATGATAATTTACTGAATTTTTTAAAAAAGTAAGTAAATATAAGCACATTGAAGCATTACTTCTAGCTTTTTTTTTTGGTTATTTTTGTTTAAAGAAAAATACTTTCTTAATAATTATATTTTTAGATTTTTAATTTATTTTAGATAAAAATTAACTACTATCTTGATAAATATGATAGAACAAATTATTTTTGATTCTATAAGTGCTACAGCTTCAATTGTTTTCTAGGCATCTATAGGATTATACCTTTGCCATATTAAGCTACTTGATTAAGAAAAATTAAACTATTTGAGCAAATTAGTGGAGCAAATTTTTACTCCATGCTTAATTTTTTCTTCATTTGTCTAAACTCTTGATATGACATAAATTGAAGAGTGGCTTATCCCTATGATAATTGGTTGCTTGAGTGTTATTTTAGGTATGACTGTTGGTTATTTAGCTAATAAATATATTATTAAAGATAACGAATATGAATCTATTATTATTTTGGGAAGTGGATTAGCAATGACAACTAATATGCAACTCAATTTATCTCATACTCTAAGAGATTACTTAGATTAAATATCTCTTGCTTAAGGTTATGAAAGCCCTATAAATGGTGAATAAAGAGCAGTTAAGTATGTAATGATTAATACATTTATCAATACTGTTATGAGATGGACATTTGCTAAATAGATTCTGATAAACCTTAAAAAAAAGTACGAAGAATAGTCTGTTATAGATTAAGAGTAGAAATACTTTTAAAAGTAAATAGAAATGAATGATGTGAGCTAATCTTTTAAAAGAGTTTACTAAGCTGAGTTATAAGATCCAATTATTAGATCAACTGTTCCCTCTCCCTAACCTAATGAAACAAACAAAAGCGAGGAATCAGCAATCAAAAATCTATTAAAAAACCCACCATTTATGATGTCTCTTTTCTCTGTAATTGTATGTATGATACCCCCCTTAAGAGAAATTCTTATATAAGAAGGTTCAATGTTAAATAGAGCTATTTTCTAATCATGTGCCTCAGTAGGTCATGTAATTTTACCACTGGTACTAATAACACTTGGAGGAAATTTATATATTAGTTATAATTCCTCTTCGGAAAGGTCTAATTCTGAAATTCAGGAATCAAAAATAAGCAAAAAAACCATTCTGTCTATTACTATAATTAGATTATTGATTATGCCTTTTTCTGGTTGGATAACTCTATATTTTTTTAATTTATTCAATTTAGTAAACGATCCTGTCTTACACTTCATAACAATAGTAAGCAATGCAGTACCACCAGCAATTAATTTACTTATAATATCAACACTTTACTTTCCAAAAACTGCTAAAGAAATGTCTAAAGTGCTTCTTTGTGGATATTCAACAAACATCATTACTTTACCAATAGTTATATCTATATTTTTTGATAATTACTTTACATGATTTATCTATTTTTTTTTTGTTTGTTAACTGTTAAATAATTATCTCAATTTGGTAAAAATAAAATCATTAATTACTTTAAAATTTAAATATTTTTTTATAACTTGATTTTTTTAAATTATTTTTTTGAAATTGAAAAAATGAAAACAAATCTTTGCTACAATATAAACAATACAAATAAAAATTGATAATCAAAAATTAAAAAAACACAAGTTTTAATATTTAGCAATATTATTTTTTATTATTAACTTAAATTATTATGACATCTCATTAAATTAATAGAACTTCATTATTTATAGCTTCTTAATTTAATTGCTAAATATTGAGAAAATCAAATATTTTTTCTTTAGGAAGATCTTTTAATAGCAAAGAAAGGTTTTTCAGTTCATTTAAATCTTTTTTTATCATTTTTTTATGAAATTCCATAAAGTTTTCAAGAAAAATTAGATTATCAATTTAAGGATAGTTACCAATTAAAATGATTAAATTTATTATATCAATAATATTTTGGCAAGGTTCAATATATTAGAGCTATTTGGTAACAAATATTATGAATGCATCTAAGATACAAACATTAATTTTATTCAAATAAAAACTCCTCAGCCTTCTGACTGCTATAAAAATTGATTGAATAGACTAACTTTGTAAGATAAATTAGTGATAGCATTTCATATAATTCCAATGATGAAGCTCTAAACTCAGAAATTTATCTTAAATAAATTCAATATAAATCTTTAACTTGATTTTATTATTTCTATTTTTTTAATTTAATTTAAATTTTATAATTTAAAATAAGAAATTAATTAATTAATTACTTCAGGCTCATACAGTTGAAATACTATTAAACTTTAGATCCAACAGAGAGTTATTTAATTTTTTTAAAAATTTCTAATTTGGTATTCTCTTCAGATTAGTTTGATATGCTAGAATCACAAACAATAACAATATCTCCAATAACTTAATCTTTGCAGACAATTTTATAAAATAAAGAACCTACTATTTAAAAGAATACAACACCTAGTTAGCATTCCTAACTAAACACATCTATATTATCAATCATGTTAGCAATTTAGATATAGGTTTCTTAAGATATAGAGTTATAGCTTAGATACTCAAAGACTTTTTATGTAAGAGAGTTATATAGAGCACTATTAGCAACCCTAAACAATTTTTAGTCTAAATATTTACTTACTTCTAAATTAATTTAATTATTATTCTAACATTTAGAATTTATTTATTCTGTATTTTATGAATTAACTTCATTAGATTTTGATTCCTCTGGTTCATTCTATTGGCTTTTAAATAATTAATTTGACTAATTAGAATTAATATTAGATAGAATCTTTAAATTTTCCTACTAAGAAACTTCTTAATCAATATTTATTAAAATAACAGACCTATCTTATATGAAAGAAGTGTTTTTTGGAGTTTTATCATAATCAGTTATGACAATTGGCTATTTAGAATTTTAATCGTCTAAAATAATTTCATCTCCTTTAGCTTACTTATTTTAACTTTAAGATTTACTTTTTAATTATTTATCTTATGAATTTTAACTTTCTTAAGTAGGCTATATTTTATTAACTTACTTAATTTAAGATTCATTATTTTATACAGGTATAATTTCATTTAAAGATAAACTGTCTAAAGTTTAATTAGATTAATTTTAGTTTTATTCTTTTTGCTTTAGTTCTTAAATTATTTGGATAAATTAACTATGTTAATCTTTATTTTAATCTGTTTGATTACCTAATTAATTTGTTTCTCTTTTTTTAAATAACATTTCTTCCTTAATCTAACTTTATTTCTCACTTTATGTTTCTTTTGAAATGTCTTACTAAGTTTAATTATATTTTATTTTATTTGCTTATGAATCCAAATCAATTAAAATCAATTGTTAAATATCATTACTCTTTTGTTTTTTGATTAACTTTGAATTTTAAAAAGTCTATTTTTGCTTCCTTTGCTTTCTTTATCTCTTTCTGATATTTGGCTATTTCAAGCTTTCTTAATTTTAATTTTCAGGTAGTTTTTTCATAAAATTTTGAAATTCATTCGTTTTTTTAAGTGTTTAAAGCATTTTAAAAATTGCTTGGTTTTTTGCTTAAAATTTAGTTATTCCAACTCCCTCTTCTTATAAATCCTTATAAGTAAAATCAACAACTTCATTCTAACCCTGCTTATCTTTAAATCTGAATTTAAAATTAGGTATTTTTGAATAGCTAGTTTTTATTGATAAACAATGTTTAATTAAATAAAATTTAAATAAACTTACTTTTAAAAAACTTGCAGAAAATATAAGTAGTTTACTAAGGGATCATAATAGTCTAATTTAGAAAAATCCAAGCTATTGCTAACTTCTTCACCTTAATCATAATAATCTTCCTCATTTACTTCAAAGTCTTAATTTAAGCATTTTTAAATAAATTTCTCACAAGCTATTTCTCTTGATATCTTTTTAATCAAATCACTACCTTAACAAAAAGTTTTTTCGTTTATAATAACTTATGATATGTATCCTTTGTCAGACTAGTTTTTTTCTGTGTTAATAAATAATTAAAGACCTACGTTTTCACAATATTCTTTAACTATTGAAACAAATGACTTAAAATAGTTTATTTCTTATTTTAATTGTTTTATAGGATCGCTTTTAATGTTAATATTTAACTATTTTCCATTAGTTATTTAATAATATTTATTTTTCAGATATTATTCCATTTTTTTTTATTTCAAGTCAAGCAAATTATATTTTTAATTTATAAAATTTTTTAATTTGAAGTTTATTTATTTAAAATAAAAACTTCTTTTAATTAAATTTGAAATCTTTTGAAATTCTGTATGGTAAATTATTAGTATGATATTTAAATAATATATTTTTAAATTAAAAAACTTAATTTGAGCTGTTAAAATTTATTAGTAAATAAATCATTTAATATATTACAAAATTTGAATATTTTTCATTTTAAAATTTCAAAAAGAAACCATAAATTAAAAAATTCTAAATAACTTAAGTTTATGCTTTATAAAATAAATTAACAAAAATATTTTTGAATTAAATAATTGAAAATTAATTGTAGACCCTTCTTTGAATATTTAATTAATCAATATCTATCTCTACGTATATATAAATATTAGTATATTTTATACATAGGTAATTTATTTATTAGTTTAATCATTCATTCAAGATCATCTAAATAATTTTACTCAGACTGTTATGCTGAATTAGATTAAGTAGATGTTTCTGATTAAATTATATGAATGTCTTCATCATTTTCATCTTGAGTTTAGTTACTATATTTAATTATATTTTCAAACCTTTTTTCTTGGATTTTTCTAAGATGGTCTGGGTTTTCAGTTTTAAATTATTCAACTTTTTATTTTACCAAATTTGTATTTACTAGATTTGTAAGATCGATAGATTCCTTACCTATTTTTTATGCAATTTACTAAATTGTCTCTTCCAATTGTTTAATTAAATTATCTTCATCAAATTCTTCCTCTCTATTTGTACCTAATAATAAAGAACTCAACAATTTTTCAATATCATCTTATTAAATTAATGATGTATTATCTTATGCTTTGAGTTCAGGTATATTATCTTACATATTTTCTTTATTTTAAGTATTTTATGATTTTTGTAATTGAGTTTCTTGAATTTTTTTCTATCCTTCTTTCATCAAACGCAAAGTGTACTAAATGTCCTCTTAAAGGGCTCTTTCTTTTTTTAAATTTTCTTCTAATTAATTAACTAAATATGGGTCACTAATTTAATGAGCTCTGTTAAGCTTCTTCTTTAGGGTTTCAATTTCAATTAAGCTTTTCTTTAAATTGTTTTCAAAGAAGATAATTCTTTTTTACTTAACTTCTGCATTTTTCTGTTAATTTTAAATTTATTCTAACCTTTTTGCTTCTTATTTCTTATCATTTATGTCTTTTAATAAATTTTGCATTTATTCTTTTCCTCCTTCAGCAAAGGCTTCGCTTAAAATTCTTTCTTCTGGAAAAATCGGTCTTTCATCTAAATAAGTCAGTTGTTTGAGAGTTCCAATCATCTTTTTGCGGTAGTAAGGAAACTCATGAGTATAGTCATTTCCTTATAAATAAAGAACTTTTAAGCTAGGCATCTAAGTAAATATTTCATCCAATATTTTTGGATCGTATGCTATAAAATTATTTTCTAAGCCAAGGCAAGAAAGGGATGGTAAATCTTTAAGCTTATGTATACTTTCGAAGTCTTTTAACTGGTTAGACCCTAATGATAAATTTTCAAGTTTTTTTAGTTAATCCAATCCAGAAACTTTAGATATAATATTGTGTGAAATATTTAATGTTATTAATTCCTTATTTTCTTCTAATCCTTCAATTTCTTTAATAGTATTGTGCTACAAAAAAAGATGCTAAAGTTATTTAAGACAGGATAGTCCAGTTATTTTTTAAATCATGTTATTTTCTAAATAAACTGTCTTTAAATTTATGAATTTATCTAAATTCTCAATTTAATAAAACCCTTTATGGTGCAAATATATTTTATTATTCATCTCAGGATATTCATAAAGGCCGTCTGCCTCGCATATTTTAACTAAGTTCTGTAAGGTCATTAAGATTCTATCCTTATCATCTCTATCTAAAACTCCTTATAACTTTCTAATCGTGGCCATTATCTCTTTTTTCTCCAAAATTTTGCTGGGCTAATCTAAAATAAATGAATATTAATTAATCTTTAAACAACAACAATTTTAATAAATTAAAAATTAGTAAATTCCTGCAGGCCTTTTAAAGTAAATATTATTATTTAAAACTTTTAAGAGTTTCAAATTTAAAAAAAAATATATATTTATAAATATTAAAAATAATCAACCAAATTCATAAGAACATTTTTTCTATATAATTCATTACTTTTTCTAAAAATGTTTGACTGTTTTATTTATTATATTTCGATTGATTTTTTGAAAATATTTTACAAAATTTTTATAATTTTTTAACAAACATTTATTTAATTTGATAATTAAAATTAAAGATATTATTAATTAATTTAAGATGTAATTATGTAAAAAAAATTATATTTATTTTTTAATTTGATGAAAATTTTTTATTTCTTTCTTTCATTTTTTCAAAGATAAAATTAATTTAAAGCTGTTTATTTAAAATAAATTAGAAATCTATTTTATTAAAAATATACTTGAAAATATAGTTTGAAAATGAAAAAAAATTAACTTGCCATAACAAAAACTTAAGTAACTGAAATAATAACTCTGACATACTTAATAAAATAAAACTAATGTTTAGAATTTTTTGTTTGTTATTAATTATTTTTTATATATATAATTTTTAGGATAATATTTATCAAAATTCTTCAAGCATGTTTGTTTGTCTTAAATATTAAATATCATCATCGCCAAGTTTTACCATCTCACCATCATCTCCTAAAATATAGTTACCTTTTTCATCCATTAAGAACCCATTTTCATCCAATTAGTATACAACTTCTTCTTCTTCCTCATATTAAACTTATGGGCCTTAGTCTTAGCTTTAAGTGTCTGCCTATAAGGATTCTCTTTCTTCATTACCTTATTATACATTTGATGACAAAACATACTCAGCTCTATTCTCTACAAAAAATTACTAATCAGGCTATTCTTAATTTTCTTAAATTTGGGAATCAGTTTCATTAACTTTTTTATTCGACTATTCTAGTTCGTCATCTTCTCCTTATATTTCATCATCATCAATGGTATCATCAGCTTTAGCAGGATGGGGAGCACTTACAATACTTTAAGGCTTTTGCTTTTCTTAACTTTCTTTTAAGTTTGATTATCCTTGATTTTCTTAAGCTTATATAGGCTCCTCCTTTTAAGTATTCTACTAGTTTTCTTATTTAATCTTTATAGATTCCTAATCTGGAGGTTAAGTTACAATAATACTGTAAGCCAAGTCTCTAGAAGAAGATCTTTAATCTAAACTTTTTTAGGAATCACCTATATCGTTAGTTTTCTATGAGCTTGTTTCTTTAATTTCTTAATCATCAAGTAAAGGAATATTCTTATGAGAGCCACATAAACTCTCATAAATTTATTTATTATCTTCATCCTTGAAGCTAAGATCATGAACATTGACTTCTATTAGCTGATCTTTTTCTTTTAAATAAAATAATATTTAATTTCTAATTAATTTAAGAATAGAATTTGTTTATTTATTTTACTCAATTCTTAAGATTTTCTCATTGCTTAAGAGGCAGTCATTTTTTATGGAGATGTGAGTGGTGATATGTTATTAAACTTTTTAGATTTTGTATCAAACACAAATGTTTCCTTTAATTAAATTAAATATTAAATAAATGATTTGACTAAATAAATATTTTACTCCTTATTCTTCCTCTTCAATAATTTCATTTATAGGCTAAGATTGTGTAGAGATCTTAATTTAAGGTTAATTATTGCTGACTGTTGATTAAGTCATCTTGATGTCTACTTAATTATCATTTGATTCTTCAGATTGTTCTTTGTAGCCTAAACTATTTAAAATTTGTTCATGTGAAGTACCTGAAGTAAGTGAGACTTCTGACTGTAAAAGTTCATGAGGCAAGTCTTATTAGTTTTATGATTGCTATACTTCATATTAACTTTCTGTTTCTTTTGGTAAATTGGCTAATTTGCTATCTTACTTTTAATAATTATCAATAAAGCTCTATATCCCATCGTAGTTTATTTTCATATCATCAAAACTTGCTTTCACATCACCTCCAATATCATCTTACTTTTTTCTTTCAGGCATCTCTTAAGAAAGCTACTTGGTTCTAAGAGATATGTCATCAGTATTTTTTGGAATTAAATTTGGGTTTGTCTTATTACCACTAACCTATTATGGTTTATCATTATTTTCGTCTACTTCAAATGTATTCGAAGAAAATTTATTAATAAGCTCTTCAACATTTTCCTCGTGTTACTTATATTTTTGTAACCATTCTTGGTCTTAATTTTAGTTTTATTTATTTTTATCTTCATTATTTTATCCACCAAATGTAATAGATCTTTACATTTCATACTCCAAGTCCTTATTATTATTTTGCATCTTATACCTATTTAATAAAATTTAAATATTTTTATAATAACGAATGATTTATTTAAATAAACTGATTACTCGAAATCACCTTAATTGCTAACTTTTGAATTCATCATAGAACCATATGTATCAATTTCAACTAAATCGTTATCTGAAGACTGTTATCTATTCTTAAAATCTTAATACATTTAGAAATTGGAACCATCATATACTCCACCATATTCCTCTCCATATGTTGCTTGTCTTCTAAAAGACCCCTTGCTAGCTTCCATCATCATTTATGGGTTTGAAAGAATTAATCTTCTGAGCTCTTCTATTTGAGTGCTTGTTTCTCTTTAATATTTAAAGAACTTTTCTTTAAGGTCTTTATTTTCTCTTTCCAACTCAGAGGTAGGAGCTTATTTTTACAAAGAAAGCTCCTAAATACTCTTCTGCAATATCTCAATTTACTTTTAATAATCAGTTTGATCTTTAAGTATTGATGTATTTAAGCTTCTTTCTTAAATAGAAGAGTCTATCTAGATATTTAAAATAAAATATATGATTAATCAACTTAACTAAAAGGTTGGCTTTACATCTTATTTCATATCTGTAATAGATTTATTTAGTTTTTCAAACTCCTTGTTGATATTCTTTAATTTCTCATCTATAAAATATTTAAATACTTACTTAGCAAGATAAATTACAAAATAAATTATTTTTATTTACCAAAATTCTAATTAATTATCTGAATTTGTTCCTATTAATGGGCTTCTAAGAGTTATTTTAATTATTTTAACTCTGATTGAACTTATAATTGCTCTGCTTCTAATCTTTTTATTGTCATTTCATCAACTCCATCAACTTTATCATTTGATCCATTTCCTTAAGAAAAGACTTTGATTTACTACTCAATCAACTATAGTTTATTTTCATATTTTTAATTCATCTATTCTAATATCTATGACATTTTACTGTCTTTCTATTAGATATTATCTAAAGTAGTAACAACTTGCTATTTGATATCTTCATCTAATTGCTTTTTAAGATTTTCTACATTTTATTTAATGTTTGTATAGTTTTAAGTAAGCTCTTCTATTTACTAGTTATTTCCTATAACACTATGGATTTCTGATATATCCATTATTGTATTATTGCCTTATGATTGAAGTTCTTGCTAACTTTAAAAGCTTGTTTCAAGCTATTCTAAACGCTTGTGAGATGTTTTGAGTTGTTCCTCTAACTTTTAATTTCTTTCTATCAAGATTTTATATCTTTCGTTTACTTCATATGAAACTAATTCCTTCACAAAAGACGCGAGCAATGGATTTTCTTTTGGGTTTTCATAAACTCTAGAGCTATTTAAATAAGATTATATATATTTTAAATTTAATTCATAAAAAAATAACATTTTATTATATATTTAAACCAGCAATTTAAAATGTAAAACTAAATATCTACTCTCTTCAAAAAATAAAAACAAATTTTGCTGTATAATTTTTACCTAGAAAGACTTGTGTTTGATTAAACAGTTGAATTATAACCACTAAATGGCCCAACTTAGCTATCTTTTCCTGTTATAACATTTTTTTTAATTTTTGTTAAAAAAACTTTATATGTTTACCTAATATATGAAGTTCTATTTTTTTAATCATTTCAGGAGTATTTATGTTGATACTTCTACCCCCTCCTTATGGCTAAGAAGGAGCAGCAGGATTAGCCTATTCTTATTTTTAAGGAGGTTTAAAAGGTGGATTTTAAGGAACTTTTTTTTGTTCAAAGATTGGCTTATGGCTTGACTTATTCATGAAATTTTTAGTTTAATTTAATATAAATCTTTTGAAAATTATATACTTTAATTCAAGCAAATTGTTAATTAAATAAATAAATAAAAACACAATCATAATACTCTCATATCAGATTTTCTTTAATATTGACTAAGAAATAATAAAGTGCTCTATTTTCAAGTAAAATAAAATAATCTCTTCATAAAAACACATTCTTGCACTTATTTTAAAGTATGTATTATCATTTTTAAGTTGTATCTTTAAATGATATTTTGCATGAAATTTTAATGTTTATTTTCTTATTTTCTACTCCTTTCTATTAATTTTCAATAATATTCATATCAATAAATTATTTAATAAAAAAATAAGATGATTTAGATTATAGATTTCTGATAAATAGAATTAATCTTTTTTTTTTGATCAATTTTTAATGATATGTTTTGAAAATTTTCTTATTTATTTACTGATTCATTTAGTTTTTAAAAATTTTATTAATTTATTATGAACACAAATTAAAGAATGAGTGAGTGATTGATTATATTTATTTTACTAATCTTAACAAATTTTTAATTTTTTTTAACTTTCTAATAAATAAATAAACAAATATTTTATATAAATTAAAGGTTTTTAATTAGTAAAAAAAATAATTTATTGATGTTATTCTAAAAAAGTAAATTGTAAAATACTATTATTAAATAAAAAACAGATAAGTTTGCTTAGGATTATTTAAGTAAGGAATATAAATAATACTATAATCACATTCATAAATTATTTTCTTATTTTTTTAAATAAGCAGCTACGATTTACTTTTTGTAAATAAATTTCACATAAATAGGTTAGAGTTATAAGCTCTCTTCAAATTAGAACTTTAGTTTACCTTGAGGATCTATTTCAACCTGCTTTACTTCTACTGTTTTAATTTAAAATTTATTTTGATTCTCTACAAGCAACTCTAAGGACCAATTAGCAACTGTAGTAATGTCACTTACTGTTTCTGTTTTTAAATAAGTTAAACAGTTTATAGAATATAATCCACATTTTGGTCTAGGTTTTTCAGAATCTTAAATAATTAGCTGATACATATTTATGGTTTAGAATGTGGACATTTTTATCTTGAAATAACTTTAAGTTTCCTATATGATTGGCTTTTTAAGACCAGTTTAGAATATAAGTTTAATAGATTTTTTAACTTAATTAGCAAGCTTTTTATAGTAATTTATTAGTGTTATGAAGTAGAAGACCTATAATAATTCTTACTAATTCATTTCAAAAACTTTCTTTTTAAATTTATATTATTCTTGTTTTTGGTCAACCATAACAGTAATTCTCATAACTTTTTGCCTGTTATTTTCTTACTAAGGAGAATAAACTTGGTTAGATAAATCATTTTTTATTTCATTTAAAATAGATCTTAGAACTTATATTGTAGTATCCTAACGAACTAACTATGAAGTAGAGATGGATTCTAAAACTAAAGTCTTATTTTCTTTTGATGTGCTTTCATCTTAATATTTAAATTAAACTTTTACATTATCAGAGTTATTTTGTTTCTTCTCTTTTTCTTAATTCTAGTTGTTATTACTAATTACCTCTGTAAATACGAGCTAAATATTAGAAAAATAATTAGATAGTTAAAGCTTTTAGATATCCTCTATATCTATGTTTTAAATTTACTTATTTTCGTATTTACTTTTCTTTTAAGTATTTTTTTACTTCGTTTAAATTTTATGCTACTTCAATAATTTTTCATAGCCAAGTAGGTTATTTGCATCTCTTAAACCTTCACTACTATCAAATATAGTATTCCACTAAGTTAAATTCCACTTATCTTCTCCCTTATACATTACATTATATTCGGATAGTATTAAATTAATATTTTTCTTGAATTCCATAATCTTTGATTAAATTAATGAGAAATAAACTTTCTGAGAAGGATAAAGGACCTAAAAAGTTTAATTTTTGTTAAATTGATATGTTAAGAATTTATAAGCTTGTTAAGAGCTTGGTTTAATTGGCTAATTAATAATATATTAAAACTCTTTCTTCACCTATGAAGTATTTTATTCAACCCATTTTCTAGCTTTAGCTTTAAGCTTTGAAAAATCTTTTAGATCTTTACCTTTCTACTAAACAATCAGATCTAACAAGTATTTATTGTATATCTCATCAAAATATATTTACCTATAATTATCTAAATCTACATTTTTGTAAAGCAAAAAGTAAGTTTCAACTTCTTTTATTTTTTAGAATACTTAATTATAATAAAGGTATAAATCATTCTGATTCTATTTTTTAATAAAAATTATTCATAAAAAAAATGGATTTTCAAAAAATTTACTTTGAGGTTGTTCTCGAAAATCTGAGGTATGATCTAATCTAATTTTTATAAGTTGAAAGCTAAATTTTCATTATCCGAATTGCTTAATTAGGCATTTTCTCTACTTTTAGATTCATCGATTTCATCTCCATTTTGACTACCCTATTTACTTGCTATTGCTTCAATATTATTAGAATTTTTTTTCTAATTCTTTGATTTTTTTGATTTACTTGAATCTACATTTTATTCTTAAAATATTTTTCTAAAGATATCTCTATTTTAACAGACTGCTTTTATTAATTCATACTCATTGGCTATCTTAAAAAAATAATGCTCTATATCATCATCTTTTTTTTCTGGAGTAGTAAATTCTTTAGTTGGATGCTTAAAAGCTAAAGATAAAGTAACTTTTAAGATGTTATAAGGTAACTTAAATTTTTAAGAATCGTTGTCCTCTAAAGGTTTAGAAACTTCATAAGTTGTTTAACCTAAGCGAATAATTTTATCACTATGGTCTTTGAAACAATCAGATTTTAGATTAAATGGTTAGTTAGTTGTAGTAAATTTAAACAATACATAATTAAATCCATATTTTTAGGCATTTGAATATACAATCTAGATAGCCTTTTGAATTTAAGAGGGAATGTATGAGTACATTAATTTAAGTTAAGAGCAATTCATTATTAAGGTATTAAAGTATGAGATGAAATCTATAACACAATAATGTCTGTAAATATCAAAAACTGAATTAAATTATGTTAAAAAGGCTGGCTAATTATGACTAACACTATTATCTATTTAGTAATACTCATCGTATTACTTAAAAAGTGAATTAACAACTTTAATTGGCTATGAAGAAAAATCAAATATAAGACCAAATTTGACTGTTTCATTTTATTAATCTTATTCTAAATTTGCTAATATACTATTGGCTTGTTCTTAATTACCGTCAATGCAAATAAATTTAATCTTAAAATTGTCTATCTTGAATTCGCGTTTAATATACTATTTGAATTTATCTTTAAATGACTAACGCTATGATAAACCAATATATATTTCATACTTTAAGTATCTTGTGCAGTAAATATTTGCTAAGTTTTGATTCCTTTCTAAATTTATTGACTCTTCACTTATCTCAAAATCAAAATCATAAAAGAAATCTGAGTAAGTTGATGAAAAACCATTTTCTTAATCAAACTACCTTATAAATTTTAATGGCTATTGAATTGGTAGTATATTTAAGGACATAGAGGATTATATTTAATTTTAGTCAAGTATTTTCTAAAGATAAATATTAGTAAGATAGAAAGTGTTAATTATATGTGTCTTATTATTTTCGAAGTAGAAGTATACAAAATATGTGTTTTCGTTTTTCATTTCTTTTTCTAAATACAGCTAACCTTACATATTCTTGATTCTTTCATAGGGTGAAAGTAGTTTTGCATATTCTGAAGATTATATTTCTTTAGCAATCAAGTTGACTTCTCTAGGATACAAACTTGTGCCTATTTTATTTATTTTCTCTAAAATTTTCTCTTTTTTTTTCTTACTTAAATTTTATTCTTTTTTCTATTTTACTATTTCGTCTATCTCATCACCAAGTTTATCATTGTAAATTTAATCATATTCTTAATCTGTTTTAGGCCTATCTATGAAAGATTAAGTTACTATATCGTAATTTCTTAATTATGCATTTTACATCAAAGCATACATTTAACACCAATTCCTAAAATAATACTCCTCTTAATGAATTTCTTATTAAAATTATTTTTCAAAATACTCATTCACTATTTGTGTTTTAGATTAACTGCTGCCAAAGTTTTTAGAAGAAACTTTTAAATTAAAAACAAATTTTATGCTGTCGAAAGGCATGAATTAAATGCTTTTGGTAAATTCGAATTCTTTAAATATAAAACTCTAGAATTCTTAAATATTTATATAGTTTATTGTTAGAATCATATTCTAGCTTGAAAAATATTAATATTTGTTGGCACTACCAATAATAATTTCTATTCTTTTCACATTGTATGGCTCATATAATAGCTTAGATACGTGCTCATCATAAAAGTATGCAATTTATTCAAACTAACGAATATCATTACAATTTTTTATATTTATCTCAAGCTAGCTAGCTAATTATTTAATACATTTTGCCTATATATTTTAGCTGGCATGGTCTAAAATGAAAACTATAATCTTAAAACTAAGAATGCTGCTATTATCCAAGCTTGTTAAAGTGTCACATAAAATTTTAGAATATAAGTTGGAATTAAAATATTTTATTAATATTATAAAAGCATTTTAAAATTCAAGTGGAACAGATAACTTAATAGGTTATCCGGATTATTTACTTATTCTGCTAACGCCATATAAATTTTAATATTCCGAAATCATATTTTTAAGATCTTAAAAGTAACTTTAAGAAAAATCCTATTCTTAATCAAAAGCATCATCCAAAATTTTATCTTCATTTGGCTAATCTTATTTTTGTTTTATAGCAGAAATTTCTTATATAGGAGAATCAAAAGCTATGTCTTTATTATCCTTTTACTCAACATCTTATTTATTAGAGCCTTATGATTAAATTCTACTGATGTTTTTAGCTTTGGGTGTTATGAAATTTTGTAAATACTCAGTCAATTAAATCTATTCGACATCTACTTTTTGCTATAAATGAATTTTAATATATGTTTAAAGCAACTCTTCAATTTATTGATCAGTAAATATTTATTTAAGTTTTGGAATTAATTTAATAAAAAGGTCAGTATTGTATATAGCAATGTTAAACATGAAATATGAGAATGTGCTATTCATAGGATTGAGAAGATTAGCCAATTCATATAAATAATGCTCATCTTTATGTACTTCTAAATTTCTTATTATCTCATTATAAAGCCAAACTTCATTTTGAACTCCTAATTTCATTTGGATAGCATTAAATTCAATTTGCAGAGGACCAAATTTATTCACAATATCTTTTACTTTTAATATAAATTCTTCTTCTTTCGCTTATGCGAAGTTTAAAGTACTCTATCCATGACGATACTTTAACCAGTAAATAACTTAATATGGTTTGATTAATATCTATTTCAATGAATTATCATATGGAGAACTATATTTACACTATTAGGTTACTAATTTATTATTATATAATGAATCTAACAAAGAACGTTCGAAATCAATCTATCTCCCTTCTAAAGACTCTGGTAATTGAAGAATTTAATTCTTTAAAATTTCACTTTGAATTATCGCCAACTCAGAAGAGTAATTTTTTAATTTAGATCTATCAAATACAAGTTCTGAAAGTTTTTCAAAAATTGAAATACTACTCTATGTAGGTAAAAACGAAGGTAAAGAAGTTAAATTTTCCAAAAGAAGATTTTTCAGCATGATAAACATCTTTTATGTTTTATTAAACTTCTCTAATTAGTTTTCTTAAGCAAGGAGTAACTTCATACTCAACCAATTAGCATTTTCTATTTCAAGCAAAAATGTTTTCTAATCATCATCTGATTAAACCTAATCTTACTCTGTTAATTCATTTTAATTAGATTTTTGATGTTACTTTTTAAAGTTACTAAACTATTATATTTCTAGCTCATTTATAGCAAAGTTTGCTATATCATAATGCCTAAATGCTTTTATGTATTAATACTGGTTTTAAATTGTTTACTTAATCTAATTCCTATCAGACTCGCTTCTTATTAATGAAAAAAATATCTTTTACATATTATTTTAAATAGAAAGCTCTACTAATTTAATAGAGTCTGAACTTTTTCTATAATAATAAGATATCATTTTTTCAATAAAATCTTCTTTATATCCTTTGATAATCATTTCATGGAATAATTTACTTTAATCCATAAATTCTTCGACTAAACTTCTCTTGCCCTAATACAATTTGTCAAAGACTATCTTTGCATAAAGAGGATCTTAAGATTTCAGAATATAAATTTTAGAGCTGGAGTTACTTTAAATAAACTAAATCAATCGTTCATCTACTTAATCACCCTTAATAAGTAAGCCCTTTTAGAGAATATACTCTCCAAATGTAATATCTGACTTTTAATATCTAAACTTTACACTTAAATCCCTTTCAGTTATTACATTTGCCAATTCAAAATTGAGTAAATCATTTTGGAATTAAGATATTTCTTGAATTTTATTTCCTTCAATCTACTGTTTTTTAAACTACCTAATAATTCTAAGTCTTTAAGCTTCTCTTTATGCTAATTCTATCAAAACAATATGATATAAATTATTTTCTTAATATTCAATTTCAAATTCTTCTTAATTTTCTTTATCTTTTGATTGACTTTATTGTCTTTCTGGAGCTTAATCTAAATTTTTTAATTCTAGCTCAGAATTAAGATTTTGTTTTTTTGAATTGTTAGGTTTTTTGGTACCCTATTTTTAGTCTTCTTTTGTCATCCAATTCTTATATTCTATTAAATAAATAGGAAGAATATTTTTCAGTTCTTTGATTGTGAGCTCTTTCATTTTCTAAAAAAGTATCTCTTTACCAAAGTTTTTAACTATTGAAGATATAATTTAATTATTATTAAATTAATAAAGGCCTTTCAGGCAACTACTAAGAATGAGTTCAGCACTTTCAGCAGAAATATATTCTTTAATAATTAACTTAGAAGAGAGATATTCTATATTCTCATTGAATTTTTTACAGCGTCTTGGTTTTTTATTTCTGAATAGGTATTTAATAAAATCTTCGGACTAATATTTCATTTTTTATAGAATTCCAATAACTTTATCTGGTCTCTGATACAAATACTATTATATCTCATTGAGTGGTAATTATAATCTTTTTGATAAATAATCATATTAACTTTAATCTGATTAATCATTTTTCATGGCTTTATAATTTTTTAAAAATTATTTATAAGAAACTTCATTGTTACGCACATAAAAATCATCTTTTGAATAATATAGTTCTAAGCAAGTATCAAAAAGTTGTTCAATTTAAAATTAATTGGTATTAAGCAATACAGGAGAACCAAATAGAACCTTGAGACTTTTATTTTATGGGATTTTTACTTTGTAATAACCATATTTTTCTTTGTTTGCTTCTTCTTTATGATTTAACAAATTGTAAGAATGTTCTTTCTTGAATTTAGATGGTCTTTTTTAGCTCTTTTCCATTAATTATTCCAATTTTTAAGAGTATTCTTACTGCTTTTTGTTATGTTTGTCAGAGTTTAAACTCTCATGGACAATTCTAATTTATTTGCGAGATGCTGAGTTTTCTTAACCCACCAGCAAACTATACAAGTATCTCATTATAAAGAAATGAGCTAATTAGTATCGATATTCTTCACTAACTCTCTAAATCCATTGCTATATCTATCCATATTATTCATTTTTTTCTAATTTTTTTAATATTTAAAAAGCTTCTTTTTTTCCATAAACAATATATTTCAGATCTTCTATTTATGAATTTTATATTTTATCTTTACTTATAAAAGATTACTACTAAAATAATAGCTTGTATTAAAGTAAATTTATGTTGTAAAATCTTAGAAGCTAAAAAATTTGATATTAATGTACAGAGCTATATGTAAAGAGCTTTTATCCCCATTTTGGTTTACCCAATTCAATACAAATCATGATTATTCTAGCTAAAATGCTATTTTTTATTTTTGAACTTAGAACTTCAATGCATTTTTTAAAATAGTCTTTATTTGTTATTAAAATAGATTAAGTTTCTCCTTATTAATTGCTCTTGTTATTTTATTACTATGAGTTAGAGCTGTTTGTTTTGTATTATTTCTTTTCTTTCAACTTCTTATTTAGTTCAAAGTATAAAACACCAGCATGAGTATTTGGATCTTGCAATTTCATCCAAAGGTCGGGCCAATTTTAGCTAAATATGTACCTCTTATTCTATTTACTCATCCTACTTTTGTTACTTAAGCTACTTTCTATTATAAACTTGGCCCATTCATAGCTTTTTGTAAAATTTTTAACTTTAGCTTTAACGCATATTATATCAAATAGCAATTAGCTAACCTTTAATTTTTTCTTCTAGCCATCAGATTTATTATTCTTTTCTTCTTATTTTTCTTCTGTAATTTAGATCTGATTAATATCTAAATTCGCAAGGATATTTTGCTCGATTAATTTATGATTATAGCGACGAAAACACTTTTAAATATTAATAAAAATAAATTGAAGTTCAAATAATTAAACAAAAATTTACGAGCATCTAAACTAACTTATTGTGTGGAATCAAATTTTGATCTAATATAACCTAAATCATAGAAGTAGATGGATTGACTCTAAGCTCTCTACACCATCTTAAAAATGAATTTAAATCAAAGTAATATTCTGAAAGAGCTCTTAGGTTTTCAGAAGCACTGCCCTCAATAATATGATATAAAAAGAGCTCTAAAAGACTGTCTGCCATATATTTAGATTTACTTAATCTTTCTAGTAATTTTTTGAATTCAGTGATATTACTATCCTCTCTTGCCATTTAAAATGGTATATTTGTAAGGTGATTACAGTGCTTTTAAATCATTAATTTTTTAAATTCTTCTTTTGTTTAAAACCATTTCTACTTTTATATGCTAGGTTAATCCTCCATATATCTTACAAATGGTCTAGCTTTAATTTCAACAATTGCAAAAAAGCCTAACTTATCTAGATCTAATATAAATTCAGAATTTTTGTTGCTGTGTGTTTAATTAAAGTGAAAAATAAAACTTTTATCTAGCTTTTTAAGTTTTTCAAATAAGAGATGCTTTTTTGCATGATAGTTCTCTAGATTGCAGAAAAAAAACTTTTGTACTTAATAGTCATCAAACTTAAATGCACTATATTAACCTGTCTCTTAGTTTTTAGTAAGCAGACGAGAAAAATATTTAGAAATCTCTCTATCCTATTAGGGATATAATATTTTATCTATTTAATAAAAACAGTAAATAAATAAATTTATTAATGAATTATATATATTTTAGTATTTATTTTACTTGACCATTTTATTTCATGATGGTTAAGATTAAATGTTGAATTTTTTGGAAGAGGTTCTGTGGATTTAAGTATTTCATGGTCTCTTAATTTATACTTTATTAAGCTTAATTTAATTATATTTTACTAAGCTTGTTTCTTTTTTATTTTTTAGTTTTTGTTAACTAAAACACTGATGTCTTAATATTAGGTGTCACCCTCTTACCTCTTTCTCACATACCAATCGTAAACTGGATGTGTCATTTTCATCATTTTGTGTATTAAAGATCTATCCTTTTCTATCACCCATAAAAGCTATTTTTGATTCATGTATTAATATCCTTGCATTAAGTGGTATTGATCATCAAATAAATTTTGCATAAGCCTTTCATAAATAGGTTTCATATCAAAAAATTTGGCTATAGCAGGAGGATATTTGTAAATAATCTAAAAAGATCCTTTCTTATTCATTAAAAACTGCATCACTTCAGAATTTAAAGAACAAGAGTTAATTATTGGCAGTAATTCATTTCTGATAAATTAGATAGAGTCACCTTACTCTCTTAAAGTAGGTAGTAGTAAATTTAAAGTAGAAAACCTTATTCTTTTAATGTTTCTTTTTAAAAAGTAGATTAGAGGATATTAGCCTTAATTATTTTTTTAATTCTTGAGCTAATTCACTATATCTTAACCAAGCAAAGCCAAGATTTCTTCAGAGTTCATAAGATTTGTGTTCAAGTAAAGAGAGTGTAAAATATTTTCTCCTAGATCATTCATAAGTTCTTTGACTTAATCTTATCCAGCTTATTTAATATATTCTAATATTTAATCTGAGCTAGCACGCTTAAACAATAGTTAACCCGGAGTATTACCTGACATGTCTTTTTGAGAAAATAATACAAAAGTTTCATCATACCTTCTAATTATATCATCTAGCTATAAATATTAAAAAGCAGGAATAAAATAAAAAAATAAATTAATTTAATTTTACATTTTATTTATTTTCTATATAATTATGTAATATGTTGTGATAACGAATGTCTGAATTATTTTATTTAGCAAGCTTTCTACCACCTGCAATTTTAGAATTACCAAAATAAATGGATTAAAATTTATTATTTTCAAATTTATCAGGTAAGACAAATTTATTGAAATATAAATCTCTAAAATATTCCAAACCAAGGTCTACATTATCAATATTTTATTAATTTTCAATCATCAATTTTTCAAAGATTTTGCTTGAGAATTCTAGCTCTGACAAATTTTTGAAATCACAAACTATTAAATGTAATAAATACTAATGATATATTTAATATGAAAAAATCAAAATACATTGAGAGAGAATCGCTGAGTAGGATTTACTTCTTTACCTTAAAATAAGAGAGAATTAATTTCCATCACTTCCATAAGTTGGGGTGTAGTCCAATTTTTTGTCCTTGATGAAAAAAAACTCAGATAGTTGAATATTCTATTATTCAATTAGCCTTTTTTATAGCTCAAGGAAAAACTTTTTATCCTTTTCAAATCTGAAAGAAACCTTTTAAAATCCATTAAAGATTTCAATTGAAGCATACTTAAAGAACCCTTGATTACTTATCAAGTTCTAATCAGTAACTGATTATAATATTAAAATTTGTAATGTAAAACACAAAAATATTTTAAATAAAATTTAAAAAAGATGTTTTTGAAGATAGTTGTAAATTAATTAATTGAAATAATAAATTTAATTAAGAAATTTCATAATATTTTTTAAATATAAAAATGAAATTAATTTAATAATTTACAAATTTCTGTAAATAAGAAATTCATGAGAGGCATATCTCTAATTATTATAGAAAGAGATATTATAGATTCTTAATATACTGGATCATAAGTTGTAAGGATCCTGTATAGCTTTAAGGGGTCAGTAAGTTTAAGTTATCTCATAGCTTCTATAGCATCATAACTAAACTAAGTATGTCTGTATTTCTACTTAAGCTATAATTAAAAATGGGATTACTTTTTGCGACAAAATCCACTAGAACTAGATAATTAGGTAGACATATCACTACCTGAGGAAGCTGAAGAAGGTCTACTACTAGATAAAACATCCTATACATTATCTTTTTCTAAAAATGTTATTTCTAAATAAAATTAAGACATCTCTTGATAATCAATTTTATTGTGATATTGCTTTCCAGATAAAACGCCTTTATTTTCAAACTCGAAATTAATTATTTCTCCTGCTTCTATCTCAAACATAGAAAAATGGACAATCTTTCCTTTAGTTGGCTTATTTATCTATCCCATAATTTTATATATTTTTTCGATATCAGGATAATTTTCATCAATTAAGACTTCATTAAATCTCTCTCTTAACATATTTATTTTTCCTTTTTTCTTTTTAACTGGAAAACAGTTAACTTCTCCCACTAAAATTCCTTCATCTATAGGAATATCATCATAAATATCCGAAACCATGGCGTCTAAGTAACTTGGCATCATCTCTCTCTCCTGAGGTTTTTAAGTTATACCATTAAACCATGACTAATCAGCAAAAAGTAACTTATTTTTTTCTTAATATAATTTAAAAATAATTAATACTAAGAAAGATATAATAAGAGTGTGGATTTTATTTATTATTGAAGTTCTACTTAAAATTAAGTTGTAATAATATATTACTTTGTCCGTGGTGAAAGCAAGGACACCCAATAGCAAAGTGAGCTTCATCAAAATCTTTGTTCCTTTACATAAGTGATCTCAACTGTTTAATATAATTTACTTTATTGGTTAAAGGACCATATACATTACTGAAATATTCTTAAGTAATAGGCTAAAAATCCCTTTTTTACATTTCTTCTAATTTTTTTTTTTGTATTTCTAATTCTTTTTACACATTTTATTTGAATTCTAAAATGTTGATTCTCTTTACAGACTAGCTATTACCATTATTGTTAAGCTTTAATGTAGATAGTTTAGTCTCTTCCTTTAAAGACTAAAGCGGTCTTATAGAAGAATTCTTAATTTTAGAATTTTAAAGATTCAGAGAAAAGCTGTTCTTCATAATATTTATTAAGCCAAAACCTTTCTTTTGTCTTTTATTTTAAATTAATATTTTTTTTTCACTTTAATTTATCTTAAAAATGTATTTGTATTTATTTATTGAATGAATATTTTTTATTAGATTAGTTTTGGTAATTGTAATAAAGTTCCTTCCTATCTTGAATCAATAACTTAGCTTACCTCCGATCTCAAAATTTTTATTATTTTTTTTCGTTTTTTAAATGTTGATTGATATCTTGAAAGATTTCAATAAATTTTGTAAAAGTTATTTAAATTTCTTTGATGATCTCTTTAACTATTATCCAAACTCTAAAAGTTTAGATAAATTTAAAAGATCCTATAAATGATTTGAACAAACTAAGTTACTCAATTAAATAAGATATTTTGATGCCAAAATTATGTATTTTTAAGATATTTACTAGTAAATTTTTATTTAAACTATAAAGTTAATTATAGAAGGATAAATTAACTACCTGTTTTATTTTTAATTCTTTTAGAATGAAATGTCTAAATTTTAGATTTTCATCTAATGATTTACTATTTGATATCATTTTTTTATAACTTATTTAAAAAACAAGTATTTTTCAATAGTAGATTTAAAAGATGCAAATTTTTTAAGGCAAATCCACTAATGAATTTATTTAAATCTGGATAAATGAATTATTTAAGTCTTCTCATATTATTTTTAAAAAACTATTAATGTTTCTTTTTACCAAATTGTTAAATCAAGTTTTAAATTCCTTACACATAATATAATAATATCAAACAACTATTTATTTATTTGTTACAAAATATTCAGTTTTATTTGATTGATTATTAACTTTTAGAAAAACTTTCATAATCAAAATAAAGTAAAAACTGAATATTAAGGATAGTAATAATTAAAAAAACATAGATTGATACAATAAAATGACTGCTGCTCCCTAAAGAGATATTCTCAAAGACCTTTATGCAGAATAGGTAAACTTGAGATTAATAGGTAAATAAAAAGAGGCCCTTGAGATTTTAGATAAAATGATTTCTCAGTAATTAGGTTAGCAATATGATTTAGTTAGAGAAAAAGCTCACTGCCTTTATGAAATGGGTGAGACTAGAGAATATTTAGAATAAGCGATAGCATAATACAAGCTTGCTGTTGATTTATATCCTGCTTATAAAGATTTAACTTAATAATAGAAAATAGATTTGTCTAACACTTATGCAGGTCAAGCAAGAGCTTATTCCTAACTAGGGAATTAAGAAGAAGCACTCATTCTTCTAAGAAAAGCAAAAGAAGTTAGCTAAGATAACAAAGACCGTATAGCAATTGAAAAAGCATTAGTATACTATAAATAGTAGAAGTTAGCAGAAGCGTAGGATCTACTTTTATAAGTGGCTTAGTCTCCAAATTAAAAAATAAAATAGGAAGCTTACTACAGATTAGGATTTATTTCAGAAAATCCAAAGCAGTAGCTTGACTTCTATTTGAAGGCAGATCAGGATGATCATGTTATTCTTTTTAACATTGGTAATTGCTACATGAGACTTTATAATTTTAGTGCAGCAATTGAAAAATATACTTTTGCACTATAGATTAAGAGAGATCCTAAGTATGTTTATAATCTTGCAAAGTGCTTTGAAATAAATGGCCAATACGAAGAAGCCATCGAAACATACATGAAAGCACTAACTCCTGAATGGTATTCTAAAGTTGCAGACATCATTCATAATCTTCATAACTTCGCTTAAGATCCTGCATTAAAAGAAAAGCATGAAGCACAAAAAGCATCTGATAAGAACTGGCTAGTGGAAACAACCCCAGAGTAATTTTATATTTACTTGATCAAAACCATTCATAAAATTGACCATTTTTGATAATAAAAACTGAATTCGTTTTTTAAATAAAGAAAAGAATTGAAGTCTCTATTTAGTATTGGAAATTGCTTTTTGCATATGAAATTATATGAGTAAGCACAAAATTTATACAATGAAGTTCTTGGAGCTAGCATTACCATAAGTGAGAAGCCTTTAATTCTATTTAATAAAGGAATATGCTTGTATTAGAATAAAAAGCTAGAAGAAGCCTATAAGTGCTATGAATAATCTCTTGAACTTAATCCAAGTTTAAAAAGCAATTATTTCTAGATGGGAAATATAAAAGTAGACTTAAAGGAATATGAAACCGCAAAGAAGCTATTTTTAGCCAGTTTAAAACTAGATGATAATGGTAGATTAATAGAAAGAGAGCATATTTATAATGCTAAAGTTAAAAGTAATTTAGGTTTATGCTGGTAAAAGCTCAAAAATTCTGAAGAAGCTGAAAAATGTTTGAATGAAGCATATTAGCTAGACCCATAAAACTACCAAATATTTTGTAATTTAGGAGTTTTAAAAATAAAATAGCATAATGCAGAAGAAGCTGGTAGGTTGTTCAGATAAGCTTTAGAAGTATAAAAAGAAACTTAACTTCCTGATAACTAGGTAAAATTTTCATTTCAAAAAATGTGTATAAAGTTACTTTAATTTTAATAGAGATCTGATAATTTCATTGCGATAGGCTCGCTTAATAGGATTTCAGATATGATGAAAAGATTCCCTAGAACACTCAATGAAGATTCTAGAAAAATGGTTATGAGCATTGTTAGTTCTGATTAAACAGACTCAAAATAAGAAAAAAATGATAGAGATGTATTAGAAAGAGTATTAGAACTTATTGATGTATCAAGAAAAGCTTAAAAATCTGTAGAAGAAATAAAATAAAACTAAGAAATCATTTAAAAAAATGTAAATAAATTAGAATAGGAAATATCAAAGCTTCAAAAGCACCAACAAGAAATGGATAAAAACTACGATGATTTAAAAAAATTGTTTTAAGAATTCGAGAAAAAGGAATAATAGCCAAAGGAAGTTTAAGAAAGTGAATATGATAAGCTAAAGAAAGAAGAAATCAATGAAATTGCAGAAATATATCAAGATGAATTCTTGACTGAATATTATTATGGTATGATTTAAGGATTCGAAGAAGTTTATGATATTGCTAAATCAACAAAATTAAGTATTCATTTATTAAATTATTTATCGATTTGATCACTCACTAATTTAATAGTTTTAAATTTAACATATTTTTTTTCATTTTTTAAGAATACCAAGTTAAATTAACAATAAATTTAAATTAAGCAAGTATTTATTACAACTGTCAAAAGCAAAAGCAAGCAAGACTATTTAATTTTTTCTTGAAAATTAAAATAAAATAACAAATTTAATATATAATTTATAAATTAAACAATTTCTTATTTAAAAATTATTTTAGATGGAGTATTTGATATTCAATTAAAGAAAAGCACGGCAGTCAATTTAGCCTCATAAGCACTTAAATTTCTTCCTTTTGTAGGAGGTTTTCTCTCAGAAAAAGTTAAAGATTTCGAATAGGTATTTAAAGAAAGGTCATTAGAAACAAAGGCAGCTATTATGTTTGATTTCTTTCCTCAAGTACTGATTTATAATGTATTTTCTTCATATGTTTCTAGGAAAATAACTTTAAAAATGAAACCAATTAAAGAAGAATTTTTAAAATCATTACATCCCGAGGAGTAGAAGAAACAAGGAATTGTGGTATGAGATTTTTCATGTAATTAATAAAATATTTATTTTTTTTATTAAAGGATAAATGCAAAGGTTTATTTAAATGGATATCTGACAAAGTTTCCTAAGTAAAACAATCTATTCTCACTTTTGCTACCTCAATCCCTGATTATGAGTAATCTGAAATTAGGATTCTAGCAAAATCTGAAGTTTCTCAAGCATTTATATATTTTTTTAAGTTTACTATGAATGAAGCGAAGAAAAAGAACTAAAGAAATATGGTTTCAACCTTGATTCATCCTACTAAAATATCAACATTTTTCATATTTATTTTAGAGTAAACAAATAAAAGAGGAGACTTTACATAAAAAGACGATTCTTAGGAAGAAACTAAAGAGGAAGAAGGGGTAGAAAATATTTAATTAACATTCTAGAATTCTGAAGCCTACAAAGATATTTAGGCTAAGCTATAAGCTCTAATACCAAATAATAAGAATTGATTCTTTATTAATTAATAATCTCATTATATAATTACTTTGTGCTAATTTATGCATAATAAATGACCTTTAAATAAAATTATTTATTGAATCAGAAAATATTTCTATATTAACATGTTTTTACATCACTTTAAGATTGGAGTTTTTCCTCATTTTCTTTAATTTTATTATAGCTTTCTTTATAAAATTTTTACATAAATATTTCACTTTACATGGAATACTCAAAATCTTCATCAATACTTTACATTAATTGTTAGTATTTCGAATCAGAATTTCTGGATTCTGTCACTAACTTTTCATGAAAAGAATTAATATCATATACACTGTGCATTATTAGTTCATATTAATCATTTTCTGTTTCAAAATTATACTGCAAGTGAGAAGGAAGATTTATCTCTACTTTTTTAACTTCAAAAGGGCACTCTATTGTGATTCCATCATAAGTTAGCAATTAAAAGTTGTTGATTGCTTTACTTTGACAAATTTTTAACAAAAATTCCAAATAAATTGATTGTATTAATACTCTAGACTCAAGAGTAAACATATTTAATCTTCCTTTTTTTAGGGAAATCCTTTTTATTTATTCTGTGTTTGATCCTAAAAAATGTATTAGCTTTTTACTTTTTATTACATTAATTAAGCTCCATGTTTTTTTTTACAGAGAATAGCTATACCATGCTACCAAATCATACTATGCTCTATTTTATCCAGAAAAGTATATTTACTCCAAATATTTTGTTATAAAAAACCTTCTTTCTTAAATAATTTAATTTAAATCCTCCATATTTTAGTAGGAATTAATTATTTATTCAACTTTAATAATTAGATGATTGTGGTACTCAAAGAACTAAAAAAGAAGTTAAGCAAATTAACGAAATAGGCTGAAAGGTTAACTATTAAGGATTGTTGCAACTTGATATAGATTGGGGTTAGTTTAATCAGACTCTTACTTTATATGAAAGGAAATGATCTTTGAAGTACTCTCCACAGCATAAGTAGGCTTTAAATAGTGAATTATGTTGAAACCTTTAAGTTAGCCCTTTTCTTCATTTAATTCTACAAGCAGATCTCCATAAGTCAAGAGAGAATTACTTAAAACGATAGGACTGCATATTTAAACAATTTAAAGTTCAGTTTATTGAAAATCTTATTTTTTATTTTTTTCTTTTGAGTCAGTTTGATAAATATTTTTATCAGTAAATGCTTAGTAATTCATATTACCTATATTTAATTTTTAGATTTACATTCATTAAATTTTTAATTAAAGATGCTTTTTTTAATTTAATAATAATTAGGTTATTTTTAAAATACTATTACAATAGCAGATTTTAATATTTATTCAAACAAACAAAGATAATAAATAAATTCTTACAATATGAAAATTAATATAGATATTTATTTATAGTAGATATATTAGGAATTATAATATAAATTAGATAAAATATTGAATGTGATTTTCATATTCTTTATTTTATCAGATTTCAAATTAAATATCAAAAAATGTTTAGATAGGACTGAAATTGAGTAGTTGTGCAATTTATTTTTAAAAGACGGCTATTTGATATAATGTTCTTCTTCTTTTTAAAATATATTCAGATAGGAAGATCTTTTATTCAAATTGATTCATTAGCCTGTTACATGTCATCGAAAAGGATGTAAGATAATCTAAGCTAAATAAGGTATCAAATACTTATTTGATGGACAATGAATCAGCTGAAAGCCTTATTAATTTTATAATATTTTGCCATAATTTAAAAAATTTACAAAAACTTACAAAAGAGATCCATAAAAATTTATATTTTCTATGAAAGATAATGAGCTCAAGTATTTTAGAATCTATTTTTGGATCTATAATGAATGAAATTCTCTATTTAAAAATTAAAAATTAAAAATTTTTTAAAAAAATTTGTGAAATTTTTATTTTTTACTAAATTTAAAGATCTAAACTTGCTATATTTTTATTTTGAACTAAATCTCCTTCTTCAAAATGCAATCCTTAGATTTTGTTATTTCTATTTTAAATTAAAAGTATGAAATAATGTAAAGCAAACAATCCATTTAGTTACCTTGAATTAAGTAAAACGTTTACTAAACTCTTATTCTTGTTTAATGAAATCAAAAGGTGTTAAAAATGTTCCTTAATAAAGTTTGATCTATATTTTATATATAATATATGTTATTTTTTTTCATATTTACTAATTTTATCAACTACCTTGAAAAGAGCTTTAAATTTTATAAACTTTTATGATCCCTGATAGCAAGAGATAAAGGTATAATACCTTCACCTAATATATTATCTCTAAATAATAGGAAAAAATATTTTTTGGTTACCAACCTGAATTATTTATTATAAATGACAAATTACCCAATATCTAAAAACAAAGATTATAAATTAACAGCTTAACTCAACGCTTATCCTAAATCATTTCCACATAACTAATCTAACTTATTATAACTTCAAAAAACTTTAAAACATAATCTAAACAATTAAATTTACAAGAGATTGATACTCAATGAGCTTAAATTTTTGCACTGTTAAATTTGCTAACAAATAACTCCAAAATTATATGAGTCTAAAGAAGTTTATCTATTTAAATAAATATTAACATATTTTTTCATTAAAATTAAAGTTTTAATTTGAAAGAATATATTTTTTACTCAAAGTTAAAGTTTAATTTCTCCCATGAATCTAATTTAGTAGATATACTTTTCGATATTATTTGAATAGCTTTTTCAGATTTTTCCTATTGCCTAAAAAAATATTTTAATAAATTTAAATCTTGAAAACTAAATAGTTAATTACTTTAAAATTAAGGTGAAGGAATTTAATTTATGAGCATTTTCAAATAACTTCGAAAAAGAAGAAAGTTCTTCTACATTTGTAAATAGGGTTCTTTTAGTTAAAATATTTATATGTAAATAAATAAATAGACTCTCAATTAAATATATTAAACCCCATATTAATTTCTAAAGATTATAGGCAATGTCTAAAATTGTCTAAAAAATCAACAACTAGCCCGTATGAGCCATTTAAAAAGTACTTTCCATAGTTAAAGTTTCTAGTTTATTTAAATTAAATAACAATGAATTTTAGGTCTTGTAGTAACTTACTTACTTAATGAGCACTTTTATATTAGGAACTTTTAGTAGGTGCTTTAATTCACTAAACAACTCATTAAACTGACAAATAATCTCATTATTTGAATTCTAAAATCTATAAAAAATACTTTTTTGAATTGAAATTTTTTAAGTTGTTACTCTACAATTAATTTATTAGATTATTGGTTCTGCTCTAATAGTTTTTAGAAGTTTTCAATAGCTTCCTATTTCTAATTTTGATGATAGAGTTTGGTGAAAAAGGAAGAGTATCCTGTTTACTTATCTGAGTCTTTTTCAAACTATAAATTATTTTAAATTAATTCATAAATTTTCACTGCATTTTATTTACTTGAAAGTGAATATATTCAATATCCATTTATAATCTACAAACGATTTATTAAATTTTCTATAATTATACAAAATTTTGTTATTTAAATCTTTTTTTATTTCTTCAATTATTTATAATCATCAATTACTATTAAGCTGGAATCTGATAATTAAATTTTTCTGTTATTATCTAATATTTCTGATTTCAGATTGATTTGTCTGATCCTAGATAAATCTTTCTATACAAATCAATAAAACAAAACTATATATAAAAATTATGATTTTATATAAATAATTTCCAAATAAATTTTTAGATAAAATAATTTTGAAATAAATTTTTAGATAAAATAATTCTGAAATAAATTAATTAATAAATAAATAAGATAATTATATAAAACTCTAACAATAAATTCAGATCAATAAATATATAATACTTTTTAATAAAATTGATTTATTTTATAATAGATTAATTACTTTTTTTTAAATTTAATTTCAATTTCCTCTATAATAAAGTTCTTTATCAGTAATTCTTAAAACATGAATTGAAGGAGGATATCCTCCTATACCTTACATTCCTTAATTCCAATCATATCCTAACCCAAATGCCAAAAATTCTCCGTCAAATGTAATTGCTCCAGTGCTTATAGCTCTGCCAGAAAATTGGTATTCAACAATTTTATTTTTTCTATCATAATCCCAATATATCTATTTAGAATAATTAAATTTAAATAAAAAAATTAAACATTTTAAATTAAAATGTAATTAATTAATTAATACAATTTTTCCATCAGCTCCTAAGGTTGCTAGAAAGTGTTTATTTTTTATGTTAAAGGCAATTTGATTAATAGGATAGAGATCCTGATATTTTTGAGGAGTTCTATAATAGCTTGATTACTGAGTACGATCTTCTTTGTGCCCTTTGAATGTTATTACGTTATCAGAAGTATAAGTTGGAAGCATGTTGTACTATTCTATCTTTTTAAGTTTAGATATATTCCCTCTTCCATCTAAAGAAGAAAGTCCAATTACATTCATGTCTGGAGATATTGCAACACACTATAGAGGAGATCCCTTTCCTAACTAAGATTCTTTATACTCAAATTTGTATTGATTATTCTTAAGCAAGGAATCTAAGTTAAACAAAACCATTTTTTATTCCATTAAGCCAATCATAACTAAAGGGTAATTGAAATCACAACATATTGCTGGAAAATCTAGTTTTGTTTTTATAGGAGGATTCTAAAAATTTTAAGCATTATAAAGTACTATTTCTCCTTCACAATTGACTACTAGTAGTATATCATATTGATTAACATAAAATATACCAATAGCAGGAAGCTAATATTAATCTATCTAAAAGACTTATTGATTGCTATATTTGTTGTTATTTATTTAGTAACACATTAAAGAACCGTCTCCTCCTGCAAAAAAAACACATGATGCATCACTTTTCCATTAGCATGTCACAATAGGGTGGGTATATTCAAAGTAATTGACCATTTAAAGGACAGGGTATTGCTAAAATACACATTAATAGAATATTAATTCACCACCCCATGTTGAGCAAACAAACATGTGGTTGTTTGGTAAAGGAATCCATTTTATACATGATATTGTGTCTTTAGGCTATTAATGTTAATTATTTGATGATAAAGTAATAGTTTCTTTTTAAGAATCGTTATCGCTGAGTTAAAACCCTTAAAATCTTTGCATCATTTATAAAAATATATATATCTATATGTATTTATTAAGCTAAATATTAGTTAATGTTTTACTTGATGGTAATTAATCAAAACTAGTAAAGTTAGAATTTAGAAATTGAAAATAAAGTCAGACTTATTTTTAAATTTTTAATTTTTTAATTAAATTTTTTAGCGCAATTTTTAATTAAGAAAAAATAATAATCTCTTTTAGATTATTTTAAAGTTTTTAAGATAGTTATTAACAATGTAGGGGTTGGGGTTGGGGTTGGGGTTGGGGTTGGGGTTGGGGTTGGGGTTGGGGTTGGGGTTGGGGTTGGGGTTGGGGTTGGGGTTGGGGTTGGGGGTTGGGGTTGGGGTTGGGGTTGGGGTTGGGGTTGGGGTTGGGGTTGGGGTTGGGGTTGGGGTTGGGGTTGGGGTTGGGGTTGGGGTTGGGGTTGGGGTTGGGGTTGGGGTTGGGGTTGGGGTTGGGGTTGGGGTTGGGGTTGGGGTTGGGGTTGGGGTTGGGGTTGGGGTTGGGGTTGGGGTTGGGGTTGGGGTTGGGGTTGGGGTTGGGGTTGGGGTTGGGGTTGGGGTTGGGGTTGGGGTTGGGGTTGGG